ATGGTTTTATTAACATATAATAATAATCCGCCACCATGCGACGTCCGATCCTTCCGGTATGGAGAATGGTAACCGTCCCATTTTAGAGATGAATCTAACACATAGTTATCCAGATGAGTCTCAGTGAAACTACAAATATGGTAATCATTGACATCGTTGTATATTGTTTCAAGTTTGTGTCTTATACTACGTGCATTTAAGTGATAGACTGATAGGTTTTCATTTGAATCGTGATTTGAAGGTCCAGGATTTTTATGAACGTCTCCTGATCTTAGAACTAATAAGGCTAAAACAGTACTTAGCAGACAAAAATTATCAAGTTCACATAAAACTATTGGAGATATTATTCGACATTGCCATTTCTCAGATGCCTCGTGCTTTACTGTGTAGTAAAAATGTCAACTATTACAGTAGCAATGAAAATATAATGAGTGTTGCACTTGCGCCAGTATTGCACGAGGGGACTGAGAAATCATCAAACAGTTAGATCTTAAATATTTAGTGGTTAGTTTTGGTGGATATAGAGACATGAGAACATGATGTAAATAACTAGTAAACAAATAAAACATACATACAGACAAAAACAGTGAATTATTTACAGTTAAAGCAATAGTATAATACATAAACATTGAATGTTTCGGTCATAGTTAAGTTAATATAACAATATCGTCCGATGATATCTAAAGCAGGCAATTTTGACAAAAAATGAAGATGAAGGTTAAAGTGATAATACTTAGAGGGTGGTCAGTTTAACAATCCGATATGCAATTTTGATGCAAGACTGAGTTCCCATAATTGACAATTATTTAGATAATTGGCTGTTTATATTTCAGTAATTTAAATGGAATAAAAAACGAAATCAAAAGTTTAAACTGAGATGATAACCCAATTAGTTAATATTTGAATGGAACTTTTAAGTAGATAATTGAGAACTTTTAAAAGATACGCCCATAAATAATGTGGGCATAGTTTTATACATTCGATTTTTTTTATTATCATAATTAGTTATATAATAATATAATGTATAACTACATGTAACTATGTATTATAAACTAAACAGTGGTCTAAGCTAATATTACTCTGTAATAGTTAGACAATAAGGAACCAACAAGTAAAATACATGTACATGACTTTACTTTACAGAAAGATTTTGTCATTGTTTTAAAAATCTAAGCAAACTTATTATTACATGAAGGATAATTGGGGCAATGGTGAATGCATGAAACGATTTGAGGTACTATCCAGTTGGTCATCAACTTAAAGATACATTATGGGCGATTAGATAAAGAGCTGGCATATCTCACTATAATAGTTAAAAACTAGATAATGTAAATGGAATTCGATTATCCATTTCATGATTAAATCATGAATGAAAGCTGAGCAGCAAATCGGATCCTACTCCAGTAAATATCGCAGGCTAGCGATGACATCGAGAGTTGATTATGGTCTGAATAAGTTTTAATTAATGTCTTAATTAATAATTTCAGGCCTAAAAAAGACCTGCAATACGCAGATTCAGCTCTTGCAATGGATGTTTAAATATAATTAAATACGTATATATATTTATGCATTTGTAGACATTAAGAAAAACAGGAAAAATCAGTACACAATAAGGTACAGTAGTTTGGGAATGATATTGATGAATGAAATTGGTTCAAAAATATAAAGATACTGTCAGGCATCATTATTTCTTTTTATCAGGCTGTGGGGTCGAGGCAAACCCGCCAAAGTCTCGTAAGGATTGTTGTTTTAATGGCCCAACTCTGTTATCATCGTCTATACAGTCGGAAGATGTGTTGATTGCAGAATGTGATAAAGTAGCTTCGTTGTAGTTAAACAAAGACTTATTAGCTTGTGAATTTACTCTGTTTGTTGATGTATGAAAGTTATCGAAGTCCTGCTCACAGGTTATGACAATATTTCGGTCGTCTGCTAGAGGTCGTATGTAAACTCGACCATCATACGTCCAACAGTTTTTAATTAGCTTTGATTTAAACATATCCCGACATCTTTTGTAGAGTGCAGCGCGTTTACGAGTGAGGGCTTCATTGATAAAGATCTTGTGAATCTGGGTGAGGTTTCTCTGTTTTAAGTTGCGTTTAGAACCATATATCTTTGCCCTGTCTCTATAACTATTGAAACGTACTATTAAGCCCCATTTCACATTGTCTGACCAGGCGATCAACAGTGTGGTACATGACGCAACATCCTCAGCCATGTAGGGATGACAATATGGAAGACAAGTCATGTGACCATGTCGGGATGAACAATATAGAAGACAGGTCATGTAGGGATGTACAATTGTCTTCGCCCGTCACCATTCGTCGCCTCCCACATATTACATGCTCGAAACTGGTATGAAGTATATAGACCTATACGCCCCCACATACCCTTAAGGATATTGGTTGCAACAATCAATTCTGTAGGTATTATAACAACGACATTTATAGCCATGCCTATAACAATATGTTATTTATCTTGTGAAACTTGGCTAGATACTGTAGGAATTTCTCTGAACAAACAAATAAACAAGATGGTCATCAGTGTTAAAATATATTAAAAAAGAACAGATCTGACGAAGAGATTATATGTTAACAAAAGTTAACCCCCATGACACATAGTAAGCGCTTCCGTGAGACAAAGTCCCTTCAGACCCAATACCAAATTATATATTATCTGAGCTAAAAGCTCAGTTACGTAAATAAAATATAGGTAGCTGTCTGAAACTATATCGCGCCTATTCCATTATATCATCATTCTTCCACTCCTGATATGTGATCTTATACTCTCTCCCATCATTATCATATTCACGGTTATAGTGAATCGATCGCCCAGTTAGTAGTAGATCTAGTGAGTGGATCGTGGGATGACAAACTGTACAAATGTCCTTTCAACTCTCACAAAACAGGCGGAATTAACATGCGGGCCTCGAGATTCTGTCCCATTATCGTATAAAAAATAATAAAATATCTATTATAATATAAAACATTTATTATTATATAAAATATTTGCTATCCTATGAAATATATATTATTAGTATGCGGGGCTTATGTCGACTTGCAAGTGTGCTTATGTAGATCATATCAGCAACTGAGGACAACTGAGATCAACTGAATTCGGAGCGCTTATGCCGAGTCGGAACTGATAGGGGATATTCGATTGTCAGACCGAAACGTTCCGAATTGACGGAATCGCAATCATGTGACGCCGAATTCAGTCCTGTTTCCGTTCTATTGCAACACTACAGGAGACAGATGTGACTATCATTCTTCACGACACTAAACAAAAAACAGCCTGTGACACTATGATCAATTAGGAACCAACTTTGACTTCACGTTGTGTATAAAACTTCAAGGATCAATTGCTCCCGGAACCCTTTGTTGGCTTAACTATCTGTTTATATCTTTATAACATCAATAATACAACGGTTATATACAAGAAACTACACACACAGCTATGACATTAAATATAAGCTAAATATAAATTTACTATCCCCTAGCCTGGGTTTTGCGGCATTACGCTCTTCTTTTTACGTCTACATGGTGATCTCCCCGAGCCTGAAAGCCGAGGAGGCTATGGATATGATAATCCCCTAGGAACTCCGAATGATGTCTGAATGATGTCTTCACCCTAGCCTCTTAAGCCGAGGAGGCTGTGGGGATGATGTTCCCCTAGGCAGTCCGAATGATGTCTGAAGGGAAATTTAACTCCACTGTTTCTTATATAGAAAGTATAGATGCCCCAGCTATTACGACGAGACAATAACCATTTTTGGGTACGTGTTTCTCGTTGTCAACCGTTTGTTTGGCTACTTCATTAAAGTACCTTTCATATGACTAAAATAACCCTATAGTATTACATTGTCATTCCCGCCGACGGAGGTGGTGTGTGTAGAATCGGTACGAATATGTTTCAGCAGTCATGGCTGGTTGATATATTTTCTCATGCAGTCGGCGCATTGTCACTCGATTGTCACTTTGTTTAACACAATTCAATTCCGGAACGTTCAATAGAGTATCCCCGTAGAGATTACACTTAACACGTGACTGTTAATTCATTCATCACGTGATCAACAAAATGGCGAATAATTTAGAAGATGCACCCCAAAGGCATGACCGGTCTCTTCACAATTGTGTTAATATATTATTGTCGACATCATCAACATTTGAAAAGTGGGTGTTTTCGTTCGCTTCCATTTGCTTATTTATAAAGTCACATGACACATTTCTATTATCACGTGATGTTATTTCGATCAGTTGTAAGACCGTTCGTGTCGACTGGAACTAGTTACTGCTATTTGCAGCGAGTTGCAGAAAGTTGAACATGTGCAACTGACTGCAACTAGTTGCTTTGAGTTTTAAGAGGTACTCAGGTCGATCCTTTTCAGTTGCTTTCAGTTAATCCCAGTTGCCGAAACGCCAGTTGCTTTCAGTTGAAGGTCAACATAAGCCCCCCCCTTTCGTATCATATAAAATATCTATTATTACTATCATATAAAATGTCTATTATTATTATCATATAAATATCTATTATTAGTATCATATAAAATATCTATCATCATATCAAATATCTATTATTATTATCATAAAAAATATCTATTATTAGTATCATATAAAATATCTATTATCTTATAAAATATCTATTATTGGTATCATATAAAATATTATTAGTATCATATAAAATATCTATTATCTTATAAAATATCTATTATTGGTATCATATAAATATCTATTATTAGTATCATATAAAATATCTATTATGCTATAAAATATATATTATTAGTATCATATAAAACATCTATTATTGGTATCATATTAAATATCTATTATCATATACAATGTCTATTATTAGTATCATATAAAATACCTATCAGCATATAAAATATTTATTATTATATAAAATATTTATTATAATATAAAATATTTATTATTATATAAAATATCTATTATTATATAAAATATCTATTATCAGTATCATATAAAATATCTATTATTGGTATCTATAATTAGTATCATATAAAATATCTATTATCATATCAAATATCCCTTTGTAAATAAAATATCATACAAAAGATGTATTTAATCAATATCTGCAGTAAAATTGAAACATATTTAAAGATGCATTATGTAAGAGCTTAATTTTAACGTTAGTGGCGATGATTTCTTTTTGTTGATAATCTGGATAGTACAATGTATTTTGAGATTTGCATGTAGTTATAGAATAAAAACAATCTTGAACCATTGAATAACCCGAGCGGTATTCAATGGTCATTGAGTTCATTATTTATTCAAACATCTGTTCACAAACAAGCCTATAATCAACTCACTAGACCATTGGATGGCGAAGATTTAAATGGATTGAAACTCGATCCCCATTTATTGATTTAATTTAAAAATGTTGAATCGAGTTTGAATTTAGATCAACAAATATCGTTACTACGATAAAAGCAATATATGCTACATCTTGTCAAAACTTTCAACACAGACAACATAGCTCAGAATATTATCTATTTTAGAACTATTATAGCACGAATGGCCATCTCTCTATCTTAATCTTACATAATGCTTCTTCAATTCGGTTGAGGCAATGGTGATTAGAAAACTATGTTCAAATCCAAATACATCAAATCATACAAAGAATCGTAGACGAGGTACCATTTCCCAGTACTGTCCCATACTGCAACACAGTGATCAGGATAGTCGATTCGTCCAGCCAGCTACAAATTAATAGTCGTACAATAGATTTGCGGAATTTTTTCTTTTGGGGTTGACCTGGAAACAAAAACGTGGAAGTGTATTAGAAGACGCGTAAACTTCCTACATCTGTTCTAGACATAGGGTGCAGACAACGTAGAAATGCACGCTTGACTGCATGAGACACAAGAAGGGAAACCTAATTGCACTGAAAATGCATAAAAGATTGGAATAATTCTAATTTCATACAGGTAACACATCTATGGAATATAATTACTGTTCATTACTGAACGACGTTTAGACTAGCTTCTCTAGTCTTGAAGAAGTCCAAACTTTGCTCAATAATAAACAGTAATGTCATTCCATAGAACTGTGACCTGTTTATTTCAGTTCAATTACTAAATGCCATTAAAAAAACTAATCAAACATTTTTTTCTTCATAATTTATTTGAAAATATTTCAGCACATTTTGTATAAACCATCATTGATATAATGTGTTCTCTAGATTTAATGATGTTTGGACATCTATGTGTTATTATTTATCTTTAAATTTAACATGGTTACCATTAACGTACCTTGTTAAAAAAGTTAACATGGTTACCATTAACGTACCTTGTTAAAAAAGTTAACATGGTTATTATTAACGTACCTTGTCAAAAAATTTAACATGGTTAACATTAACGTATATTGTTAAAAAGTCAACAGTTAAAGATGCATTATATAAGATTTAGATAAAGAGATGGCAGTTCTCGATATAATAGGTAAATAGATAATGAAAAGGTAATACGATAATTTCAGTCAAATTACTTAAGTCTTCGTCGATTACAGAAGAACGAGACCTCGATTGTCATTCCTGCCGATAATAAACACAGTTTTGATAAAACATTTAAAATTATATTATTAACTGGCAATCGAGTTTAAAACAGTTGAAAATCAAAACCATCCGATTGTCCAGAGAGTTGATTATGGGTTTGCCATGTGAATAAATGTCTTAACTAATGATTTATATTTGAGGTCAAACGAAAGATCTACATTGGGCAGGTTTAGCTCTTATATAATGCATGTTTAAATGTAAATCATACACCACTATGGAAAACTTAGCCCGGTGCAGTTCCATGTTTTCTGTGATAATTAAAAAACAACCATTACCCACCTCACGTTCAATTGCCTCTAATTTACATTCGAGTTCTGTTTGTGATTTTAGAACTTTTTCGATGTATGTCTCTAATTTTATTCTAGAAAAAGATAAAAAAAAATCATGAAGCTGGCTTTATGTAAATATTATTTTATTAAATATCTTCATGTTTTATTTATTTCAATGTTAATATTTTAAGAAACCAATAATTCGCTGTTCGTGTACATCATATTCACAAACACAATTTTCGCACTGACAGTCAACCGAAGCAGTACCGGATTAACCATCAGGCAAATAAGGCACGTGTCTAAGGGCCAGCTAAAGATCTAGGTCACAAAAACAGTACAAGAAAAATTGAGAATTATCAGGCGATGACAAAAATACGTCCCTTCTTTACCTACGCGTTTGTCCTTGTCCTTAAAGGCTTTTCGTACTTTGTGGTCCCTGGCAATTGCTTCACTGGACATTTCGTTTCTTTACACACGTTACGTTTTGTTTATGTAAGCAATATCGTAATTTTTATCGGTGAACCAAAAATAACCATCAAAATGTACATTAGGACCAGCAGAGCCTTAATCCAATCCGGGCTCGCTAACCAGGAAGTCCCCGGTTCGCCCCGATGTTGGTCGAAAAAGTGTTTCGGAATTTATAGTCCAGTATACCCTAGACAGTTGGTTTAATAATAATAATATCGTCATTTATGAAGCGTAGGCAAAAGTTCCCTCATAGTCATAGCACACTGTATCGCGTATGTCCGTCTTCATTAGTCGGTACAGAAAGTAAGGTGTTAAACTCCCCTTCATTCCATTTCATTTGTACATCCCCCCCCCTTAAAAACCCTCTGCATTAGGGGATTTGAGCAGCTGGTGCTCCATCTGAGTCCTTACGTGTACGAGAAGCCGTTTATGGTGAGCGGGCGAATTTTGTGGAATATAATCACAAGTTTTCGCCAGTTACCGCGTCGCTAGCCAGATGCCAAAACAGGACTCTGTGCTTTTAGTAAGACGCTGGCTCGCTAACCTTGAGGTCCCGTGTTCGATTCCTTTCTTGGCCTTTAAAAGGTCATCGAGATTTTTCGGCGCGATCCCTTTCTCAATGGTGTAGGGCAGATGCCCTGACAAGACACAACGTATAGTCGTTTGAATGGGACGTAAAAACCGAGGTCCGTTGTACACACTGGCGTGCACGTAAAAGAATCTGTGACAGTCTGAATTCATAGCACACTGTATTTTCAATTCCATCGCGCTAGATGACATCTAACGACGTCACTGATAAATTGATTAATAATCATTATTATGATAATAACAAATACAGTGAGTGAGCTCAAAATAGTAAGCATTTGTTACCCTTTTCCTAACTTTTACCTGAAATAAAGTGTTCATCAAAAGGGGAGATAGTTACACTTTCAAATGTTAACAAGTCAACAACGAAGCCAATGTCCCCCGCAACAATTACAAATTAAATCTAAGACACATATTAATTAATTGCACATTTATCTGTTTAACAAATATCTAATAATCAAGCTTATTATCTATACTTAGTCTTAGCAGAATATGTTCACAATCGAACTCAGTCAAGATTTTGAAGAACCTGGCAGTGAAACTCTACACTAAGTTTCATCACTCTTCATAAATTAGAATCAAAGTTATCTTGTTCCAAAGCATCTACACCAAACAAGTAAAGACATTCACCTAATGAGCATCTACACCAAGTTTAAGCATTCTACCTCAATTGTTATCAATCTGATTAAAACACACATCCTATTTCGTGTCGTTTTTATAGTTTAAAATTTCGTTTTACTTGTCTTTACTACACTTGGATCTGAACTCGTGTTCTGCTTGAAATGAGGGGTCATCCAATTAAATGGTCTGTCGAATCTATCGCTTGACCTTTTTTGCGAGGAATTGTGGGTAGACCTTAGCAGCGATAGAAATCAAAACAAAGCAAAAGTAGATAAAAAAAATGGCAGTCGCGAACGACTCATGACCACGCTGGTTTGTGAAAAGAATGGCACCCGCAGTCGCAGTTACACCCACAAGGGTGTATTTAAAGAAAGATATATGTATTTTGAGCGGGGTTTCTTTCATTCATCGAGAAGTTACCTCCAAAGGCGAAATTAATGAAAGAAAACAGTACAAAAACCGATGGCCTGTAAGTGTAACTGTGACAATTGTCGAGCGACTGACAAATACAGCTGATAGGGTAACGATTACCCAAAACCAGTTGGTAGTACTGCCATGCAATCCCTTACATTTATTAAACAATTTAATACATTTCTTTGCTCCTTCTTGGTCTCCGATATTCCAAAATTCGACAATATTTTCTGCAAGGCACAATCAATTTCGCTGTCCGACGCCATATTTGTTGTATTTCCGAATAGCCACTTGCAACACCGACGCTGATTGGTTAATCGATTGACTGGCGTCATCGGGTCAAATGTCGCTTGTTTGACCCCTGACGTGACCCTTCGCTATAACTTGTCAGATCTTCATGTAGTGTAGGCCATCGAAAGTATAAAAAAAACGAAAAGAAATATAGATCTGTATTTTAATCAGATTGGAGTTGTTATGTTCCAAACTTTTGACCAATCAAATTGCTTATCGCTACTTAGCCGTAGCAGACAATTCTCATCATCGAACGTAGTCACAGTATTGATATAATGAATCGAAACAGAACCAAAGTTATCGTGTTCCAAAGTCTCAACTAATCATATTGCTTACCTTATCTTAGTGGAAATGCACATGATCGAACACTGCCAAGGCATGCACCGTATAGACACCTGCCACCTACGTCAATTGTGAACATTCTACCTCGATTTGAAGTTATTGTGTTCCAAAAACTCGACCAATCTGACTGAATTCTCCACTAAAGACTACCAGAAATGCTCATCATTGAACATATTCAAAGTATTGATGTAATGAAACTATACACGAACTTGCGCCACTCTCACTCAATTAGAATCTAACTTATCGAGCTCAAAAATCTAAACCAATCAAATTGCTTAAGAATAATTTGCTCATCTTCGAACCCCATCAGGAACTCCACCTAATAAACACTTACACCAAGTGTGAACGTTCTACCTCCATTCGAAGAGTTCTTGCGGCTCAAAAAGTGTAACGGACAGACAGCCAGACGGACGGGCAGACTTTTTAATAGTCTAGTGCTTTACAAGACAGAATATCCAGACAACACTAGTGTTACCCGAAACACATCCAAACATGGCACTAGTGTTACCCGAAACACATGCAAACATGACATTCGCTTATCCTACTTCCATAATTCTGCAGCATTACGCCCATGAAATCTCAGATTGTGTGTTTTGTTTACATCTTGTAAGGCTTTTCATATGGAATAACGATATTAGGCAGGTAACATTTTTTGAGAAAATTAGATAATACTTTACATCTTAGTGTTAGGCCCCAGGAGATGGATTTAGTGTCCTATTGGGGCGGTGTAATTTATTTTGTAAGGGGTTCAGGGTACCATAACCTACCTCTGTTTTTTGTGCATCTGTAAACACTGTTTTGCTTTAGACTTTTCTAGTTTAATGATTGTCTTAGTACGTTTACTTTTAAATTGCCATTCTAAAGAAGAAAAACGTCAACAATAAAAATGCAGTGGTGTTAACATAGGTTTTATATTGAAATTAAGATTAGAATGAAATCTAGAACTGACAAGGCTATCTACAATACAGCTGGAAAGATCCCAACCCCAACTAAACCCTAGATTCACACATTGTGGACCTTTGTCTAAATTACACCCCAGAGTTAACCCGTGTTCAACGGATGTAGATTAGTATAAATTTGATTAGTTTATCATCCCATATTAGTGTTAGTATATTTAGATTTCTTTATGTTTATGCTCAGACGAAATCCTCAATCATGTGAAAATCGGATTTATCCCAACATTTGGCTATCATATATATATATACACTAAGTTATAGATAGCATACAGAGAGATAAATGGGTTTAACGCCCACTCAAGGACCCGGAAAAAACCCGCGAGATTGGACAGGCGACCCTACTCCTTGTAACGTATACGGCACTCGCCTTATTGACAAGCCTTATGATCTAGATACACCCCCACCCACAGACCTCCCTCCCATCCCTCTAGATAACAGAAGAAAAGAATGGTGAAGGAATAGGGGTAACATTGATTTAATCAAATACAGATAAGCATGCTTCGAATTAGGGAAGAGCTTTCAGTGTTCCTAAATCTTAGTTCTAAATTCATACTCTTTAATTCTTATTTCATTTGTGGTCGTATTTTAACATTTGTATACTAGACGGAGAGAAATAAAAAACTACCGCGAACAAATTTCAAAATAATTTCTTTCATTATAATCTAGTAAAGGGATGTCTAAAGGACTCCCAACTCAAAATTGTCCGCTGAAACCCTGTAGCGTTTTTCATGATTAGCATAAATCCAAGATGGCCGCCAATTGGACTTTCCGGCCTCCATATCTTGGAAACGGCTCGTTTTAGAGCAATAAATGTATTATTATTAGATACAAAAGTGATATCATCGGAAAATAAAATTATCACCACGCCAGCATGTTATGGTGTGATGTCGTGACGTCACAATGACGTCACACTGCCGTTATTTTGACGTCAAAACACTGCTTTGATACCGAATAAGCGGGTTTGACGTGAATTCTGATGTCTTAGAGAACTCAGAATAAGCGGGCTGTGATATAGTTTTGTTATTGTGACACTGACTGATTGGACTGGAATCCAATCTGGTGATTGGCTTGGAATCCAGTCTGGGGTTTCCCAGATATTTGAAACTTTCTTTTTCTAATTTTGTGAAAAGAGTCGTATTTCGCCATGGATACGTGCATAATTAGCGGCAACAACCTAAATATTGGTGGGGTTGTTGTCAAGCTCACTAACAAGGGATCGAATGTAATCAATCAGGCTGCTCAGCTTCACCAGTTGGACATTTCGGTCACCCCTAATGCTCAAATGCTCATGTGCATGTACAGTGCAGACAGAATTTCACTCACCAGATTGGATTCCAGACCAGTCAGTAAATGTCACAAAAAAAACTAGATCACAGCCCGCTTATTCTGAGTTCTCTAGGACATCAGAACTCACGTCAAACTCGTTTATTCGGTATCAAAGCAGTTAGTCCGGTCGTCAAACCCAATATTTCGAGTAAACCTGGAAATTGTCTACAAAGTTTTTTTATGATTGATTTTAGTAGCCTATGGTGTCCTCTTTCAGAATCTGCCGGGTGAACTTCGGTCACCCTTGCGCGTTTTGAGAAATTCAAAAAGACGGCCACCATTTCAAATAATCCCCCATAACTCCCATAGTATTTATTCTAGGACGATACTTTTGGTGTCTAAACGTATGTTATTCGGGTCAAGGAATATACTGAAATCATTCATATGACTCATGAGTGATGTGATAACATCACATACATGCCTATTAGGGGCTCCATGGCCACATGGGTCGGCCCTGAAAATGGGGGGGGGGGCACAAGCTGTTTTTTTTAACAATTAAACAAAGTCTACCCACAAAACACGAAAATAACCCCCACAATACTAGACAATTTTCAGTTTATTTGGTTGTATTTCTGGCTGCAACCTAAGACAGTACAAGCACAAAATATTGTACATTCTAAGCCATCCCTAGTGCATCTACAAGCAAGCGTACTGCATGAGGTGTCATTCTTGCACCCGCATCTGATGAGACACATGACAGACCCCGGAGCAAATTGGCCGGTTGTAATGTTATCAATTTAGTATCCTTCATCCAGCAATAGAGCAACAAGCTGACATAAATACAGTGGCCCGTGTAAACACCGATTCTACTACTCCGACGAGTGAGAGAGAAAATACAATCAAGCTCTCAACCACTTCCAAAGCTGTAGCAGCATGTAACCGTGTCATATCGAGTAAGTGTATGGGCTGACAGGATTTCAATGATAATTGACATGTGTTTCTCCATAGTTTGACCAATGTCAGCGGCCGTTTTTTTTTTTGATTGGTGATTCCATTGTGACGTGATTCTTGTCAGCGTGTTATGGACAGAGCTCTTGCAAATCGACGCCTGAAACACGCTGGAGGGTATAGGCATCCGAAACTGAAAATATATCGTCATCATCCACATTTAAACCATGTAGTCTTGCTCTAACGAATGATGCATTCGTAGGGAAAGTAAAAAGATATCACCACCATGCTGTTATGTGGCGTTCACTGAAAGATCACAATCCACCGGAACTTGGTCCAGAACTGTATTGCTGGGTAAGGAGACTAAATTGAGAACATTGCTCCTGTGGCTCATCAAATGCGGATGCACGAGTGACGCCCAAAATAGTACGTTTGCTCTTGTAGCTGCCAGTCGCGGCGCCAGCCACCGGTGGTTGGAGGGACAAAGCTGGGGCAAAATCTAAGGTTAAGGGGGCAAGTTCACGCGCTTCAACTAGGGGTAGGTGGGCCTCCCCTAGAAACTTTTGAAAAACAGGCTGCCAGAAATGCAGCCTGGCAGTATTTCAGGCACTGATCGTTGAGATAAAGTCTCAAACGAACGGACTTGCGAACCTCCACGAAGCCCACTCACGTGCGCCAAAGTAGGGAGTCCTTACGAAGGGTATGGGTGACCTTCCCCAGAAAATTTTGAAAAAGAGACTGCCGGAAATGCTGTCTGTGTATTCAGTCAGGCACCGATCGTCGAGATAAATAGATCTTACCAGATACTGTCCGTCGCCTGATCATTAGTTTATCCGACCAGAGAACAAAGTGTCAAACGAACGGACTTGCAAACCTCAACGAAGTCCCCTAGGGATCGACAAAGTAGCGAGTCCTTGTGGGGGGTATGGGTGACCTCTCCAAGAAAATTTTGAAAAATAGACTCTCTGGCACAGATTATCGAGATAAATCGAGCTGGTCTGATACCATACGCCTGTTGTCCGATCACTAATCTTTTTTTTATTATCTAAAATTATTGGGGGGGGGGGGGCAAACCAGATTTGCCCCCCCCCCCCCCCTGGCGCCGCCACTGGTAGCTGCACCTAGAATGTATAGTATTTTGCACCTGTGCTGTCGCAGGTTGTAAATATATAGTTTGGTTTGGTGAAATAATTATTGTCTAAACCGCCGCTATGAAGTTAAAGGGTCATATTGTCTGGCATTTTGCATTTTACTATCATAATGGATGATTTCAGCTATTCCTTGGCCCCAAAACATACGGTTAGATACCAAAATTATCATACTAGACAAAATAATATGGGCCATCTTGGGCGCCATCTTGAATTTCTCAAAACGCTCAAGGGTGACCCAGGTTCAACCGGCAGATTCTTAAAGAGTACACCACAGGCTACTAAAATCAATCATAAAAAACTTTGTATACAAGTTCCCTGTGCAGCCATATAGTGCTGTCCGACTAAGTGTTTTGACGTCAAAATGACGTCATTACGTCACAATGCCGCCATGACATCATACCATGACCTGTTGGCGTCGTGATAACCTTTTTTCCGATTCGTTGGTATCACTTTTGTATCTAATGATATACATTTATATGCTCTAATACGAGTCGTTTCCAAGACATGGAGGACAGAAAGTCCAATTGGCGGCCATCTTGGATTTATGCTAATTATGAAAAAGGCTACAGGGTTTCAGCGGACAATTTTGAGTTGGGAGTCCTTAAGACATCCCTTTACTAGATTCCAGTGAAAAAAATTCTTTTGCAATTTGTTCTCGGTAATTGCCAAACAGAAATTGTATCTCTCCGTCCATACCCACATCAACATTGTATTTCGAAATCTGTTGTTCGAGATTTGTTTTCTGTTGTATGTTCTAATGAAATTTAAATGTGCCTTTTTGATTTTTTAAAATAAATTTTAAAATTGACAAAGAATAAATTTAGAAATCTGATATGACAAATGATTGATTTGAAAAACAAAAATATTTTCTTTCAAGATATAAATGTTAATTTTAGCATACAATATTGTAAATATTGATGTTATCAGTCAAAATATTCTGATATATCCTTGAAAGACCACATACATTAGGAAACAGACTAAGGTCTTACTGAAGATATTCTGTTCTTCATTATGCTTATTTGTACATTTACGCTTTAACCATTTACAAATTCTGTATAGGTGCACGAACACGATGAGAGGAGGAGGAAGAAAGGGGCGATCGTAGTGTTCGTGGATCAGTTGATATCGCTGTAAACACCAGTAAGAGTAGGATTTCTTTTGAATATCATTGAATGTTTTGCTGTTGATATAAAAGGCATAAAATATATACATGTATAGTAAATAAGTAGTAAGTGGGGATACATAGTTTGAGGAATTACTTCCCCCTGTTATTTACAAATGAAATGAAATGGGGTTTAACGTCCTGCTGTTCTGCTCCGACTGGGCTAATGAAGACGGGTGTTGCTTATAAAAATGGTATAAGATATATACATGTATAAGAATAATAGAGTCCTTGTTTGAAAGCAATTGGAGCCGCTGTGGCTCAGTGAGTAAGACACGGATTCGTTAACCAGGACTAGAAGTCTTGAGATGTCAGTCGCACAGAACCGAGGGCCTGGCAACAACCGGTTTCTTATAGTCCGGATACACATAAAAGAACACTTGGAATTCAAGATAAGAGTTGGCCGTAGTGCCACTGGTATGGCAAAATTTCCCTCATAGCACACTTTATGGCGTGTGATCCGTCGGTGGAGAAAAATATATTAAAATTCATTATAAACAATTGGTACTGTTAGGCATCTTCTAATTGTTTTTTAAAAATACTTAGAATAATTTTAAGAACATTTTAAACATGATAGATCGAACGAGTAACCTGCATTTCCATGGGCAAATTAACAGATACGATAACTTTTTTTCTACTATGGTGACATAATCAACACAAGATCATATTTACTAAATCAGTCGTTGTAAGTGTGTTAGGTTCTATGAAAAAGTTACTGTTATGGGTAGTTTGGGGAACCTTTTGATTTAGTTTGCTTTTGTTATATTTTTGATTTTACGTCGATAAATTGGCAAGATTGCAACAAGCTACATTTGTGCATAAGCTAGAAACACAAAGATATGCATGAATACTAGAAAGCATGATTTACGCATGATTTACAGTCTGTTTTTCGAACAATTTCACGCGCTCGGGTTGTAGGGGGGGGGGGGTACAATTGAGCAAAGCCAAGGACGATGACGGATGTTTAAGACTGCTGTACGTATAACCGTGTCAAAAATATTATACACCTTGGCCAAATGCCGCCTAGATCGTGAGTACCTTGGCTGTAGCCTGCCAAGCCTATACGTAAATCCGGCAATGCCTTTATAATTACAAATCGGTACAGTTGGTCTACGCTCTACTTGCAGCTTACCTGAACATTGCAATGAGTATATTCAATAGAAGTACATTGGTAAAAAGTACATAAATCCCTAGGAAAAGCGGAGCCACATACTTCCCTACAGCTGATGGACATCGTAGTTCACTATTTGTATCATATTTATCAGGATTATCAGTACAAGGGTTTGTACCTGTGAAAGAGAAATTTTTGCAAAAAACATTTTTATTCAAAATTGGTAAAGGCGTCACTCCCGTTTTTGTTAAGCCTAAGAATTATTCCCCGTGTAAAAGTTATAAAAAAATACTATTCTCATTCCTATTTGGTTTCTACGGAAACACAAAGCACATCCAATAACTATTATAATATATTGATTTATGTACAAAGTTTCATAAAGATATGTTGAATTGTTTCTGAGATATGATAAAGAAGAATTTCAAATCCTTCAACCGATAATTTTCTAACTAAATTAAGACAGCTGTGTGTAAAGATATCGTGTGTGGTTCCTGCAATATGGAAACAAGACCGGGACGGAATGATGAACGACGCGGGTTTAAGAACATAAACATTTTATATAACGTACCTTCTAAACCATCTAAAAACAGTTCCCTATAAATAATTTATATAACTTACCTTCTATATCATCTAAAAACAGTTCCCCATAAATATGCCAGTACGCCTTTCGTGGAAGTTGATACAGAAGTTTAACTGATAATTCGGTATTCGGGTACAACATTGCCTCTGTTGACACAGAGTAAGCCAAAATAAAAACCAATACAATAACCATAAATGGTATCAGGTCCTGGAGAAACTGTAAACAACAAATTCCAATAAATGAACCATACCACGCTCTTAACAATATATACGCACCGTCGTGACTAGGTCTATTTCTATGAGCGAGCGAGAGAGAGAGAGAGAGAGAGAGAGAAAGGGAGAGGAGGTTTGACGTCCACTAGACACAAACTAGGTCATTTTCTTACTAACATATGGTTCAATTTTATTTCAATCATTCGCTTACGAGTGGGGTCTTGAACAGTGGTAGGATACCGGTGGACCTGAACAAAACCTACGAGGTTGGACAGGCGACCCTACTCATTGCGTGTGACCAATTTATATGTTTTAGATCTAGGAAAATGTACTTTTATGTTCACTCAAGTGTAGAGGTAGACAATAGTTTCAATAAATCAATTAATTACAATATTTAAATTTTATTGACAACTTTTTATTTTTGTAACATTAAAAATACCGCAATAATCCAATATATCGTTTGACTACAGCTTAAATCGAAAGTATCGAATAATGATTACTTCTGAAATTAGGAACTCATTTTTAATTTAATTTTTATCGTCTATTATTCCACGCCGAAGGAAATATTTGAAAGATATTGAAACGGGCTCTGTCCATCTGTCCGTTTCCGGGGCATATCATAAGATATGTTTATGAAACTTTGTTATTTGTGAATACATCAACCTATAATAATAGTTGTTCCTTTTGCTAATTAGAAATCTTTCGGATTTAATCATTTTTGTGTTTCCTGGGTTAAGGTGGTGTAGTGTCTAACACCAGTTAGATCAGTGTAGCACTAGTGTAACGCTGTGCTAACTCGACCTCAGACACCCTCCGAATTTGAAACCAATCCGAGTTAAGGTATGCGGTGTTGAGTTTGTGTTAAACATGTGTTGTGTTATACCTGAGCCCCTCAGTTTGTCTATAATTTCAATTTCCCGATTTAAGAAACAAATTTACATGAAAAAAAAATCAAACAAGGAGCTTTGTGCAATGTTATTTCATTGTTAGATAACAATAACTTGATAAAAGATATTATCTTGTTAAAACAACTCTAATCCCTAGGTGTTACATAAAATCGCAGTTCCAGTCATTTATTACAACACTTGTGTGAAACAGCAGACGGCAAAAAGGGAATTTCTTTTAAGGCTGTTAGATTTTCTTTTAAGACTCAAAGTGATTTTTGTGTTCCCATATATGGCCAAAACGTAAGACAAAGAAATGTTGATCTCAGACCTGCTGATTTACGAGAAATTTCAGATTGGAAATTTTGAGTGAATAATGATCAAATGAGACAACAAAAATACAACATACAGTGTAGATCCTGTTTACTTGCAAAATGTTTTTTTTTATTTCACAGAATCAAAGAATTAATAAGGTTAGTGTAGTCTTACTGCGCACACAATAACTAGTTTTGGTGGCGCAACGGTATTTGTATCTGCAAATCTACAGATGAATAAGGTATGAATATGGCAAAGTTTATCAACTTACTATGTTGCATTATCGAGTAATATTACCCCCAACACACCAAAAAGTAGGTTAAGGTGGGTTCACTGCTCTCACAATAACGTCCAAAGTAGCTTTGGTGACTCTGAGATGTTTATTTCAATAAATCGACAGATGCATAAGGAATGAACATATCAAAGTTCATTAATTCTCTGTGTTGCAACTTGGGCGTACCCTTTGCGTATTTATATACATGTAGTAATATCACTATATAATACAACATAGAAAGTTAAAGATACAGTATGGGAGATTAGATAAGAGCTGGCAGTTCTCACTATAATAGTTAAAAAAACAGATAATGTAATGGGAATTTGCTGAAAATTTCAGTCAAATTGATCACTCTGAACCGAGAATTTCGCGATTGAATTTTAGGCCTAGCCTCGATCATCATTACTAAAGTCGGTACGATAAATAACATAGTCTTGATTATCCATTTTTTTATTTAATCACCAATCTCGATGACATCGAGAGTTGATTATGGTCTGCATGAGTTAGTTAATGTCTAATAAATAATTTAAATAACAATTCAGGCCTAAAGAAAGACCTGCAATAGGCAAATTTAGCTCTTTCATAATGTATGTTGAACTTCCTGGAAGCGGTTAATTTCCCCAATTACCTTTCCTTTGGTGTTTTTTAAGTTGGCCAGCTCATACAACGTGTAACGAAAGTATAACATTTAAAAATAACACTAGTTTTATAGGTGTCATCTTATTTTCCACCAGTGTTAACACTGGTATTAAACTAGTTTATACACTTGTGTAAACACTAGTATTAAATCGAGAGGCTCAGTTATACACCACTACATCACAACCTTAACAGAGGCGTGACCCGGGACTTGAATTGACCCACTGTGTGTCTCGAGCTCATATCAAATAGTTGAAAATTCACTCCTAGATGAAATTATTAAGCAAGATTAACACAAATGCAATAAAAGATGCCGAACTGTAATTGGAGGAAAACTAGAAAGAAATGTTTCTTTTATAGCTTACCATTTGTTGCATCATGACAAGTTTTGGTCCCAAAGAACTGCTTACTTCGAAAATGTTAAGAATACGGATATAGAAGAAAAGTAAATCCACACATAGGATTACCCGTGCAGCTTCGAAACATAGGTCATTATTTATCAATCGTAGACATATACCAAAAAAGAAAGCTATAATGGTAGTGATATCCAATACGTTCCACGAGTCTTTAAGATATACCTTCATTTGTTCCCAAATACCCTTAGAATCACTGCTAATACACTGAAAATAGAATATTCATGCAATACTATAAATCATCAATGAATATGTAAATTATGACTACCATTTGGACTGATTTGGTAAAGTGTCCACAAATTACTTAATAACAGTGTCTCATCTTTACGCAATCTGATTACAATACAGATCTATATTTCGTTTCGTTTTTTATGCTTTCGAAGACCTCCACTACAAGAAGATCATCCTCGGTTACCTGGTGTACTCATTCCGTTCTACTCCACTATACCCTGGGTTAATCCATAGGGTTTCCACGATTTCAAATTATCTGCCCTGGCCTAGAATGTAGCTACAGTCTACGAACCAATCAGAAAACAGTTTACAAACCAATCGTTTCGCCTTCGTTTTTATAAGGGTAGATAACCATATTCATGTCCATTTACTGAATGATTTATGTAAATAATGTATATATTTATAATTTATTTATATTTAATGGTATTATCAAAATCTGTAGTATGTGTTGTTGATTTCAAATATGTATAACATCTATATGTTTGACTTTTGTTATTATTATTACTATTCGTTCTTTGTCTGAAATATGTCACTCTGTTATGTTTATTATTATTGAACTTATACTTGGCAATTTGATTCTCCATAACTTGTCCGCGATATCACGTGGACATAAAATTCCGGGAACGAATGAGCGATTCTAAATAAAACTAATGACCCTAAATTATTATATGAACGTCTGGTCTTCATTAACATAATATATAACTGGTTGTTAAGAATTACGCATTTCGAACAGGTAAACTCCTAACATTGTCCGATGAGAGTTACTTCCCTTCGCCAACTTCCTTTTCAAATAACAATTTATGGGATTGGTCGATAAAAATAGCACAATCATCAAGGACGGATAACTTGAAAACGTGTCTCCCCCATAGATTAACCCAGGGTATAGTGGAGTAGAACGGAATGAGTACACTGGGTAACCGAGGATGCAAGAAGATCTGACCAGTAGTAGTGGGAGGTAGCGTCAGGGATCATACGAGTGACTTTTGACCTTATGACGTCGGACATTTGATTAACGAATTAGCGTTGATGGTTCTAGAGGGATACCCACAGTTCCGTGCATCGCACGCCACGAACTCGCCGTTATACAGACCGTTTCATTGGCTAATCCCAGAACACGGGTTATATAACAACTCTTCCAGATCCTAGTGTAGTAAACATAAGTAAAACAAAATTTTGAACTATGAAAAACGAAACGAAATAGGATCAGCAGCTCATCAAAAATCTTATAATATACTTTGACCCCAACATTTGATTTTATGACTTTTCGGGTTCATTTTATTATGTGGTATTTGCACACTTGTACTTTCATAATATGATTTTAGTATTTCTTAAAATTTTAGAAAACGTCAAATTACTTACTTGCCTTATTTCCTCAGCACAAAAGGTAAAAACCCAGACACAGATAATTATTTCAATAACAGAGAATGTCGGATTAAAACTAACAACCATCAGGTAGCTGAACAGGCCCAGGAATATCACATACGATAACTAAAATAGATTAAAATAAACTCCAATGTTCGTCATAATATATCTACTAGGTATGGTCAAACCCCAGCGCATGAACCAATTGAGGTCCAATGGATGATTAGACGTGATGCATTGCATCCCCTTGATAATGATTTTAAAGTGGAAAGCCTATTCAATATTTTAAGCGATTGTATTATTCAAAACGGTCACAAAATTCACATTAAAGACAAATAATGCTTATCTGCTTTATCGGATATTGTTTTATATTTAATAATTTTATCATGTAAAAAGACGTAGACGAGGATACAGGAGTTATCTGACGCATCCGAATACGTGTATGAATTGGCTCGTTTAGTGAGAGGATTTCTGGAAAACCATATAAACAAGCCGACACTGAAGTGAATTTGATGAGTGTACGTTATGCAGGTTTGTGCCCGTACCGGATCTCGGATTTGGGCCGGAGGGTGGGGTGGGGGTATACCAAATACACCAGAACGAACCCATTTTTCAAAATTTTCCAGCTCTGAACTATACTATGCCACGACAAACAATACAACAGCATTGTAGCAAAATAGGACTCTAACAGTAGCTGTACGATAGCCGTAGTTTTCCGATCGCTAACCCAGAGTTTGCTGGTCAATTGCATATTAGAGTGAGAATTAATTGGTGTTGTTTGTTTTTTCTCTTTAATATTGTATATATGTCTTAAACCTTAATATTGTCTTAATTCTTAAACCCAACCCACAGTCCACATATGACGTCATATGTGCTAAAATGTGCAGGACGGTCTCCGATCTAGCGTTCTCCGGTCTTTCGCAGGATCATTATGGCAGCCAAATCGAGAAAGGGGTGTAGTAAAAAGATATTACGTTTTATAAACACATAATTTGTATATTTCTAGAATGATAAGATGTTTTTTGTATCTCTAATTACAAATGTTTTAGTCATTTTAAGTCATGTTTAGAATTTGTCGAGACATCGTTGTCATCTGTCATTTGTTATCGTCTTTTAAACAGTTACTTATTGTTTACGCTATGTTCATTGTCATCGTTATCAAATGTATTTTTTTTATTTCAGTTTTCACATAATGTTCAGTGAAAGCTTCAGAATGTAATCTTCAGCATGTTCTTCAGAATATAATATTCAGCATGTGATCGTCAATAATATTACGCTTGTCTTCAGTATAATATTCAGCACGTAGATTATATAATCAGATTTAATATAGATGAATTCATCTGTATTCGAATTCTCTAATTCGGCTATAGTAGGTCCATGCGTATGCGAACTTATTAGGCTATTGTTGGCCCATGCGAAACTTGATGTAAGCTGATGTCTGAACTGTTTATATTTGTAGTAAATTGTACTGGTTAGCTGTTAATATATACTCTTCAAAACAAAGTAGGAGATATTAAAATGCAAATACTTATGCAGATTGTGATATGATAAATAGTCATGGACACTTGACATGCTTTGAGAGTATGTTCACAGATGAAGAACTTACCGTCCCAACAGAACCACTGAGCTACATGTGCGACACGCAATAGCGTCATACACATGGGAGGGGTTCATTGTAAAATTGACACTTCAAGGAAGGGTTAATGAAAACTGCCGCTTGCTGGTTTATCCTATCCATGTTTGCTTTCCTATCGGTTCTTCCATAAGATTTACTGTTTAACGTATCTTTGCTTTAGTGTGTTACGTTTAATTTAATCGGGAGACGTGTTGGTCGACGTCAACGTCAACCGACAACAGTGCAAGAATTGGCTGTGGCACTGCAAGGGGAGTGGGTCAGATTGCCCAAATCGTGATTGGACGATTGATTAGGAGCATGCCACGACGAATTGCTGAATGTCTAAGGATTGGTGGAGCAATTACTCATTATAAAGACAAAAATCAAAAACGTTCATTTTCACTTTTGACAGTGTATCTCTTTGTGAGTGAAATGGGGCCGTCAGATAAGCCGCCCATATGAACTCTTTATGTTCATGTGTAGGCAATTGGCCTGTTATTAACATACATTGGTTACCTCTAATAAAAACAGCAGTGCATTTCCGCATTTTTGTATTGTTTCTGAATATCCCCTACTTTTTTTTAAGAGTAAACAAAGTTTATTACATTGAAGAACTAATTGTTTATATTTCGCTGAATGTTTCAGTATAGAATTAGAAAGCATGGACTTCCTAGTATTCGTCCGCAGAACATCATTTCTCTGTCAATATTGTTTGATTGCATCCGAGATAGAGGTATGCTGTTACAAGTACTCCTTTTAAAACAAGATGTTTAAGTCCATGAAATTAATTTAAGAATGTCATTTCAAAAAATCCATTTGACTGCATGCCAGTTCAGCATCCAGCACTCTTATTTTTTTTATTGTAAAATTTCTCTCTTCATGGGCCATATCTATGCTTTTTAAATTAATCCTAATTCGTCGTCACGATTCAGGTTTGTTTATATTAATGCAAGAATTATGGGATTTATTATGGGAAGGGGCGGAACTCTTACTTCACTTGGCCAAAGATACTGGATAATCAACCACATTAACTTTACGTCAAATATTGACAACGGTCCCAGACCCCCTGTATGTTGAAGACTAGGAGGTTCTGGGTGACCGATACTAATCCTTGCGCGAGACTAGATTGACATTTCCCGACTCTTACAATTCGATGACAATCCGTAGGATGACATGAAATGGTGTCTAGCGTCCTGCTTTTCTGTACCGACTGGACTAATGAAGACTTGCATATAGTCTGCTGTGATGAAAATTTGACCCGGACAGCAGAGTACTAGCAGCCCTACTACAGCCCCCTTTGACGCGCATGCACAGAAGCCCTAGCAACCGTGGCAATGTCGATGTCGTCATCTGTGAAGCCATTAGGGGATTACTTCGTTGGGGGGGGGGGGGGGGTCTACGGATTCCCTCCCTTTTCTAGTGTCTTTTCTCGTCATTTCTTCCCTTTTCTCACCCCTTTTCTCGGAATTCCCTCCAATTTCTCGTTCTTTCTCAGGATTCCCTTCCCCTTCTCGATATTTCTAGTTCCTTTTCTCGAGTTTCCCCCCCCCCCCCTTCCTCGTACTTTCTCGTTCTTTTCTCGGGCCTCCATCCCTTTGCTCGTACCTGCTGGCCTGTCGTTGCTAGAGCACTGTCCCTTACCAACCCTTGCGTCGTTCCCCCTTTAATAATACCATGTTTAACAATTTTTTTGAACAATTAAACAAATCAACGGTGTCAGCTGGGGCTTCTGCGCATGCGCGTCAAAGGGGCTGTAGTAAGGCCCCCACTAGTCCTACCTTTTACCAGAGTCTGTAGAAGTCGAGATCGAACCAATGGAAATCGTCAGCGACTACAAGGCCGACGATAAGGACGCCGACGATGGATGGGTTCGTGGGTTCGTCTCCGACCTTTTCTTGTCAGATCTTGACCAGTATGTACAGTTACGCCAGCTATTTCACCACCGACATCCATATTTTATCCATTGAAACTTTGAGACTTTGAAGAGTTGCTACCAATACAGTATGTACAGTTACGCCAGCTATTCAACCACCGACATCCATATTTGCTCCATTGAGACTTTGAGACTTTGAAGAGTTGCTACCAATACCTCGTAAACGGAAACAGTACGAGGACGACGACCCCTTTATAAGTCGTATCCGCCAACGCCGCGGCTAGGCTACCTTCACAACGGTCCTTTTCACAACTTGTCAAAGGTGCTGTAGTAATGCCCCCAGAACTAGCTGCGCTATGGACCACCCGTATTTTGAATATAGGGTTCTTTTACATGTACGAAAATATGTACACGGGATCTCGGTTTTTCGTTCCTTCCGAACGACTAGTCACGCACTATGTCCTGATAATGGTAAAATCCCAAGGAACATTCTCGGACAACACCGGGGACCAACCCGATACCTCCTGCCTAGCGAGGCAGCGCCTAACATTAAATTAACCCCTAGGTAATAAGTTCCATTGACGACTATCACTCTCTTGAATCTATGTCTCTTGATCGTCTTGTGATCATATTTGGTTTCATAATTTGTTGTTATAATTTTTCTATATATATTTGCCTCATACTTTTATATTACCGTATTAGCTTGATAACGTTGAGAGAATACACCAGTATATTGCTCATCAATTCGTATGACATTTACTATTCCTTAACTGGAAACATACTGACCATAGTTACGAGTTAGATATTTAATTAAATGCGCAGTAGACGAAAACAGTTTGGGAACGATCGGGAATTGGTTTTTAGTCCGTTATTAAATATACAGCAAAATATACGAAACCTAAATTGGTTCGCTTTTACGATTTTGTTATGCAATTAACTACATAACAACTAAAAACTGGGAACAAAAGCTTTCGAGTTCTTCATTTAGATTGACTACGTTTTAAAGACTATTTGAAACTTTGTACAGTTTGGGAAGTACTGAAATAAAAAGCTGTATTTTGAATTTACTTACCAAGTTAAGACAAAATATAGTTACTGGTTTCAGAAAAAAATTTTCAATACGTGTCCATTCTGTTTCTTGTTCTTCTTTTTTTTCGTTTTCTTCTTTTTTTTCTTTTTCTTTTTTTTCTTTTTTAGAAAACCTGTGATAGATCACTTTCGGCAATAAGATTGTACAAAGCATCATCTGCAATATAAATTGTTTCGTTTGATGCCGTATATTCGGAAATTCCACTTGGCAATTCGGAGTTTGTTCTAATAGTTTAGTCAAATGTAACAATATTAAGTTCCCGACATAATATTTGTTTCAAAGTACACCAACGGACATGAACAATAATTTGATAAACACATCTGTCATTGTGTCTTCTTCATTTTCAAAAATATATGAATTATAACGTTTGTTATAAATTTATTTAAAGTGTAATTAATTTGTGTTCAACAGGATATTAGGTCTAGAGTCAAGGTTAATTGTTCAGAACACTTGTTATGGGAAAATTACTAGTTACGTCATTGGTGTAATTGACCAATCACATAATTAATTGCACAAATCCAGGGGTCTAGAATAGCTAGATCTGAGCGTGACAGATTTCTCAAGTCCACTGTCCATGTTAAAATGGTCCGTATTCAAAGGTTTTCAAAAAGGTTGTATTTTACATATACTTGGCTATGTGAAAAACTTAACTGCACGCTTAAATTAAGGAATAATTTTATTCGCCAAATAGCATAAATTTTCTAACATCGTAAGCAAGTTATGCCCCCTTAAGAGCATCACTATACTCTATTAAATTCTTAGTTTACATTACTAGGAATATGTTTGTTGAAATATTATATTGTAACGCATGAAAATAGTATGATTATAATTTATCATAAATTATGGAAGTGTGCATCTTTTGCTGGAACTGCTGTTTTCGTAAACTTTTTTTTAAAAATTCCATATCAATAGATTACAATTAATAGTGGTAGTATAATGTAAACTTAAATTTTTTAACAAAATATCACGAATAGAAAATAACATATATATTAGCAATACACAATGACCTTTGCCTTCTAAGTTAGACTGGACAAATCATACAGTGTTGTATCATTTGAGAAATTCATAGATATTGTGTCTACTTTTTAGATTTGCAAAGCCCTGGCGTTGACGGTTCATTGCGTGTACGAAAGATTGATGTTGCATTATTTTTTTTACCTAAATAAATGGGTTGTAAAAAATAAATCATGCCTTGCTTCTAGTGGTAGTATAAGAAATTTCTGAAATCTGTAAAGCCATGTCATCACATTCACAAATGAATTTAATTTTATTATATGACAGTCGTGGAAACATGATTAAGCAATACAGACATGATAAATGGTCGGAAAAAAGATATCCTTGACTATCTCGGTGGTAATAACCTTATATTCCATTATGGCACTACAACATCAAAGCTGACGATGAAAAAAAAATGATTTGACGCCAGCTAAACTCGGCGACATTGTCTTTGTTTCAATCTGAATCCCCGAACTTTTAAAATCGCCATTACGAGACTGCTTCTACAGCGTTGAAATGAATCATTATCATCTCACTTAACTTTAAGGTACCTCCCATAGGTCACTTAAAGTTAAGTGGATATTTTTCACTTAGACTGGCCTTTGAATTCCACTTAAAAACTAATACTTAAAAGTTAAAGTCGTGGAAACATGATTAAGCAATACAGACATGATAAATGGTCGGAAAAAAGATATCCTTGACTATCTCGGTGGTAATAACCCTATATTCCATTATGGCACTACAACATCAAAGCTGACGATGAAAAAAAAAATGATTTGACGCCAGCTACGCTCGGCGACATTGTCTTTGTTTCAATCTGAATCCCCGAACTTTTAAAATCGCCATTACGAGACTGCTTCTACAGCGTTAAAATGAATCATTATCATCTCACTTAACTTTAAGGTACCTCCCATAGGTCACTTAAAGTTAAGTGGATATTTTTCACTTAGACTGGCCTTTGAATTCCACTTAAAGACTAATACTTAAAAGTTAAGGCAGCTTAACTTTAAGGGAAAATTTGATACTTAACAGTGCCTTTGAATACCACTTACCCGTAACTTACAGGAAGTTACGTATATTTAAGTGAAAGCTAGTAGTTAAGTGACTATCTTAGACTTAAGATATCCTTTGAATACGGACCCAGGTGTTTTAGACATCATGTAGATTCTATAAAGATCAGACACACATTTGGTTTCTTAGGCGACTCCATTGAGGTTCAAGAGGCATCATCTGGATTGAGTAGACCCCGTTAATTCGTAGGGCAGCCATGATGTAGGGGATCCATCAGTAACTCGCTCTGCCAGTTAGTAAGGTGCAGAGAATGACTTTTATTGTAATATACTTTTCAAAAAAGTAGGGGATATTTAGAAACAATACAAAACTGCGGAAATGTACTGCTGTTTTTATTAGAGATAACCAGTGTATGTTAATAACAGGCCAATTCCTACACATGAAGAGTGTCACAATTGGTATGATAATTTGCTATGTATAATTGTGACATGGTTTATTTCTGTGATTTAGGGTACCCAATTAATTTGGTACATGGCTAAAGGGAATATTTATTTCTTTTAAAGACATTTATTAAGGGTTGTACAGGTTTTGGTTAATAAAGTTTAATTATTTTCAATGTATATGCGTTGTTTTTACAGAACGATTGTTGGTATGTCTGAGCAAGTTAGGTAATGAGGGTGTAAAGTAATGAATGTGTCTGGATTGTGATGCATGTGCAGGTGGTGCATAATTCTGATTGGATGTTTGAGTGACTAAAAGTTTCTTGGTGTAGGAATTAGAAAAGTTTGTCAGAGAGGTTTAAAATAAGTTACAGGATAGACATGGCTGTTTTCTCTACTTAGATCAGAGAGATTTTAAAGGACCAGACATGACTGTTTTTCAGTATCTACAGTAACACCAATGACTGGCTTTAGATGCTTAGAACCTGGTAATTAAATACGATGTATTTAAATGTGATGAATCCGTTCCTTGATGAAATAACATTTAACCGGTAATGTCTAGGTGATCGATATAAATCATATTTCAACCCAGGGGTAACCTGTGAATCATATTGTAGTTTAATCTTGGTGAACTTTGTGAATCGTACGCATGTAGTCTTGGTGAAGTACATTTCAATCTTGGTGAAGTTTTAATACAATTAGTGAGTCTAGGTGAATACGAGAAATAGATCTGTGACATGTGAAGGTTTTGTGTTTTCCGAGAATTTGTGTTCGGGTTTAAAATGTTTTAAAAAAACAACTTACGCGATTGGGATGGTGGAATTAAGACGGAGAATTAATCTGAATGCTAACCAGGAGGATTGATTGAATTAAAGCAACAGAGTATTAAATGCCGGAATGAACTGTAACTTTAAAGCATTTAATTTTGTAAAAACCTCTTAAATTGTATATGTAAATTGATTGTACAATAAATAAATTAATTAGTTGTGTTGTTTGTTGGAAATTTGGAAAAGGGGGCAAGTGAGTTAAAGAACCTGAGGTCACTTTGTGACAAAGAGAAACAGTTTATATGGGCGGCTTATCTGAAGGACCGATTTCACTCGCAAAGAGATCCACCGTCAAAAGTGAAAATGGACGTTTTTTTGTTTTTTGTCTTAATAATGAGTAATTGCTCCACCAATCCTCAGACATTAAGCAATTCGTCGTGGTATGCTCCTAATCAACCGTCCAATCACGATTTGAGGCAATCTGATCGGCTCCTCTTGCAGTGTCACGGCCAATTCATGCAGTGTTGTCGGCTGACGTTGACGTCGACGAACACGTCTCCCGGTCAAATTAAACGTAACACACCAAAGCAAAGATATGCTAAACAGTAAATCTTATGCAAGAACCGATAGGAATGCTAACATGGATAGATAAACCAGCACGCGGCAATTTTCATCAACCCTTCCTTGAAGTGTCAAATTTGACAATGAACCCCTCCCACGTGTATGGCGCTATTGCGTGTCGCATGACAGCTCAGTGGTTCTGTTGGGGCGGTAAGTTCTTAATCTGTGAACATACTCTCAAAGCATGTCAAATGTCAATGACTATTTATCATATCACAATCTGCATAGGCATTTGCATTTCAATATCTCCTACTTTTTGGAAGAGTATATATGCATGTAACCATGTATCCTGTGCTTTTGACATTTAAAGATATAGACCAGAAACTGTTGTGGGGAATTACAGTAATGTACGCCAGAGACAAATCTAGAGGAACGCAGGCTTACACATATGTGTAACAAGATATTTCCGACGTCCTATTCGTAAGCTTTTGGTCGGTTTCACCCCGGTCCATGGTTTCACTTTCCATATTCGACCGACGGCGTGTATTGCTACATATCTATATTTGGTTGCCGTGACTCAACCTTCCGGGCGAAAGGAGCAATCCTGGGAAAAAACCCGTGGAAACTAGTAACCAAAGGAATTCTGGTGGATAATCTGGTGCAAAGCAAAATTTGGTGGAAATATTCACAAATGGGTAAATACGTTTTTTTCTGAAGAATGGAAATGGAATATGTTTAACTTTGTTTAACAAACCAAATAGTGTTTAGTCATTAATTTAAGGTTAAATATTAAATATGACGATCGGTTTAAGCGTATTATATAAATATATATTCATTGTTAAAGGGACCATCCCGATTTTAACAGAGTCTCAAAAATAAAAGTCCGTGTTCGTATTACTAAACAATTTTGTCGGTAATATTTGAAGATCAACTACAACCTTGTATGCCCCAAGTTTTAGTTCAGTTATGTGATTTTAAAGTAGCTAAGTCTCTAACTCAATATCATCCAAAGTCTTCGACATTGAAAACACAAATTATTTGACAATTTAATTAAACATTGATGTTGTGATCTTACTGGGGAAAAAGTGGGCTTCTATCCAATATTTAAGACAAGATAACCATTTTACCATTAGTACATGAATCGTGTACCATAATGCGTTCAGCGCCATTTTAACAAGGCTAGACATATTTCATGAGCGACGAAAGATTCTTATCTGGAGAGCATGCGCAAAAAATACTATCGGTGTAGATTGGAATAATCAAACGCTAGAGATTGTCATTCGATTTAGACTTCTGGCGAATTTCGCTGAACACAACTGATTTGCAATTAGAGTTAATCGAAAACGAATGAATGTAAATCTGTTTATATACATTTATATTACAAATTATTATATGCGTTGCGACCCATATGTGCCATATGTGTCATAGGTCCCAAATATTAGCGACTAGCCCCTTTTAGGTTAACGTTCTTGTCCATAAAGCATTATACGTTACTATTGTCTTATAGAGTAGTAAAAGGTAAGTAGAATAGCCCAAACATTGCATCAAACCATTAATGATCCACAATCTTTCCGGTTGTTTTCTTTAATTCGATTTAAACAAGTTATATTTAATTCAATGAATGTTAAATCGAATATTTAATGGAACCCTCCCTTCTTTTGTTAATTTCTACGTTGATTTATTTATGTATTTGTCGGGAACATGGCTATTATTGCCGAGCACTGAATAGGTATCTATAAACTACATAAAACCACAATCATTAGGTTTTGCAATTAATACACAGACCAAAAGATGGACTAATCAAAGTTGATATATTATAGATATACATTTTGATCCTATTTCATAGATGCATGTAACCCGAATTTTCAAGTTTTACACATGAATAAAATATATATACGACAAAAAGTGAGAGAAAAAATACTTTCCACTGATAGAGCTTCTCGCAATGTAACACGATCCCACCAAATATCATCCAGGAGTTCCTGACAAGCAAGCCTAGACATGAAGTGTTTGTTGCCTGCGGCCGCTGTTAGACAAGATTTATCTTTTAATTTTGTCAGCTTTCGGATTAAAGATTCACTACTACACCCTTCTCTATGCAAAGAATCGATCACTTTGATGGCCAGTGTTGTAAATTCCCTGTAAACAATAAAATGGATATCTTTGAAACAATACGTTCTTGTAGCAATTGTTTTATATTTCACCTTTTGGTTTTTCTTTTTTACAAAAATTATTTTAGATAATTCAAAGCCACCGCATTCTTTAGAGAGGGCGGATCTAGAGAGGGCGGAGGGGTCGCACCCGGAGCTGCCCTCCTTGCTCGTATCTGGACCCAGGGGGCGCACTTTAGAACTGGATTCTTGTCTCAGATCAATGGAAATGGAATTTCAGGACTTCTAGTCTTTGAAATATTCCGGGAGGCCACCCGGACCGCCCGTTTTGCCCTTCGCGTCAACGGCGCTCGCCGCCTGTACGCCGCCACACCCCTATCCATGATCTCTGGATCCTCTCCTTGAGAGTGCTATGGATCGGTTGCTTGTTTCTGAATAAAAGAGACAGTGTGAAAAGACCGGACCACAAGTGCATCCTGGGTGTGTCGTATATATTTATGTCCATTGGGGTCACTGCACGGGAGATGAAATGAAATGGAATATAAGGTCCTAATTTTCTTATGGTGACGGGCCTACACCATACCGTGTGCTACGTGGAAAATTTTGCCCAGACACCCGCGTTTCGGCCCACTCTTATTTCGAATTTCAATTCTCAAAGATACTTTTACGTGCCTGTCTACGTATACACTGGTCCGTGGTTTTTCGTCCAATCCGAACGCTTAGGGGCGCTTGTCTAGCCTCTTGGGTCCCCCCACCTACTGCTATAGAACCCTACGCCCAAGCGAATCATTGAAATGACCCTGTCTGTGTCCAGTGGACGTTAAGCGCCCCCCCCCCTCACTCTTTCATCACGCCAGTGCCGTGATGTTATAGTTTACAAATGTGATAACAATGAGCAATGGATACGTAGAATACTTACCGTCCATTCTGTCGTAACTTTTCTGAATGTTCATCGTAGTCTTTTCTGTTCTCATCTACAATTCTGTATATATTTTCTGCAAACACTGCAAAGGCTAATGGTTCCTGAATGATAATTTTAAAACGACAGCAACAAAATAAAATTACAAACATTCAATGAACTATAAGCATGGAAATTGCTGTAGAGACAGATGTGTGTAAGACCAAATAGCTGTTTATTCGGTGTTCTTAATTCTTGTTTTTATTTCATACTCTTTAATTCTTATTGCGTCATTTGTTTTGTCATATATCGACATTTGTACATTAAAATTTAACATCTGTATATTAAAATCAATATTTGTTTTACAAATCATACATTTGTCATATCAGATTTGTAAAATGCATTTTTGTTCAATTTAATTGCATTGTAATAAAAACACAAAATTTATTGTCGAAGATCAAATTACATTTACATTTGATCAGATACATACAATGAAAAACAAATCTCTAACAAAACATTTCCAATCTTCCAAACCACTGTCAAAAAAGAGGTTGACATGCAAGATACGCCCACATTTTGTAAAAATGCCACAGAGAGAGAAAGAAATGGGGTTTAACGTCCACTCGACACAAACTAGGTCATTTCGGGACTAACATGGTTCAATTCTATTTCAATAATTCGCGTGCGCGTAGGGGTCTTCAGCAGTGGGAGGAAACCGGAGGACCCTGAGAAAACTCACGAGGCTGGACAGGCGATCCTACTCCTTGTCACGTGCAACCGGAGAATTGAAATCACGTCAGTTCACTCACTGACAGACCTTATGATGCAGCGCGCACATGCTAACCAATCGGCCACCCCCCCACCCCCCAAAGGGACAGAGAAGCTAAAAAAACAGTTTTTTTTCCAATAAGGGGATATATATATAATCCATGAAGTTAGAAAAATATTTTCCGATGACGCATTACACGGTAACTGGAATTTCATAATAAGACCCGTATTTTGACTTTTAAATACCCGCAACTCGCTTCCATATAATAGAGATCCAAATTTAAAAGACTTTCCAGTAAATGATTTTCCGGCATGGTTCCTCCTTGTAATTGGTGTAAGGCTGAGCGTATGGCAAGGGAAAACGAACAGTGGTTAGGATTGGACGAACACACCGGGGTCCCGTGTTGTACACATTGGCGTGCACCTTAACTAACCCCTGACAGTTGGAATTGGAATTAAGAGTAAGCCGTTGTGCATAGGTCTGAGGAAAATGTCCCTTATAGTACACTGGTAAGGATATCAAAGACTATTTTATTTTATTTCATTTCATTTCACTGCATACATACGTCTAACTCTGTCCATAATAGTTTTGCCATTTCGTGATCAGGCACCAACAGACAATACACAAATATATATTCTATTCCTCTTGTATTTTCTGGTAATTTATCACCTGAAAAAAATAACAAGCATTTCATGGAATAGTTAGATGTCCACACGGCGTTACGGCGTAATTTGTTGTAGAATTTCGCAGACGACGGGTGGGGCGATTTACCCAATACTACCCAATACCACCCCAATACCACCCCAATATCACCACATACTACCCAATAATATAACACAATGGTGCCAAATGGGCATATTGCTTGGTTGTCTTTAAAAATAATGAGTTATATCGCAGGAAATGTAATTCAAATGCGATTACCGTTGTCTGGCTGTTCCATTTACGTCCCTATATCACCCAAAACAAGCAAATAATAAGCCAATACTACCAAAGACTTAACAAATACTACACAATATTCGATAATTTGCTGAAAATCGAAATATTTACCCGGTTATCTCCCTTTACAACCTATAAATAGATTTTAGATTGCTACTCAGATTAATCATCTGTTGGGCTTTACAGTTGGTTTCTAAGACGACGAAGTCAAAATACAAGCATATCAATATATAACATAATATAAAATAAAAGCGCTTTAAAATAGACTAATAAAATCAATAAAGATTTAAAAATGCATTAAAATAAAACCAGTTTATAAAATAAACAGGCAAACATCCAATAAAAGAGTATTTTAGAGGTTGCTTTAAAAATGTTCATTTAACGATTTCGCGGCCTACTCAAAAGTCTTCTTATTCTTGATCTATATTTCTTCATCCTGGTGATTTTAGTATGAGAACACGCTGTCTACAGGTGCACGCGGTCCTGTAAATAATCATTTGGGTATAATATGTCAGGAAAGCACACGAATTTATCTTTATATCTGTCTTTTAATAACTTATTAACGCGTTTTCTTTGTCTTTTAAATGATTCCCGTTTCAATCCAAGCGCCTTTGAAACATCCCTCCTCTCATAATTTCACCGATTCATCGAATAATGTCACCATTAAACAAATTCTACGGTATATATCCACAGGTGACGATGTCGCGGCGATGTTATTACCACCTAAATGAATGGACGCGGTCTCCAGTTCCAACTATTAATTAGACACTTATTAACACGAAAATACCTTAATCAACTCTAGATGTCATCTTATGCGTTGGATTTTCATTGGATTTAAATCCAATCTGCTGCTTAACGCTCATTGATGATTAAATCCAAAAATGGAAAATCGAGACTATGTTTTTTTTTATCGTACCGTATTTAGTAATGGTGATCAAGGATAGGCCTAAAATTCAATCGCTAATATTTCGGTTCAGACTTGAGGAATTTGACTGAAATTTTCAGCCTACTCCCTTTAAAATATCTAGTTATTAACTACTAGCAGGATACCCGGCTTCGCTCGGGGGTCAGAACTCCGAAACCGGAAGTGGTAGACTAACGCCACCTGGCCTATGTTACTCCCCGGTCCGAGCTACCCCTATACCCCAAATTTCAGACCCGGGGCAGACCTAGTGTAGCCGCCAACCCCGAACAGACCGGCTTCGCTCGGGGGTCATAACTCCGAAACCGGAAGTGGTAGACTAAAGCCACCTGGCCTATGTTACTCCCCGGTCCGAGCTACCCCTATACCCTAAATTTCAGACTCGGGGCAGACCTAGTGTGGCCGCCAACCCCGAACAGACAGATTTCGCTCGGGGGTCATAACTCCGAAACCGGAAGTGGTAGACTAACACCACCTAGCTTTTGTTACTCCCCGGTCCGAGCTTAACCCTTTACCCCAAATTTCAGACTCGGGGCAGACCTAGTGTAGCCGCCAACCCTGAACAGACCGGCTTCGCTCGGGGGTCATAACTCCAAAACCGGAAGTGGTAGACTAACGCCACCTGGCCTATGTTACTCCCCGGCCCGAGCTTCCCCTATACCCCAAATTTCAGACTCGGGGCAGATGTAGCCGCCAACCCCGAACAGACAGACTTCGCTCGGGGGTCATAACTCCGAAACCGGAAATGGTAGACTAACGCCACCTGGCCTATGTTACTCCCCGGTCCGAGTTACCCCTATACCCTAAATATCAGACTCGGGGCAGACCTAGTGTAACCGCCAACCCCGAACAGACCGGCTTCGCTCGGGGGTCATAACTCCGAAACCGGAAGTGGTAGACTAACGCCACCTGGCCTATGTTACTCCCCGGTCCGAACTACCCCTATTCCCAAAATTTCAGACTCGGGGCAGACCTAGTGTAGCCGCCAACCCCGAACAGACAGACAGACAGACAGACAAACGACAGTCACAAATATATATATAGATTATAGTGAGAACTGTCAGCTCTTTATCTTCCATAATGCCCCCTTTAATGCAGAACTTATGTATATGTATTGACAGAATTGTGCTTATAAAGTGTAATGTTGTACAATATACCTCGGGTGAATTCGAAGAAAAACTTTATTGGGGACATCTGTTATAACGTTTTGTTATTGCCACCGCCTGTCGATACCCATGGAGTGGTAAAAAATAGTTTTTGACAGACTGATGGTCATCTTATATACTAATACAGTAGTTAACGAGTTTTGATTTAATGATATATAATTATTAAAATATACACAAAAAGCTTGTTTTTTCTTATTTTAACTTCGTGGTCTTGGAAACCAACTGTAAAACCTAACAAGTTGATTAATCTGTGTAGCAGTTTGATAAGTATTTGATAGTACTGATTTATTATTTGCTGGTTTTCGCTTATATGGGGAGGTAAATGGAACAGCCAGACATCGGTAATCGCATTTGAAGTACATTTCCCGTGATATATGTCACTATTTTTGAATGAAATCAAGTAATATGCTCATTTTGCACCATTACGTTGTAGTATTAGGTAGTATGTGGTGATATTGGGGTGGTATAGGGTGGTATTGGCTAGTATAAGCGTTTTTCCATAGATTATGGTAATCCCCCAATGTGTCCAAGGAGGAGTATTAATATTTTACAATGGGCTGCTACAGAGACCCTTAATTCCAGAAATATATTTTTCTCCAAGGGGCTAACAAGATTGTGCAACAAAGTGGAAGCTATTGTTAAATGTAATTATTGAAAAGTAATAAGTTTCTTCCTCTTAATCGGACAGACAGAGAGAGAGAGAGAAATGGGGTTTAACGTCCACTCGACACAAACTAGGTCATTTCGGGACTAACATATGGTTTTTAATTTTTATATCAATAATTCGCTTGCGCGTAGGGGTTTTTAGCAGTGGGGGGAAACCGGAGGACCCGGAGAAAACCCACGAGGTTGGACATGCGACCCTAATCCTTGTCACGTACAACCGGGGATTCGAAACCACGCCAGTCGACTCAATGACAGACTTTATGATACAGCCCGCGCACGCTAACGATTCAGCCATCCAACCCCCCAATCGGACAGACACCCAATACAAATTTAAAGAAAGGTCTGAACATAACTGAAACGTCTTTAGCACAATACAAATTTAAAGAAAGGTCTGAACATAACTGAAACGTCTTTAGCACAAAATGGGTTTCGAAATAGAAGGGAATAACAAAGCCGGTGAAAATAAATAGGGTAAAGGACCGACCGCAAATAAAGTGACGACGATATAAGTAGTATGGGTCTTCGTACAGGTACTTAGCACTTGCTGACCTCGTAACCCGGTGACATCATAACATCAAAGCAGACAAATCAAATATTGAAAAGTGTGTGTCCCTACCCTCTTCCAATGGTATCTTGATTCCATGAAAAATATCTGCTTTCATTAAACTCTCTATCTAGAAATATGTTTAACAATTCAATTCAAATTCAACAAATCTTAATGCATTCGGGTTCAAGCTACAAAGCCGCTGTAGATGCTTTATCTAATCCTGGATATGAGTGCCATAAATCGGATACGATAGATTCCAGCGTTAATTTGCATGTTTTATCAACTCAGTATTATCAGTAGTGTGTGGGTCGTGGGGCCACAGACAAAGTTGAGAGACAGATCTCGAACTTCTCATCAGTTTCATATCCTCTTGTTTCACAAGAATTTTCTCTCAGCAATGACCTCAAATGCCAAGAAATTGATTCCAACTGTCAGTAATGTTGCTTTTCTTTGGTTTTCTGTGAGTTTTACAACTAAACGTTTAGGAAATTCAGATAAATCTAGCAACGGCTAGAAGTTGTGGATGGCGCCCTAGATTTGGACCCCACCCCACCCCGCACGTCATTCACCGCCTCTAGATACGCTACTGTCATAAATGTATAGATTATCACGAGGCCCTTGTAAATGGCAGCCTCCACGTAGTCTTGTCAGAGCAACTGGACGACAACTGGACATATGACAGTAGGCTAGTAATATTAGTTCTTTACGTACTAGTTAGTTATAGCTGTAATAGCTTTTTATAGCTGTACTAGCTTAATGTACATACGGACAAACTAAGAATCAAAAATTAATAAAAATGGCTTATCGGCTAATTCATCTTTGTATTATATAGTTACATGCCTAATCACAGAAAGGTGTGGCGACGATAAACATAAATTTGTGGTCAATCATAATATTGTTATCTTCCGTGCACAATCGTAAAGATATGTCACGTGCTTAGGCTATAAAACATGAAGTATAAAATATAATTACATCTTTAATATTCTCGTATAACTCTCTTATGTCTTGGGCTGTTATAAACTTCTTTTTCAGCAAACCAGTTTCTATAAATAAACTGACAAACTCATAATGTCTCTCTTTTATGGCAACCATCACCATCCTGCGTACTTGACGTTTCTGAAAACATTACCATATCACAAATAAGTGTACGGAGAATCCCTGTGAAACAGTGGGTGTGAAGGCAACATTTAACGTAACACGGCAGTCTCTTATAGTCAGGGGGCTGGATGGCCGAATGGTTAGCGTTTACCATTGATAAAATACTTTCAGTAAGTTTCTATTTTAAAGTGAACTCTCTCTCTCTCTCTCTCTTGTTTACCATTGATAAAATACTTTCAGTTAGTTTCTCTTTTAACGTGTGACACTTTTAGCTATAGGGTAGACGACATGCTTCTGTAGACATCATTGTAAGTGTAAAGATTATATCAGGCAGTTTCTCATACACTTCATTTAATAAAATAAATTATATTTAGGTACCTTTAATTTTTCTTTATTCTGTTCTAATATTAATCTTGTTAAATCTACGTTTTTAGTTGAAATGGCCTTGTCCATTTCTTCGACAAGATCTGAAAAAGAAACATAGAACCAGTAGATTTTCAGCCATATGTTTGTTGTATAATCTGCAAAAGGGCATCAAAATCGGTAGTAATGTCCTTCGTCAATGTCGCTAATTCTTGTTTCACGTTTTGTTTGGAAATGGACTACATCAATGACTCCATATGACTTTTATATAACTCAGGGACACAATATTCTTCTGAAATACGTTTAATTATGAAGCACATAAAAACAACGCAGCGGGGGTGGTGGTGTTGGTGTGTGTGTGGGGTGGGGGGGGGGCGTGACCCCCAAGGAATAAACAATTGTAACATCAGAGTACAACCAACAAATACCATAACACATTAATGGTGCCGTGGCGACACTAGCAATCAGTGTGATATGCAGGAGGATACCCTTGCAAGATTCCTTTAACTTCTTAGAATCAGTACTTACAGTTCCTGCCGACATACTGTTGTCACGTTTCGTTAAAAATGGTATACTATTACCTTAACGGGCAGACATCAGGTCAGAGGTCTCAGGTCATCTGGTATAATCCCGATTAGCCTAAGTTTATGAAATAAGATTGACGTAACCGGGTGCCCGAATTTAAAAAGTTTTAATACACAACTAAAGTGAAGTCCTAACGAGACACATAACAGTGTCATATTGAATATTTGGGACATAGGATAAGTGTCCCCAAAGTGTCACACAACCTGTAGTTATAATAATAAAACACAACCTATATCAAAAAGAACCTATATATACTCTTCAAAATAGTAGGGGATATACAGAAACAATAAAAAAAACTGCGCAAATGCACTGCTGTTAATAACAGGCCAATTGCCTACACATGAACATAAACAGTTCATATGGGCGGCTTATCTAACGGTCCCATTTCACTCGCAAAGAGATACACTGTCAAAAGTGAAAATGGACGTTTTTTTTATTTTTGTCTTAATAATGAGTAATTGTTCCACCAGTCCTCAGACATTCAGCAATTCGTCGTGGCCTGCTCCTAATTCAACCGTCCAATCACGATTTGGGGCAATCTGACCCACTCCTCTTGCAGTGCCCCGGCCAATGCTTGTAGTGTTGTCCGTTGACGTCGACGAACACGTCTCCCGATCAAATTAAACGTAACACACTAAAGCAAAGATACGCTAAACAGTAAATCTTATGCAAGAACCGATAGGAAAGCAAACATGGATAGGATAAACCAGCAAGCGGCAGTTTTCATCAACCCTTCCTTTAAGTGTCAAATTTGACAATGAACCCCTCCAACGTGTATGGCGCTATTGCGTGTCGCACATGCAGCTCAGTGGTTCTGTTGGGGCGGTAAGTTCTTCACCTGTGAACATACTCTCAAAGCATGTCAAGTGTCCATGACTATTTATCATATCACAATCTGCATAGGTATTTGCATTTCAATATCTCCTACTTTTTTGAAGAGTATATATTAACAACTAACCAGTGCAATTTTACTACAAATATAAAAATTTCACACATCAGCTTACACCAAGTTTCGCATGGGTCAATAATAGCGCAGTTGCAAGCCTAATCCGGTCCTTACAATACCACTGACATTGTTATTTTTTATTAACAAGTCTGAAATATTTATACACTGGCGTCAAAGATTCTATAAACAGTTAACAAATCATCAAATTTGTAACTATACATTAATACCTTTTTCTAAGATGCACCCGGGGCTAAGAAATCTCTCGGAAACTCCAATTTCCTGACTGGTTCTGTACCAGACCCCACCCATGCTGTAACATTAATATATACATCTACATTTTATCCACAATTTGAATACTATATAAAAAATGAAAATATGTCCCACGCTTCGCCAATACCCGGGTAATATCCCATTCCAAAATATATAAACTAATTATGGTGAAAACTAGCTATTCATTTAGCTATAAATAGTGACATGTCTTGAATGAGATATACTTATTCGTTCTATGGGGAGAAAAATGAAATGAAATGGGGTTACTGTTCTGCTCGGACTGGGATATTGAAGACGAGCTTACGCCATACCGATTGCTATATTGAAAAATTTTCCCGGACATCGGCGCTACGGTCTACTCTTAAATCGATTTTCCAATTGTCAAGTAGTTTAACAAAAAAGAGATTAACATCACTTCCAAATGGTGTCCTTTCAGGGATATCGGTCAATGATGGTTATATCCTCACCGATATGCTCCAATGATGTATATTCTTACATGCCTACAGTTAGATACATGTATGCCAGTTGACTGATTTCTTGTCATTTAGTGAAAAGTAAGTCAGTTAATTCTTTGTAATGTGAGTGCTCGTATCATGGAAATCATTTACCACACACTGGACACTCGGTCAGGTAATCATCGCAGGATGTAGTAAGGTAATAAATAATATCAAAATCAGCACGTACCTTCGCACATTGGGATCGACTCTAGTAGTATCCCAGACTGGATCGTTATAGCTCTACAAAGAAATACAAAATACAAATATTTTATGTGTCAGGAAAAGGATATGAGTAATGAAAGATAAGATTGTAGAAAACCTGTGGTGAAAGAATACACGAGGTCTGATATATTTGGATATGCAGTTCATTTATTGTTTTAATGTAAATACCTCAGTAACAATTATATGAAATGAGGATCCTTCAACAATATCATTACAAGTACAACAATAATTCCAGGGAAGAGAAGTTGGAGAAGAGAATAATTTTTCTAAGATTTAATGGTTGTCTGAGACTATTTATGATTCTAGACTTTTCATAATAGTTCTCATTCTGTCATCTTTTAGTAATGGATCAAACTCCTTATCTAGGATCCGATTCCTCGTCCCCTGACACTGAAGATGGTTTAGTGATTGCCGGTCACACTGTAAAATGCATAGTATGGAGAATCGATCCAACAGTTTTTATTAAGTAGGGTAGTTTGTGAGAAGTCCTGATAGCACATAGAACCTGTAAAAAATTTTTACCATACATGAAAGCGCTTGATAAATATTCGTGTTTTCAGTAGCCGCTTAATACCATTAGTATCTGAGCCGAACGCCAGTCTTCCTATAAATGGTCAATAATATACATTTAAAACATATTTAGATACCTGTAAGTTATCTTCAATCTGGTTTAATATATTTCTTGCTAAACTTATTTTTTTAGTTGAAATAGCCTTTTGCATGTCTTCGACAAGATCTGAAGAAAAAAACAGTAGATTTACAATGATGCAAATGGGCATCAAAATAATGGGTAGCAATGTCTTTCGTCAAGACCGATAATTCTTGCTTCACGTTGTGTTTCGAAATGGACTTCACCATGGACTGAACATGACTTCAATATAACTTTGATATAACTCAAGATCACAAATATTTGCAGAATTTGTCTTTGACCAACAAAAAAATATGATTTCCAACCTTTTAAATGAAATGAAATGGGCTTAACATCCTACTGCTCTGCACTGACTGGGCTAATGAATACAAACTGTTATGTGAAAACACTAGCTATTGATACATTCATTTTACCTCAAAAACAAGAAACAAAAAATCATGTTTAATAATACCCAGGGACGGATTAAAGGCGATGTCGATTGGGCTGCACACAGGGTCGGTTTAATGGGGACGGGGCGCTAACTGGGTTACAAGTTTTGCATCATATATTAGTGTTTTATTTATTATGCTGTTTAGTGTGACGGACAATAACCTGAATATGCTACACTTTCCACTGTCGATGCAAGGGCACTAGTGGCCCCATGCAAGCCTATTCCGGTCCCTACAATACCAATGACATTGTTAATTTTTATTAAAGTCTGAAATATTTAATATATACACTGGCGTCAAAGATTCTATAAACAGTTAACAAATCATCACATTTATATCATTAATACCTTTTACTGCAATTTCCTGACTGGTTCTGTACCGGCCACTACCCATGCTACAACATTAATATATACATCTACATTTTATCCACAATTTAAATACTATATAAACAAGCGGCTGCCAGGCAGGATACGCCCACATTTTCGAGAGATGGATAGAGAACAAGCTAAAAAGGAAGTGCCATAATTCAGAAAATTACAATTCGATATGCGCAAATATCGAAAGGAACCGAGATCTTTGGGTCCACAAGCTAAATACGCGATTTTTCGTACAATCAGGGGCCATAATTCAGGAAGTTACATTCCGATATGCGGGAATACCGAAAGGAACCGAGATCTTTGGGTTATAAACTTACATTTCAAGTTTCAACAAAATCGGATAAAAATTATGACCTCTATAGGGTCCACAACCTTGATATACCATATTTTTACGCTATTTGAAAACGAAGGGCGGCCATTTTTCGTACAATCAGGGGCCATAATTCAGGAAGTTACGGTCCAATATACGCGAATATCGAAAGGAACCGAGATCTTTTGGTTATAAACTTACATTTCAAGTTTCAACAAAATCGAATAAAAATTGTGACCTCTATAGGGTCCACAACCTTGATATACCATATTTTTACGCTATTTGAGAACTAAGGGCGGCCATTTTGTCTGTCATTTTTGGGCCGATTTTCACGAAATTCGAACTCAGTCGTCCTTAGGGTGTAACGGTGATATAATAATACGGTTTTTTAAATCGCATAAAAATTATGACCTCTATAGGGTCCACAAGCTAAAAACGCGATTTTTCGTACAATCAGGGGCCATAATTCAGGAAGTTACGTTCCGATATGCGCGAATATCGAAAGGAACCGCGATCTTTGGGTTATAAGCATACATTTCAAGTTTGAACCAAATCGGATAAAAATTGTGGCCTCTACAGTGTTCACAAGCTAAAAATGAAGTTACTGTCCGATACATGCCAATATCGACAGGAACCGAGATCTTAGGGTGATAAACCTATATTTCAAGTTTCATTGAAATCGGATAAAAATTGTGACCTGCTGACTGTTCACAAACAATTGTGGACGGACGGACGGACGGGGGCGACGACAATATACGTCCACATGAAAATGTGGGCGTATAAAAATGAAAGTGTGTCCCACGCTTCGCAAAAAACCCGGGTAATATCCCATTCCAAAATATATAAACTAATTATGGTGAAAACTAGCTATTCATTTAGCTATACTATTCAAAAAAAGTAGGGGATATTTGATTTTTAAGTGTTATTAAAGTCACCTAATGAAACTGACGAAGAAACAAATGACAAAATGAAATGAAGTTCACATTCATCGATTTATTCCAAATGATCGTTAGACTAAGTAAGGCACAGACTGACCATTATAAGGGTAAAATGATACCCGGGGTCAAACAGCAAAGTTACCACAGCATCACAACCAAGTCAGTAACGGGTAAATCCTCCTCTGTTTGCCAAACAAGCATTGATCCGACGTGGCATACTCCTAATGAGACGTCTAAGGTCATTTTGGTCCAGATTGTCCCATTCCTGTTGCAACGCAGCAGCAAGTTCTTGGACATTGGCAGGACGTTGTTGACGTTGACGTAACCATAACAGAACCACCCCCAAATCGATCATGTCTGATGACGTTAACGTCTTGGAAGCGCTCGTTTCGACGACGCCACACCCTCCTACGTCTGTCCAAAAAATCAACAGTGAACCTTGACTCATCTGAAAACATCACATTGCTCCAGCGTCGATTATCCCAGTGTTGACGATCCCTACACCAACAACGTCTTGCCTGAATGTGATGATCTCTCAAACAAGGGATCACGCGAGGACGTCGGGCGCGAAGGTGACCCCTATGCAGTCGATTCCGAATCGTCTGGCCACTCACTCTCACACCAGTGTCTGTCTGAAGACGAGCGCTGATCTGATTTGCTGTGATGACACGATTTCTCAAGGCCAAGGTACGGATAAATCGATCCTGGGCTTGAGTTGTCGCCCTTGGTCGACCTGAGCGTGGTCTGTCCTGTACAGATTGTGTATCACGGTATCTGGACCATAGCCTGCTTATGACAGACTGAGAAACATTCATCGTCCGCGCCACAACCGCCTGTGTTGTGCCGATCTGTAGCATGCCAAGGGCACGTAACCTTTCATTTTGGGTAAGCCGACGCATATCAAAATTTGTTTTCTGGTCACTAAAACAATTAAACTGATGTTTCCACCCTGGAATTCAATGCCACAATGACTGTAACATTCAAAGTCAGAGTCGTGCAAATCTTGGGTTGGACCCCCATGATGATCCCAAGCATCACCTGCATTCCATGCGGTAGCTATTGGTGCGTTTGGGCGTCACATGTAACTGGAAATGTTTAGTCTGTTAGGTTCTATAGTGACTTTTTTCGTAGTCATTTGCATATTTTAGTATTATGCCCCCAAAATCAAATATCCCCTACTTTTTTTGAATAGTATATAAATAGTGACATGTCTTGAACTAGATGAATGAGATATACAGGTCACAATTGCACTTGAACTGGAATATACAGGTCACAATTCTATGGAATACAATTACTGCTAATAACTGATCGACGTTTCGACTAGGCTCCTCTAATAGTTATCAAGCAATGAACAAATATGAAAATATGACAAGACAATACTTGGACACAAAAATACTTAGTTAATTAGATATGCCAGTTGACTGATTTCTTCTTATTTAGTGAAAACTAAGTCAGTTAATTCTTTGTAATGTAATCATTCACCACACACTGGACAATCGGTCAGGTTAATCATCGCAGAATGTAGTAAGGTAAAAAATCAGCACGTACCTTCGCCCGTTGGGCGCGACTCTAGTAGTATCCCAGACTTGATCGTTATAGCTCTACAAAATACAAAATACAAAATACAAATATGTTATGTTCATAATAACACAACTGTTTGGATTTACTATTTCTTAGTTTATTACATACAGCGTTTCAATACTCTTACAGGTATCTTTATCAAGCAATGATCAATAATGAATAATAACCTTACATTTATAGTACATCCATGAGTAAAAACAATTTAACAATCAGAACATAACATTAATTAAGACTTATAACAACAACCATTTCCCTTTGAATATGACTATCTTTCATTATATTTTCAAGCGATTTCTTGTGACTAATGAGTTATTATTAGGCAGGTCATGCTAGTCAGAATTTGATCAAAGCATGAATTGAAACAAATTCCACCTGATTATGTAAAAATTGCTGAGTGAAGCTAGCCTACCAGAAAAGAAAACATATTTGTCCATATTGTCACTGCCTAGTTACGAATATTTTTGGATACCTGAAAACTGTTTTAATTAATTTATGACTGATTTTCTACTGTTTGATGTATTTCAGAAATGTTATTTCATAAAAGATGATGTTTTGAAATGGTGTGATAGTCATATGTGCAGAATTTCTTGAGGGGGTTTATTGTCAATTAGAACACACTTTTCGACCAGTCAGAATCGAGGAAATTTCTTATTTGTGCAATACAGTAATGGAGGGTCCACAACCTTGGCATTACATACTTTTACACTATTTGCGTAAAAGTAGCAGCCATTTTATCTGGCAGTTTTGGTCCGATTTTCACGAGATTCGATCTCAACAATCATTAGTGTGGACTGTTATATATTCAAACAGTTTTTTTTAAATCAGATAAGAAAAAATTGTGATCTTTAGAAGTTCTACGAGGTAAACACGTGATTTGTTGTACAATCAGGGGACATAATCCAGGAAGTTATAGTCCAATATGCGTGAATATCGAAAGGATTATAATCTTTGGGTTATAATCATACATTTCAGTTTCATCAAAATCCAATAAAAACTTTGACTTCTAGAGGGTCCACAACCTTGGTATTACATACGTTTAAACTATTTGCGTACAAGGAGCGGTCATTTTTACGAAATTCGAACTCAACCTCCACGGAGGTGTAACGGTGATAAATTTAAACAGTTTGTAAAATTGAATACAAATTGTGACTTTTAGATAGTCCACAAGCTAAAATCGTAATTTTTCGAAAATCAGGGGCCATATTCCAGGAAGTTACTTTCCGATATGCGCGATTATTTAAATGCACCAAGATCTTTAGATTATCAACATACATTTCAAGTTTTATCAAAATCGGATAAAAGTTGTGACCTCTAGACTGTCCACAAGCTAAAATAGTGGTTTTTCGTACAATCAGGGGTCATAATCAATGAAGTTAGGGTCCGATGCGTGCCAATTTGGACGGAACCGAGATTTTTGGGAGATCGACCTATATTTCAAGATTCGTCAAAAACAGATAAAAATTGTGAGCTGCAGAATGTCCACAAAAAAAATGTGAACGGACACACGGACCGACGGACAGGGACGACGACAATACTACCACATGAAAATGTGGGCGTATAAAAATTCATTATTAGTTTTAAATTGTGACTGGTCATACTTTTTGTCAAAATTTGTTTAGGTATGTCGTATTAGGTATATCATATTATGTACATCATGTTAGGTAGAACATGTTAGGTATATCATATTAGATACATCATATTAGATTTATCATAATAGGTATATCATATTAGATACACCCTATTAGATATTAGATATATCATAATATATGCGTGCATTTTGCATACCGATAGTTCATTGGCCAATCACGCTATTTTACCGACATTTCGCCTAATAGTTTGGATGCAGGGTAAGCTTACTCTTCGGGACACCTGTTACCACTGTTTGTCGTGTAATTTGTACACGAGGAGCAGTCCATTTGCTGATTACACTATTTTGCTTGAATACACTATTTTGCCTATAACGTTTTTTAGGACTTTGAATTCTGTCTTATGGTTTGGATTGTTCGTACTTGGTTTTATTTTATTTTTATAATAGGTATATCATATTAGGTATATCATATTAGATATTACATATTAGGTATATCATATTAGGTATATCATATTTGATATAACATATTAGATTAGGTATATCATATTATGTATATTATATTAGGTACATCAATGGTTCAAAGAAGAATGTGCATAGGATGTTTTCAGCAATTTTAACATTTTAATGTTGTGTAATACTGAGGAGTATATAGAACTAAACTCGTGATTTTACTAGTTTAAAATAATTTGGGTAATCTAAATAGTTTAAAACAGATTAATAGTCAGGTCTGTTTATAATTTAAATAAAGGAAGTATTATAGATACCTTTGTTAATTTCCTATGTATTACCCTCCCAGTGCCAACAGTGTTAATACTAGGTAGTAGTGGGGTCGTACTGGAGAAAGAACTCTCATTCTCATTGTCATCACTGTTCATACTATGTGCCCGAGACACCATACTCTCATTCTCACTGTCATCACTGATTGTATAAATTGTAGGCTTGTTGGTCTCCGTCATCTATAATTCAAAATCCAAATTAAGAACCAAATAGATTTACGTATGGCCAACTACCTAATATGCCAATCAACAGCAAAGTGGCACGTTCTAGTACACTGCTCAATGTCATATAATCCTAGTGAGCAAGTATCTAAATTTTTCAAGTTCTTAAAAAAACTAGTCCCGAAATGACCTAGTTTGTGTCGAGTGGATGTTAAACCCCATTTCTCTTTCTCTTAAAAATTCCAGTATGAAATGTGTCCTGTACCACCTACACGGGCATTGTTCGTGGAAAAATGAGCATGTAAATGAAGGACCAGAGCCAGAGTTCACAGACTTATGTTAAGAATTTACTTAAAATAGTTCGCCTTATTTTAACTAAAATATAGCCCCTTATAAAACTTTTGTTGTTTTAATGTATCAAATACATCAATGAGACACTATATTGTGTGTTTCTGAATTTCTCATAGGCAGTGATTGAAACTCTGGGCTCGGCAAGCTAGACACTGTTCCTTAACAGGCCCTCGATCTGCCCAACTGACAAAGGGAAACCAGACTAAGAAATCTCTTGCTCAGTAAGGTACTGTGGCTCCCAGTTGGGTAAAGATTGATATTTTAGGTTTGTTTTTTTTTAATACAGAGTGTTATATATACCTCCAAATCTTCACCATTTCTTCTTTGAGGCTCAACGTTCGCTCCCGTCGAGGGTGATTCATCACCACCTTCGTTCTTATCATCCGCTTCATTGTCCGTATCATCATCCGCTTCACTGTATCTGTCATCACTCATCTCACTGTCAGTGTTATCATCCGTCTCACTCTATAGGAAATTATTTGTACACAGTTTTATTTAATACAAATTTGAAAATAAGAATAAAATACAGACCAGTCCGACATGCTGGATGAAACGCCAGGCAACACTAATGTCTCCCGTGCGAGCTGTCAGATAAATGTTAGATAATCCTGCTAGACAGGTTTTAAGTTCTTAAAAATTCCATTATGAAATCTGTCCTGGAAATAGATTAATTGTTATATGTACCTCTGCTGATTTATCTCGATTTAAATCTTGCACCAGTTTATATACGTTTCTGTTACGTCTTGTCCACCCATCATCACTGCCCGAGTCATCATCCACCTCATACTATTGTAAAATACGATTACACAGTTTGTTTTATTTAACACAACATTGAAAATAAGAAAAAAAAAAACACAGATGAGTTTGGCGATAATACGCAAAGCAACGTGCTAGCTTTCAAATCAATGTCAAAAAATGACACCGATCAAGTTTTAAAAACTTTAAAAGTTTTAAAATTACGTTATGTTCTCTACCGTGTTACGAGATGACTCTTTCTGATTTGCGATGCTGTTCGATTGTTGTTGGGTTTATTTTGGATTTTTTTAGGGGTTGTAGGGGGGGGGGGGTTATTAAACAACAATCAAGTATGCAAAAATAAAATATCCACAGTCAATCCTACTCTGCTTCGCCTATCAGGATTTTACGACCAAAATGTTGGAGAACTACCCATCGGTCGAATATGGAAAGCGGAGCCGAACATTTACCACGCTTGACGTGTGACACATTCCCGGCTACACCGCTTTTGTTTTGGCCTTGATCCTCCAGGTATGATTGGCATGGATACTGTTGGAACTCTCTAATCTGGACTGCGCGTTATTTATTTAGATATAGCTAGCCAATCAGATATATATCAGGAACACAAATATTTTCTTAAATACTTTTCCTTATCAAGCAGTATGCAACGTAAGCATAAGTCTATGAACTAAAAAGTAACAAGTCATCCAGTCTATCTTAATCCTACACAACTCGCAGAGCGAGTTACCTGAAGGTAACACCTCACTCCTAAGTTCTCCTAAGAATTCAAGCGGCATCTGATTGCTCTTTTATATTCCCCGATTGATTATTGGATTGGTTAATTACACCCAATGCCGTAATAATTAGCTGTCAGACTTACATTTAATTATCTCATATGGAAATGTAAGTCCAACGTCATAACTGGTAAATTCCCTCTGAAGTTCAATTTCTACCTAAACAGATATGATTATACCAATCAATCAAGCGGGTAAGGTACTCTCATCCAACTTATATGCGACCTGTTATATAGCTCCATTTGAAACGACCCGAATAACGAGTACTGAAGAAACATGTCTACCATCTTGTTGCTTAAGGCTTTACGTCCGGTCCAACCTTGGGTGATATCTGCCAAAACCTGTTCTCCATTTAAGGAATCCCCGCCTTGCCACGCGCCCTCTATGAAGCATCGGGTTCATGAGAAGACGAACTCTGTTCTTTCGATATTCAGAGTTACACGGTCTTCAATTCCCGGTACGATGGAGCTTGTTCTCGCGTGACGAATATTCCTGTAAGTATTCAAGCCAACAGTGAGACTGTTGTCCCCCGCCGAAATCCCAATATTAATAGATGAAACATTTTTATTAATTGCACATTTATCTGTTTCAAAATCATTGAGCAATCCAACTGATTGTCTATACTTTGTCTAAGCATAAACAGTTCACAATCAAACTCAGTCGACAGTAAAGGTTTTGAAGTACCTGGTAGTGACACTATATAAGTTTCATCACTCACCATCAATTAGAATCAAAGTTATCGTGTCCCAAAGCATCGCCCAATGACATTGCTTAGTTCTTTTTAGCCTTATCGGAAAATGTGTTGATTATTGAAGTCAGTCAAGACATTCACCTAATTTAAACATATTTTACTGTTCTAAATAACAAGTGGATAAGGCTCAAGTTTTACAACTTAGAACGGCATCTCCAATATATACATTTACATAAACCAATAATCATAATCGAACACATTAAATTTGTAATCATACCTTTTTTGCATATCTGAGTGTAAAAAAAAGAAAAGAAAGAAAGAAAAAATAATAATAGTAGAGTAAGTGTAGAAACTAATATCAAAGTACATTATCAAAACTATTTCACTTTAATTGTGTCGCGAATCAGACAGACCCTTACATTCCACGTGTACTTAATGGATTAACTGTACACTATATATTCTTATAAGTAAACTCATATTCTCAGATACAAGTTCCAGATATGTGGAGAGTAATTATATTATATCATTTAATTTACAAAATTTTTATATAGTGTTTTGTCACTGATTCGTAACACAAATAACAAAGATGTGTGATCGTCAAACGAGCCTGGTAACTATCTTTAGACAAATAATTATAGGTGAATATCTATTGCAAAAGATTCACTTTGAAATATGTCATTGAGAAAAGCGACAAGTATTTTTTAGATACCTCTGAACATTTGTAAAAATATGCGCGTTAGTTTCACAGTTTAGTAAATCATTACCAAACAACAAAATATCAACATTTAATAGTATATCATCTAATTGTAACATTTTCAATTCAGCTATCATGGCGTCACTGTGAATATTATATTTTGAACAAGATAATAAGAAATGTTTTGCGTTTTCAATATCATATCCACATTTGATATGCTGACAGTGTGGTTAGACTCTGAGTCAGATCTCTTGGGAGTTGCGAAGATAATAATTTTTATTTTGTGAAAACCATATACAAGGTCTGTAAGATATTGAGGTGTCTGCTCAACGTTTTTAGATTTTCCCACCCCGACTCTTTATAAATGGATTTTATACTCGCATAACTTGTTAAGCCCGTTACAATTCGAGCTGCTTCGATTTAGAGCTTTTCTAAACGCTCGAGTTGACTTTTCCACAATTGTCCCACACTGCAGATGGATATTCTAATATTAAGTACATCTTTTCCAAGTATTTTCTCTTTAATTTATATTTTAGTTTTCTTAAAACTCTGAACTGTTTCGAGGTATAACACCAATCAATTTATCAATATGATTAGTCCATTTACAGTCGCTACTGAAGATTATTCCTAAATGTTTATGTATATTGAAAGGTTTTAGTATCGTTTCATCAAAATCAAATTCCAGATTACTTTCCACGTTGGTTAAACTAAAAACCATTATGTCTGTTTTATTATATTAGGACTGAATTTAACCAGCCACTTTTTTGACCACTCATTTAAATATTTTAAATCTAAATTAATTATATTTTTTAAATTGTTGTAATTAGAGGCCACATGTCCAATAGAAGTATCGTCTGAAAAAAGTCTACCTAATCCGACTGTGTACCGTCGGCAATGTCATTGATACATATATGAAAAAGTAAAGATCGTAAGACTGACCCTTAAGGCACATCCGCTTTGAGCTCGCGTGTGTAAGATAATGCTTCTTTAAGCATTACTTTCTGAGATCCTTTTGTCAAATAACTATTGTGCCAACTCGGTAAATTTTCTTTAATCCCATATCTTTCTAATTTTAACAGCAGTCGTTTAATCCACACCGTATCGAATGCTTTACTAATATCAGCATAAATTATGCTAGCTTTTTGTTTCTTTTCAAGTACACATAAAATATCATGGTATAGTTCAATAAGTTGATGAGTAGTGGAAAAACCAGGTATAAATCCCGACTGTACTTTATAGAGCAGCTTATTAGATATCTAATGGTTAAAAATATGTTTGAATATTATCTTTTCGAATAGGTTACTTGTTGTACAGGATAAAAGAGACGCAGGTCTATAATTACTTGGCAACGATTTATCTTCATTTTTAAATAAAGGAATAACATGGGCAAGTTCCCAGTCTACAGGAAAACATTTTTCTCCAAGAGATTTGTTAAAAGAGCATGCAAAGTGGTTTTGAAACTTCATGTTCGGATGCAATCAACATTTTATTGCTTATAATGTCCGGTCACACAGCTTTGTTAGCAGCTAACGTAGAAATAGCATCAACTAAGTCCAATTCGGTTACAGTTATATAGGATAATTCAATCGCACATCTTTCCTCGAATTGAGGTAAATCTACACAAAAATCGTTTAAATTTTTAATAGAGCTAAAATACTTGTTCAGTATTTCAGATTTCACACTAGATTCATATTCTAAGTTTAAATTGTTAAATGAATCTTTATAGGAGATAGGTCATTTGAAGGACGTTCATTTTTTAATAACAAATTAATTGTTTTAAAGTATGCCTTGGTATTTGTGAATTTCATTTCTTCCAGATTATTGTTGATATTTAAATAAAAACGTTGTTTTGCTTGTTTTTTTTAAAGTTATTGACCTTATTTTTCTACTTTTTAAATTTGTTCTAAGAGAATGTTTCCTTAATCTATTCCGAATTCGTACCTATTTTTTTATAAATCAGAGTCAAAACAAACTTTGTCGTCATTGCGAATTATTACCTCCCTTTGTGGTTTTTTTTTTTTTTTTTTTTTTTTTTGCTATATCAAGAAAAGTTTCAGTAAAATTCATACACGCCCGTGTGAATATTATCCGCGTTTACTATTAATGCGGTCCAATCTTGTTTGTTATCTTGTTTCATAACGTTAAAATCGGCCCGTTTATTATCCCATACATTGCGCTTGAAACACTTACTATTAGTGAAACCACATTTAATTGTTACATAAGTACCATCGTGATCCCTGATTACTCTATCGATCAGTATAGTATCTGAATCGATAACCTTTATAGAATCGGTAATAAGAATTGGGTCCAGTAAGGACGTAGTACCTGAACGCATATCAAAATGAGTCGGTTTCTTAATTGGATTTTGTAATCCATTGAGAACAATAACATCACTCACTTGATGTGGAAGATTACCCACAATTTTTTTTATTTAAATCACCCAAGCATATAATATTGTTATTTTCATCCAAGGCAGTTTTTAACATGTGATCAAAATATTGCCAATAATAAACATGAACTTGTTCATCTAGTTTAGACATTCTGCCTCAGTTAAAAGTAGAGTTGTGACCAATCAAATTGCTTTTCACTACTTTGACTAAGCAGAAAATTCTCATCATAGTCAAGGTATTGATATAATGAATCTATACTCAGAGTTTCGTCACTCTCACCCAATTAAAAACCCAAGTTATTGTGTTGAAAAGACTCAACCAATCAAAATGCTTATCTTTGTTTAGCCATAGTGGAAAATGCGCATAATTGAACTCTTTCAGGGCATTCACCTAATATACAACTATACCAAATTTGAACATTCTACCTCAATTAGAACGAGGGTTCCAAAGTCTGGACCAATCAGATTGAAGTCTCTACTTTGCCTAAGCAAAACATGCTCATCATCAAAGTTTTCTAAGGTACCGATGTAATGAAACTATACAAGAAGTTTCACCACTATCACTAAATTAAAATCAAAGTTATCGATCTCCAAATTGCTTATCGCTCTGTTTACCCTGAGCCGCAAATGCTCATTATCGCACTTAGTCAAGGTATTAACGTGATGCAACTATACACCAAGTTTCATCACTATCACTTAATTAGAACCAACGTTATCATGTCCCAAAGCATCACCAACCAAATTGCTTATGTCTGCTTACCCTAAGCAGAAAATGCTAATCTTGAACTCCATCAATGCATTTACCTAATAAATGAAATGAAATGGGGTTTAACGTCCTACTGTTTTGCTCCGAACTGGGCTAATGAAGACGGCATTTACCTAATAAACGCCTACACCAAGTTTGAACATTCTACCTCATATAGAAGGAGAGTTATTGTGTTCCAAAGTCTGGACCCATTAAATTGCTTATCGCTCTGCTTACCCTTAGCAAAAAATGCTGATTATCAAACTTAGTCAAGGTATTGATGTAATGAAACTATACACCAAGTTTTATCACGGTCACTTAATTACAACTAAAGGTATCATGTCCCAAAGCATCAACCAATTAAATTGCTTATCTTTGCTTACCCTAAGTAGGAAAAGAAGAAGATGCTCATCTTAGAGTTCCATCAAGGCATTCACCTAATGAACGGCTACACCACGTTTGAACATTCTACCTCAAATAGAAGGAGAGTTATTATGTTCCAAAGTCTCGACCAATCAAATTGCTTATTGCTCTGCTTACCCTTAGCAGAAAATGCTCATTATCGAACTTAGTCAAGGTATTGATGTAATGAAACTATACACCGAGTTCATCACTCTCACGTAATTAGAACTAAAGTTATTGTGTCCCAATGCATCAACCAATCAAATGGCTTATCTCTGCTTACCCTTAGCAGAAAATGCTCATCTTCGAACTCCATCAAGGCATTCACCCAATAAACACCTACACCAAGTTCTGAACATTCTAACTCAATTAGAAGGAGGGTTATTGTGTGACGGATAAACAGACAGACGGGCAGACAGACAGACAGGCAGGTGGACGGACGGACGGAAGAACCCAATGCAATAGGCCCCTGCTTTCATCGAAAGGCGAGGGACAAAAATATTTTACGACCAGGATGCCAACCATAAAGGACGATATTTAGATAGAGAGGCCTTAGACTATTTAACTTATGAGGCCCCTCCAAATTCCCCGGCAGTGTGAAGTTAGCCCGATTTTCGTTTTTCGATATTGGTGAATAATGAAAAACAACTCGTTTTTCGATATTGGCGAATGTCGAAAAAAAAGCTATTCGTTTTTTGATATTCAAACTTGAATCTCCAAAAAACAGATTCGATGGATATATATCTACAGAATGTCGCCAAAACACATTTGATTAAATACGTTTTCTAAAACGAACTAGAGATATCATAAAGATCTTTCTCCTTGTTTTTTTAAGTTGGCTACTCGTTCTTCGATATGCAAACGTGAATCTCAAAAAAGCAGATTTAATGGATTTACATCTACAGATTGTCTCCAAAACACATTAAATCAATTTCATAAAACGAACTAAAGATATCATCATAAATGAGGATGCCTGAACAGTGGATTAACATAAAAACTGATCTTTTCTTCTTGTCTTTTGATATTGGCGAATGTCGAAAAACGAATTGAATCCCAAAAAGGGAGATTGTAATCATGTATATCTACAGAATTTCTCCAAAACACATTTGATTAAATCAGTTTTGTAAAACGAACTAAAGATATTATAATTGAGGATGCCTGAGCAGTGGATTTGCATAAAAAAAGATCTTTCTCAAAGATTTTTGATATTGGCGAATGTCGTCTTTCGATATTCAAACTTGATATTGAAACGGGATTCAAGCATGAATATGTTTTTCGACATTCGCCAATATCAAAAAACAAGGAGAAAGGGCAGTTTTTATGCGAATCCACTCCTCAGGCATCCTCATTTTTGACATCTTTAGTTCGTTTTACTAAACTGATTTAATCAAATGTGCTTGGGGGACATTCTGTAGTTATACATCCATCAAATCTGCTTTTTTGAGATTCAAGCCTGAATATCGAAAAACGAGATTCGCCAATATCAAAAAACAAGTAAAAAGAGCAGTTTTATGTGAATCTACTACCCAGGCATCCTCATTTATGATATTGTTAGTTCGTTTTTCAAAACTGATTTAATCAAATGTGTTTTGGAGACATTCTGTAGTTGACTTTCATTAAATCTGCTTTTTTCGGATTCAATTCTGAATATCGAAAAACGAGTAGATTGTTTTTCGAGATTCGCCAATATAAAAAAACAAGTAGAAAGAGCAGTTTTTATGTGAATCCACTATTCAGACATCCTCATTTATGATATCTTTAGTTCGTTTTACAAAACTGATTTAATCAAATGTGTTTTGGAGACATTCTGTAGATATACATCCATTAAATCTGCTTTTTTGAGATTCAAGTTTGAATATCGAAAAACGAGTAGCTCGTTTTTCAACATTCGCCAACTTCAAAAAACAAGGAGAAAGAGCTTTTTTATGTAAATCCACTGCTCAGACAACCTCAGTTATGATATCTCTAGTTCGTTTTAGAAAACGTATTTATACAAATGTGTTTTGGAGACATTCATCAAATCTGCTTTTTGAGATTGAAGTTTGAATATCGCCAATATCGAAAAAACGAGCTAGTTGTTTTTCGTTATTCGCCAATATCGAAAAACGAGTAGCTCGTTTTTGGATATTCACCAATATCGAAAAACGAAAATCGAGTTAACTTCACGCTGCCAAATTCCCCGCCATTACGAATACAGAAGAATGTCGAATAACGAAAAACGAAAATCGAGCTAACTTCACGCTGCCAAATTCCCCGCCATTACGAATACAGAAGAAAATGAAATTAAGTTTTAACACAATTTAGCAAGGATGACGGATCTTCAAGACTACCGTGTGTGTAGGAAAGGCTTATAACAGCGTCAAAAATAATATACAGCTTGCAGGAGCCACGCATAAGGGGGGGGGGTGAAAAAAGAGGGCACATGCCCGGGGACAACACTTCTTGGGGGCGGCAAATTATCTAACTGCATACCAGGTAACAAATCACCGGTCTTCGCTTCCCCTAAACCTAATTAAACCAATTCATATTTCAGCAAATAGAGAGGGTAGAATTATGATTTTTCCAAATTATATTATAGGGGGAAACATAAAAAATGTACATATCAGTTGACTTAATAAATAGTTATTTACATAAAGCCTTAAAAGTATAAATACGGTATTTTAAAATTCTTTCATCATAAAAAATCAACTGAGCGCAGGCACTGAATAAAGGAGTTACAGTATTCGGCACTAATTACTACATCCCAGCGTAGGTGACCATTTAATTAAAATAATGTAAAAGGTGAAATGATATCACGTTGTAATTAGATTCAACATCACATGCTACATAGATTATTATTTAGCTATGTCAGTCACCAATATTCCACAAATAGAATAACAACCGCCCTTGAAAATAGTGATCAATTAAGTATAACGAATATATATTTCTATGTTACTAGGTGTCGCCTTCAGAATTCAAAGATAAAAATGATAATTACCATCGTTTTACTGTTGTATCGCCTCCCCAACAGTCCTTTCCCTTGGAGTACCGCTGAGCAAAGTCAAACGAAGCAAAGTCAAATACATAGACAAACCGGATGCATCAGTTCAATTAAACGGTCTCCTACGCATAAATCAAAGTAGGGTATTCATTAAATTATAGTCTCGGGAAGTCCAGAAGTGAGACACGAGGGGGTGAGAACGTGGAGAAACAGGATGAGAACGAGACGAAACTGGGTGGGGACGTATGGAAGCGTATAGGGGCCAATAGCGCGATATATATCGCAATATTAAGTTGGTATATAATATGTCAACATATTGTGATTGTTCTGATGATTTTATCCCTGAAAAGATAATTTTTGCCGAATTCTCGATATCTGTTCATATACTGCTGGAAAGTATGTTTTTTTGCTTGCTGCAAAATGTAAATTTATTTACATACCTTAAAAAAAGAAAAACAATTGACTGGCGTTAACCGGTATTAAATGAGAAGGTGTGTGTGTGTGGGGGGGGGGGTATTTAACGTCAAAATACGGGCTATAACACGAAATACAAGATATCGGGATGCATACCATTAAAAAGGTCCAACAACATTTTCAAAATTGTAAAATATTTTCTGACATATTCATATTTACGTACCTTGTTAAAGCAGATACAATTTGGATCGTCTGAACTCTATTTAGAGAAGGGTGAGGGGAGGTATTTAAAAGTCAAAATACGCGCCTTAATACGAAATTCCAGTTATCGTGTAATGCTTCACCGTAACGTATTTGTCTTTCGCTCTTTGAATATACGAGTATTAGCTATTTTACTTGCACATTCATGATTACATGATTTAGAAGAGATAAAGTCTTTTTCGTTTTCCCAAAGAAATATGTCGCTATCAAAAAATAACCTAATTACCAAAAATAGATTACTTTTAATTTATTTTATTTAATGCTCGGTCATATTAACCAAATATATATTTATATATAGAAACATAATACGCACGTAATTGCACTAAAGTCACTGTCATTGAGCGATTTTTCTAATTGTATGTATGCCTACTCAATTCTCCTTTATTGTATGGTGGCTTATTGTATGCCAGGTTGATTTCGACTCATGTCGTCATAATGTTCCGGTTCGATGAATTTCGCGAAATGTTTTTGGAGAAACGTTTTCGGAGAAATGTTTTGCAAGACATGTATTTGAAGATTTTTATTTGTAAATTTGTTGTTCGAGATTTGTTTTTCGTTGTATGTCTATGACTATGATGAAATGTAAATCTTGATTATTGTTTTGATTTACTAAAATAAATTTTATCTTTATATTAAAATAAAACTGAATTAAACAAAAATACATTTTACAAATGTCTGATTTGTGAAACAAATATTGACTTTAAGATACAAATGATAATTTTAGTGTACAAATGTCGAAATACGACAACAAATGAAGAAACAAGAATTAAGAACTAAGAATTAAGAACACTGTATAAAGAGCTGTTTGGTCGTCCATAAAACGGGGTGAGAAAGTAAGAAACGTGGTGAGAACGTGTGGAAACGGGGTGAGAACGTGAGGAAACGGGGCGAGAACGTGAGGAAACGGAAGTTTTAAATAAACTCATACCATAGCTAATATACTGACAATGGAGAATAATTTGTAAAGATATTAATTAATATAATGCTACTAACTAAAAGAGTAAAAATTCTACAAAAGTCTTACAGTGGGAAAAGAACGAAAACGTGGGGAAACGGGGTAAGAACGTGGGGAAACGGGATGAAAACGTGTGGAAACGGGGTGAGAACGCGAGGAAACAGGGTGAGAACATGGAAACGGGGTGAGAACGTTATGAAACACACTGTATGGAACATGTCCGCCTTTATTAATCCAGTCGGGCAAGAAAAGTAGGACGTTAAACTACATTTTAATTCATTTTGTATTTCAGTAATTCAGATTTTGAAATTTGAGTTGCAGGCTTTCGACCATGTTCGCTTGGCAAAAGCTAGAGCCAAAAAGACCCTGTTTTAATGGTGACTGTAGGCGTTTTAGTTTTACGGGTATGTGATTATATATAGGTATGACATCATAATATGTATCTCACAATGACCGAAGTATTCCATATAACGTCTACCCATAATGGTGATTGTAGGCGTTTTAGGGGTTTTTGGATAAATAATATTGGAGAATAATATAGAATATCCACCCGATTAGATTTTATTACATACTTCGAGAAGGTATTTGTTGAGTAATAAAACCTTCTAGTAGTTTATCGAGGGCTGGTCGTCCTTACCGCACGGTACAAATAAAACCTTCTTTATATAAATGAGAATTTCGGGGATAACTAACCCGAACCCTAACCCTAACCCTTTTTAAAAGACTGAACTTGGGTCTAATTTAGTTTTTACTTCTCTTAAAAGGGTTAAGGTTAGGGTTAGTATTCCCCTAATTACTCATTTGTATAAAGCGGCCATTTTGGTATGAGTTCTGGCTTGTTCTGGAATTTGTTGCTTCTAGTGGTGATAATATTTGTACCGTGCGGTAAGGACGGACGACCCTTAATAAACTACTAGAAGGTTTTATTACTCAACAAATAATTTCTCGAAGTATGTAATAAAATATAATCGGGTGGTATATCCGGGTACAATTGATTTACCTCGTATTGCGCATGTAACCGTATATAGGTATGACATTATCATATATATCTCAAAATGACCGAAGTTTTTCATGTAATGTTTACCGTTTACCCACAAACATAATCCTTCTACATACTTCTTTTCTTTCCCATGTACGCCCACCTACAGACAATTTAACAAATGTTTCCGCAAAGGTGACTTTCAATGTTTGTATATCCTGGTGTCTTATTTACTAATACACTAATAGACATTCACTGTAGGTGCTTTATTCACACTTTAACTATTTTGTGTTCTGTGCATGGACTGATATTTTAGCTGTGTTTAACTATATTTTGGAATTTTGAATATGATTCACTATAGCTTGACGTCAAATTCGGCACTAAGAGTGGCATCGTACGTTTGCCATCTTGTGTAGGACATGTCTAGGTGAAATAAAACAACAACCACATGTTCCCAAAGCTTCCACCCAAAATTGAAAGATATCCGTTTAAAACTATAGCCTCTATCGTGTCATCATCTCATGATCTCAGTACTTCCCACTAAATTGGAATAACATCTGTTAAACACTACAAACTCTATCGCGTCCACAATGGTCTGTGTAATTCCAAATTGAAAAGAATCCGTTGAAAACTTCAGCTTACACATTGTATACCACAATGCTTGACATCAAATCTTTAAGTACAATATCTTGTGGAACTCTTGTGGTGAAAGACACCACAGAAGGTGAGGAATGGTAGTATTCGGGCTTGTGGTAATATTAACGCTAGAGCAGATGAGTTAAAGGATTTTTCAATGAAATTAGACTGCGTATTCATATGCCAAAAAATTTCAGATACAGACTTTAGTTGAATTATGTATAGCTTTATACGCTGTGTTAATGCACGTTGTATATGTAAACGGTCAATTAGAAAACCGATTGTAAATTGGTCAGACGTTATCGAAATAAAATGAAATGGGGACCTACTGTTCTGCGTTGACCGGGCTAATTAAGAAGGGCAAAATTTCACCCATACAGTATGCTATGAGGGAATTTCTCTTATATCGAATTCCAACTGTCAAGGGCTCTTTTACATGCACGTCAGTATATACACGGGACCTCGGTTTTTCGTCACACGGACGACTATACGCTGTCCCTTGCCAGACTCTCCGTCCTGCACGACTGACAAGGAAGAACCTGTCGGAAAATCCCGATGAACTTCCTCGGCCAACGCAGGTTAGCGCGCCAACGTCTTACTCACTGAGCAACCACGACTCCCGATATATACTCTTCAAAAAAGAAGTAGGAATTATTCAGAAACAATACAAAACAGCGGTAATGCACTTCTGTTTTTATTAGAGGTAACCAGTGTATGTTAATAACATGCCAATTGCCTAAACATGAACATCAACAGTTCATATGGGCGGCTTATCTGACGGCCCCATTTCACTCGCAAAGAGATACACTGTCCAAAGTGAAAATTGACGTTTTTGATTTTTGTCTTAATAATGAGTAATTGCTCTACCAATCCTCGGACATTCAGCATTTCGTCGTGGCATGCTCCTAATCAACCGTCCAATCACGATTTGGGGTAATCTGACCCACTCCTCTCGCAGTGTTCTCCGTTGACGTCGACGAACACGTCTTCCGCTCAAATTAAACGTAACGCACTCTAGCAAAGATACGCTAAACAGTAAATCATATGCAAGGACCGATAAGAAAGCAAACATGGATAGGATAAACTAGCAAACGGCCGTTTTCATCAATCCTTCCTTGTAGTGTCAAATTTGACAATGAACCCCTCCAACGTGTATGGCGCTATTGCGTGTCGCATGTGCATCTCAGTGGTTCTGTTGGGGCGATAAGTTCTTCATCTGTGAACATACCCTCAAAGCATGTCGAGTGTCCATGTCTATTTATCATATCACAACCTGCATAGGTATTTGCATGTCAATATCTCCTACTTTTTTTGAAGAGTATATTATCATTGAGAATCTTATTAGGGATGAAAGCACAATCAATTGTTCAACCAGGATAAAAGTGTTGACATGTTTTCACTACCTCTTGCTAACCTAAATTTAAATTATACCAAACAAATTATATTCACAATATAATCGAGTGCAAATAAACAACTAATGGTTCGATGATTCGTCCTTGAACAGACAAAAAGACTACAAACCCACGCTACACGTGTTTCGTACGGACAAAAGTTTCTATGGAGGCGTATAGGGTATAAAAAGAAATTATATTAGTACCGCTTACGTAAGATCCTGTACGTATAACTTAAAATATCCCGCGGCGGCTGTATTATCTCTTATGTAGGGCTTATTTTTAATTAACAATATTTTTATTCAGTAAATATCTGAATTTGGATTTGGAAACAGGCTATGTGAATCTTCTCTCTAGATCTCTAACTAGATATATTTATACACAGATTAGTCATACAGAGAGAGAGAGAGAGAGAGACAGAGAGACACAAACTAGGTCATTTCGGGACTAACAAATTGTTCAATTTTTATTTCAATAATTCGCTTGCGCGTAGGAGTCTTTAGCAGTGTTAGGAAACATGAGGACCCGGAGAAATCCCACGAGGTTGGGCAGGCGGCCCTACTCCTTGTCACGTACCACCGGGGATTCGAAACCACGCCAGTTCTCTCAATGACAGGCCTTATGATACGTGCTAAACATTCGGTCATCTAACCTCCCGTCATACATATTAAAAGGGTACATAAAATAGATAATGTAGGAGACATTATTTATAAATATTTGAATAGGTAGAAACTAGCGTTTGGTATTGGTTGTTGTGATTTGGTAAATGACAGCCGAGAGAAACGAGGATATACGATGATTGTACGGTGTGCAGGGGATGTCGAAAAGCTTCATGTTAATTTTAGTATTCTAAACTCGAAACAGTTATATATACTAGTCCATTACTTCGGCGCTTAGAGCATGTCCCTGTGTGACGTGGAATATAGGGCAATATAAATTTTCATATTGAGTTGGGGTGATATTCACATCAAGACAAAGTGCGAATATTTTTTTAAATATCTAAAACTGTTTGTTACAAATAAATGCACAAAAATGAATTATTTAGATAGGACTGGGTATTATTGGGGGAAATAAACACAGGAGAATACAGAAGTTGAAATTTATTAAGTTTGATTGACTGGGGGTGGAGTGATGTGGAATTGTATTGCCTCTAAATGTACTTTCAGGGCAGGAAGCCACAGTGGCTCAGTGAGTAAGACGTTGGCTCGCTAACCTGGAGTCCCGTGTTTGTTCCCTATTTTCACCAAGAAAGTGCATTTGTATTTTCCGGTGTGGTCCCCCCTTGTCAGTGGTGTAACAATAATAATAGCCTCGTCCTAATATTGGTTCCAAAATCATAAATCAATCTCTGGCTGAAATCAAAATGCTGTTAGTATCTCTATCCATTGACATTAAAACTTAATACCGGTGTTAGCGGGAGTATGACTCTATTCTTTGAAACCTTAAAATAAACGCAATATGACTGTATATAAAGTGATTAATATTCAATTTTAAAAACAAAAAATGATTGCAATTTATAATGAATTACCTTGGACAAAATGTGTGCACTGTCCAAATTGAACGACAGTCGTTAACGCCTGTTAAAGCCATTCTGTACGCTTTTTTTTAAATTATGAACCAATATTGAATTCTAATTCTAATGTTTAATTTCGAATGTCATGGATGATATTGAGTTAGAGGTTTCGCTGCTTTAATGATGGTGTATTGTGTACTATCGATGAAACATGAAAACAGGTTCACTTTATTTCATATCGGTGATATAGAAGCAGCTGTTCAGTAGACCAAATCAAAAATATCCACCTCCAACACTAAACTTCATTTCAACAAAAATAATTGAAAAAAAAACAGACCCAAGTTACATTCATGTCTAGTTGTAGTATTGAAATATATCAATTGTTTGTGGAGAAAGAGTAGCTTTTAGATGAACCGATGTAGGTGTATATACCCCTTTCATATAGATTTTATCGTCATTCTGAATAAACTCAAACCCACGCAAAGGATTCTACTAGTCACCGACAAGAACCGACAAGAGCGTTTTTTGTCGATTTGACTTAGCCATAATTATGTTATTTTTTTATGAAATAATAATTATCTAATATTTGAATAAGATCTGTACAATATGCATATTGATAACATATCTTTATTCGTCGGCCACTTTTTGCAATAATTTGGGCGATATTGACAAAAAACGTTCTTGTAGGTGATTCGTGGGAACTGCACTCAACGTACATACATTTAGGGGACGAAAATGCTCGAAAAAGTTTTATGTTCCACAATTATTGAGGTGTAAAGATTATTTTGTTGTAGACTTTTATGAGAATTTTATGAGAGTTATGTGTCTCCTCTTTATCTGGAACTGATTTAAGCGACGTTCAAACTCCATAAAAACTGTGATCCCCACTTATTGCTTTTTCGAATTTCAGATGTGCACAACTCGGTAATATACACCGTGGATTTAATCTTTCTGCCACGTTTCATATTAACTAGGGGTGGTAATACAATCTTATTGAAAAACAATCGTCAACTTTTCACAGCAATAAGTTATTACAATACACATAATAAAATATCACCCACTAAGCTACAAATATTCAAACCAGGTGTGGTAACATAATTATTTCACAGAATCAAGGGATGAATAAACTGGTAGACTGAAAAATTTCAGACGCCTCTTGTGTTGCATTATCGAGATATATTATTGTAATTATACTAAAAATGTGGGAACACGGGTTAGGGTAGGCTCACTGTTAAATTAGCTTTGGTGGCCCGCAAATATTTATATCTCCGCATGAACAGATGACTACGGTATGGGCATGCCAAAGTTCATTAATAGTCTTGCTTTAGACAACTGTACTATCAAGTAAAATACAAACCATGGTATAAAAAATATTTATTATCATATAAAATATGGTTTACCTTATCATATAAAATATGGTTTACCTTATCATATAAAATATCTATTATCATATAAAATATCTATGATAATGGAAAATATACCTTAGCGTCATATAAAATATATATTATTACCATCATATAAAATATATATTATCATATAAAATATCTATTATTAGTATCATATAAAATATCTATTATTAGTATCATATAAAATATATATTATCATATAAAATATTTATTATTAGTATCATATAAAATATATATTATTAGTATCATATAAAATATCTATGATCATATAATATATCTATTAGTATCATATAAAAGATTATTTAATCAATATTTAAAGGTGCATCATGTAAGAGCCCCATCTGACTATATATATTGTTATATAAACTATTATTTAGACATTTGTTCACATGACAAGCCTATAATCGGATGGCGGAGATTTAAACGGTTTGAAACACGATCGCCATTTAATGATTTAATCTTAAAATGTTTCATCGAGACTGGGCTATTGCTATGATAACAACAATCTATGCTACATCGTGTCAAAACTTCAAACACAGACAACTCGGATCAGAATAAAGTAATTTGAATGAAATGTTCTATATATTCATTTTGCATTATCTGTTTCGGAACTATATTATAACAAGAATGGCTAGCTCTCTATCTAAATCTTATATAATGCTTCTTTAATTTGCATTGCTGCAATGGTGGTCAGCAGACTATGTCTATATCTAAATATATGAAATCATACAAAAATCGTAGACCGATACCCCCAGCCCCCAATACTGTGACCAGAATAGTCTATTCGTTCAGTGAGCTACAAATCAAAGTACGCAGATAAAAAGTGTGGATCTCCCACATTATATCAAAGATTACCGGTAGTTGATTCTATTAAGGTGTTGACCTGAAAAAAAAAACAATCAACGTTGAAGTATATGTGAATATATCTGTTCTAGGCCAATCTCGTAAAAATACAGATCTGTATTTCGTTTCCGTTTTTCTTTTTTATATACTTTCGATGGCCTCTACTACGTAAAGATCTGATCTGTTGTACTAGGAAGTCGCGTCAGGGGTCACACAAGTGGCTTGTGACCCTACGACGTCAGGCATTTAATTAACCAATCAGCGTTGATGTTTCTATTAGGATACCCACAGTTCCGTGCATCGCAGGCCAAGAACTCGCTGCAACAGACCGTTTCATTGGCTAATCCCACACATCAACCAGAACGCGGGTTATATAACAGCTCTTCCAGATCCTAGTGTAGTAAAGTAAAACGAAATTTTGAACTATAAAAAACGAAATAGGATCTGGGTTTTAATCAGATTGATTCTTGACATGCACGTAGCTATATGAGACATCACACAGAGAACCAAAGTGTAACGATAATGCATAGAAAGTAGAAATAATCTACAATTTATATGGGTCGTTTCGATTAAGCTTCTGTAGTCCTTATGAAGTCGAACCGTGCCTCAGTAACAAGCAGTAATTGTATTCAATTGAATTGTGACCATTACTGAATGCCAATGAAGCAATTTAATTTACAGATTGTTCTCCATATGTTAGCACGTTTTGTTTAAACCATCATTAAAATAACATGGTCTCTAGTTTTAATTAATGCTAATGGACAATAAACATGTGGTATTTGTGTAGTACTTTTTAAATGATCTAGACAAAGTTGCCATTAACGTGTAGATTTGACAAGTCAACAGTTGGCAGTTCTCGGTATAATAGTTAAAAATAGAAAATCAAAAGGGAATAATATGTTGAAACTTTCAATCAGATCACTTCATTCTGAACGGTGTTATGGCCGTTTGATGAACAGTGTAGCCTCCATTGTCATTGCTACCGTTGTCTTGATTATACAATCCGTTGGTTATGGTCTTGGCAGTGCAAAAGTTGTCTAAATAATAGTTTTGTATCATTTGAAGCCGAAATAAAGACCTGCAATTGGCTGGTTTAGCTCTTTTATAATATATCTTTACATTTAACAGATATATTACTATTGGGAAACAGCCAGGTGTCGTTCGGTGTATTTTGTGAAACGAAATGAAATGAAATGGGGTTTAACGTCCTACTGTTTTGCTCCTAAACTGGGCTAATGAAGACGGGCATACGCCATACAGTGTGCTATGAGGGACATTTTGCCCGGGCAGCGGCGCTACGGCCTATTCTTATATCGAATTCCAACTGCCAAGGCATCTTTTACGTGCACGCCAATTTGTACACGGGACCTCGGTTTTTCGTCCCATCCGAACGACTAGTCAGGCCCTCCGCCCTGCATCACTGACAAAGGGAAACCACGCCGGAAAATCGGGATGAACTTTCTCGGCCAATGCAGGGATCGAACATCCGACCTCCAGGCTAGCGAGCCAGCGTCTTACCAACTTAGCCACGTGATCCCCTGGTGAAACTAACCCATACCTAGCTTATTTTCAATTGTCTCCAGTCTCCTTTCCAGTTTTTGGATGGATGTCTGTAATTTTGTTCTGAAAAAAAACCAACAAATTAATAAACACCTAATGGAACTAACTTTATTGGTGTATAATTGTTTAAAATCTGAATATTGACCTCACACAAACAAATGGCAACAGGTATTGTCCTATCCAGAACCATGTTAAAGAATGGTAAAGTATCCATGAGCAGAGGTTAGGGAGACACTAGTTTGACACAAGTGTTTGATTCACTTCATTTGTGTTATTTTAAAGCTAAGAGAATACTATACACCTGGTTCAAGTCAAAATAATGGGTTAGTGTTAAGTTTTCAAGAGTTATGTTTTAAAACACAGGTGATTCGTAACTCATTTATTTATCTTTATTTATTTTAATTATTGAATTAAACATTCGTCGTCATGACACATGTAACTTATTATATTCTTGAAATATCACCAGTAAGTAACATATAGCCATATATGAAGCAAATTGATATAGGTCTTAGGTTGTTTTTGTATCATATCTTTAAAACTTGTAATGTTGTATATGATATTTTATGAATAAATATTGTTTAAACCAAAACACAGGTGACCCACCTCTCGTTTTCGTGCATCTGTAAACACTGTTTTGCTATAGATTTTTCTCGTCTGGTGATTTTCTTACTAGGTTTGCGTTTAATGTTATATTCTAAAGAAGACAAACAACAGCAATAAAAATACAGTGTCGTAGCTACGAGCTCTATATTGAAATTAAGATTAGAATAAAACCCTGCATTGCCGAGGTTATCTACAATAAAGGTGGTCGGGAAGTTGGACAGATCCTAAAGCCCAACCAAACAGCAGATTCACATACTCTCATTGGACCTTTGCCTATGTCGCAATTTCGTGTCGAAATTACACACCATAGATAACTCTTGTTCAATCGATGTTTATTATTATAAAATTGATCAGTTTATTATCACATATTAAAGCGACTGTTCTATATACGGCAAAAGAAACAAAACTTCCCCACATATTTTAATGCGTGGTCTGGCCTGAACCATGAACAACCAATCAATTTGTCGGTTACTGTGTTTAAATTTGTGAATATTGTTATTATCAGTCAAAATATTTTGGCACAAACATAAGGAAACAGACTAAGCTCTTACTGAAGATATTCTCTTCTTCATTCGACACCTGTTCTTCATTAGACATCATTTTATATTTTAACCATCTACCGAGTCTGTATAGGTGTACGAACACAATGAGTGGTGGAGGAAGAAAGGGGCGACTGTAGTATTCGTAGATCAGTTGATATCGCTGTAAACACCAGTAAGAGTAGGATCTCTGTTCAATATTATTGAACGTATTGCTGTTGATATAAAAGGCATAAAATATATACATGTATAGTACAAAATAAAGTAGTAAGGGGGCCAATGGAGGCAGACCACCATTAAATTGTAGTTCGTCTATTTATAGCAATTCTCTCTCTCTCTCTCTCTTTTCTCCCCTTTTGCATGCCCATTTTAGTTGATTTTTTTGGTCTAGAATGGACGAAGAGGGTTTGAATTAACATTTTCTGCCAGGTTTTGGTAAATATTTATGATTTTGAGGCGGAAGGATAACAGGGTTATCAGGTTGGCTACGGCGATATGTACGGCAACTAGTTACATGTTTTTAGTATGCTTCTTCAAGTTTGTGTATCTTAAAATTTTGGTAATCAACCCCATACAAATTTTAGTGCAAAGACATGACCATTTGTTCCTCTGTCTGTAGTGAAAAGCATTCAGCCCAACGAAAATTTGGGAAAAGGTTGGAGGTGGGCAAAGAGGTCAGAATTAACATTGAAGTCAATGGGGAAATTAATGGTGGTCTGCCTCCCAATCAGTTATGAGGATTTGTCTCCCCTGTTGCTTATAATTAAAAAGGGTGCTTAAGGAAATGGGGTTTAACGTCCACTCGACACAAACTAGGTCATTTCGGGACTAACACATGGTTCAATTTTATTTCAATAATTCGCTTGCGCGTAGGGGTCTTTAGCTGTGGGAGGAAACCGGAGGACCTGGAGAAAACCCACGAGGTTGGACAGGCGACCCTACTCCTTGTCACGTACAACCGGGGATTCGAAACCCCGCCAGTTGACTCAATGACAGACCGTATGATACAGCGCGCGCGTGCTAACCATTCGGCCGTCCAATCCCCCAATTAAAAAGGGATAAAATAGAAAAACGTATACGAATAATAGTTAAAAGGGTGGGATTTTTGTTGAATATTATTGAACGTATTAATGTTGTATAGTAAAATGTAGTAAGGGGACGTTCGCTGTGAGGAATTATCTCCCATTGTTGCTTATAAAAAATAAGGGATAACAAGGATAACTATTATTTGTATACGTTATATTAAAACGTATACAAATAATAGTTAAAATCCTCCTTTGAAAGCAATTGGCTCGCTAACGAGGTCGGGAGATCTCGGGCATTTCCGGCGTGTTCGCCCTTGTCAGTAGCACATGGCTAGACAAGGATCGATGTCTAATCGTCTAATCGTGCACGTAAAACAGTGGTATTGCCGCTGTTCAGGCAATATTCCCCTTATAGTACACTGTATAGCGTTTGCCCAGCCAGTGCAGAAAATGTAACGTTAAACCGAAGTCCCGTGTACACATTGGTGTAATGCGGTTATTCGGGCAACATTTTCCTCACAGTACACTGTATGGAGTATGCCCAGTCGGTGCCGAAATATATGACGTTAAACCGCCCTTCCATTTCATTTAAGTTCAATATAAGCAATTAGCATTGATAGTCTTCTTCTAATCGTCGTTGAAACATTTAGTATAAGTGTAAGAGAGAGAGAAATGGGGTTTAACGTCCACTCGACACAAACGAGGTCATTTCGGGTCTAACACATGGTTCAATTTTATTTCAATAATTCGCTTGCGCGTAGGTGGTCTTTAGGAGTAGGAGGAAACCGGATTACCCGGAGAAAACCCACGAGGTTGAACAGAATAGATCTACTGGCAACTTACCTGAACATTGCAATGAGTATATTTAATAGCAGCACATTGGTAAAAAGCATATAAATCCCTAGGGAAACCGGAGCTACATATCTCCCTACAGTTGATGGACATCGTAATTCGTTATTTGTACCATATTCATCAGGATTATCAGTACAAGAGCTTGAACCTGTGAATGTGATTTTTGTTTGTTTGTCAATCATTCTTATTCGAAATGGTTATAGGCGTCACTCCCCTTTTTTGCTAAAGGTAAGAATCACTCCTGGTGTAAAATTTTAAAACAATGCTATTCTTATTTAGTTTCTACGGAAACAAAGACCATATTCAATAAGAATTTACTAGTAATAAGGCACAACGATTATAACAGATTGTTGTATTTGCATCGATATATTGAATGGTGTCTAAGGTGTGATAAAGAAGAATTATTTGTACAGCAAAAACTTTCAAATCCTTCAACCGATAATTTTCTAACTAAATTATGACAGCTGTGTGTAAAGATATTTTGTGTGGTTCCTGCGTTATGCAGACCGAGATGGAATGATGAGCGGTGCGGGATTATAAACATAAATATGTTATATAACGTACCTTCTATATCATCTAAAAACAGTTCCCCATAAATATCTTATATAACGTACCTTCTATGTCATCTGAAATCAGTTCCCCATAAATATCTTATATAACGTACCTTCTGTATCATCTAAAATCAGTTCCCCATAAATATCTTATATAACGTACCTTCTATATCATCTAAAATCAGTTCTCCTTAAATATGTTATATAACGTACCTTCTACATCATCTAAAAACAGTTCCCCAGAAATATGTAATATAACGTACCTTCTATATCATCTAAAATCAGTTCCCCAAAATATGTTATATAATGTTATAACGTACCTTCTATATCATCTAAAATCAGTTCCCCATAAATATCTTATAGAACGCATCTTCTATATCATCTAAAATCAGTTCCCCATAAATATGTTATATAACGTACCTTCTATATCATCGAAAAACAGTTCCCCAACCTTCTACATCATCTTAAAACAGTTCCCACCAAAATATGTTATATAACGTACCTTCTATATCTTCTAGAAACAATTCTCCATACATATGCCAGTAAGCCTTTCGTGGGAGTTGATACAGGAGTTTAACTGATAATTCTGTATTGGGATACAATATTGCCTCTGTTGCTACCGAGTAGGCCAAAACAAAAACCAAAACAATAACCATAAATGGTATTAGGTCCTTCAGAATCTGTAAACAACAATTCCAATAATGTTAAATCATACATGAATCAGAACAATGCCTACTCCGCTCTTAAATAGAGCGAGAGAGAGAGAGGGAGAGTGAGAGAGAGAGAGCGAGCAACAGAGAGAGAGAGAGAGAGAGAGAGATGAGGTTTAACGTCCACTCGACACAAACTAGGTCATTTCGGGACTAACATATGGTTCAATTTTATTTCTATAATTCGCTTGCGCGTAGGGTCGGTGGGAGGAGGGACTAAAATATAGTTCAATTTTATTTCTATAATTCGCTTGCGCGTAGGGGTCTTTAGCGGTGGGAGGAAACCGGAGGACACGAAGAAAACCCACGAGGTTTGGACTGGCGACCCTACCGCTCTTAAATAATTAACAAAAATGCGAAAAAAGGATTCCGATAATTGGTAATTGGGGAAAGACTAACAAAGATAGAATATTCTATAGCTTACCATTTTTCGAAGCATGACAAGTTTTGGTCCCAGAGAACTGCTTACTACGAAAATGTGAAGAAGGCGGACATAGAAGGCAACTAAATCCAGACATAGGATTACTCGTGCAGCTTCGAAACACTGGTCATTATTTATCAATCGTAGACATATACCAACCAGAAACAATATAATGGTAATGATGTCCAATTTGTTCCATGCGTCTTTGAGATATAACTTCAGTTGTTTTAAAATACCCTTGGAATCGCTGCTAATACACTGAATATAGAATCTTTATGCAATAATACAAATCATCAATGATTTTTAATATGTAAAAATATGACTACAGTAAACGATGGTACCAGTCGATTTCAACACTAGTTTAATAATATTTTATAGTAATGGTTCGCTAATCTGGGAACTCGTCAGAAATATGTGTACGATATTATTTTAATGTGATACTACCATTTTGTTATATCACCTTGCAAGTTCCTTTTATTATGTGACATTTTGACACGTGCACATGTACGTTCATGTGTATATGTCATGCCTAATATGTTTTGGCTACTTTTTCAACTGATAGAAGAAAGTCAAATTACTTACTTGCCTTATTTCCTCAAGTACTAAGGTAAAAACCCAGACACAGATAATTATTTCAATAACAGAGAATGTCGGATTAAAACTAACGACCATCAGGTAGCTGAACAGACCCAGGAATATCACATACGATAACTAAAATAGATTAAAATAAACTCCATTGTTCGTCATAATATATCGTATACTAGGTATGGACAAACCTTTGTAAAGTTGAGAATCTACAGTCATTTATTGCTTTGCCTAGCCTAATTACAATAATTAAATTTAACTTTACAAAGATTTCAATTTTTTTCTCCCAGGCTTACCTAAATTTCGTTCATCTTATATGGCCGAGTTCGTAAATTTGTGCGTTACCCTTTCAATGAAGTCAATCATGGCCGTAAGGAGAGTGGGGCGTATTTTTTAACAGCGTGTTGTGTCGCTCATACTGGTTCTAGCAATATAAGCAAGGTCTTATTTTCTCACTAAGATGTTCAATTACATTGTTCAGGCGCTCACAGGTACTGACACGCGACCGTTTAGCAGTAAAAAGTTGCCCAGTAAAATTGACTAGGAAGCCAAATTTTGTCGACAAGGATTCAATAGAAGAGTCCCTGAACGTACAGGGCGAGTGTAATGAGACTACGTTCAGAGCTGAACTATATTTTTACATGAAATGGACGTGAATACAGGAGTTATCTGCCTCATCTGAATTCGTGTATGACCAAATGTTCTCGCACCCACAATTTGGGGTTGAGTATAAGATCAAAAGTTCAAATAGATGAGAGAGTTTAGATTTGAAAATAAGAAGGCTATTCTATGGGCCATAATTCAATTCACAATTGATTTCTTAACCTAGACACATACTGGCCACCAGTTCCGAGTTTGATATTAAATTATAGGTTATTATAGGGAATAGGTTATTAGTTTGTTATTCAGTATACTGCGAATTACAAGAAACCGAAATTGGGAATACTTCTTCATTCAGATTGGGTACTTTTTAAAAGATTATTCGAATCTTTGTACGGTTTGGGAAGTACTGAAAACCCGTATTTAATAACCTACCTTTTGACGAATAGAATTAAATTTGAAAGTCTAAACAGCACACTTCTTGGGATCGTACTTACATCAAATGTTAGATTTAACATCAGAAAATTTACTTACCAAGTTAAGACAAAATATAGTCACTGGTTTCAGAAAAAACTTTTTAATACATGTCCAATCCTCGTTTTCTTTTTCCGAAAACCCGTGATAGATCACCCTCGGCAATAAGATTGTACAAAGCATCATCTGTAATATAAACCATACTTGTTTCGTTTGATATCGTGTATTGAGAAATTCCAACTTGACTGTTTGGTGTATGTTCTAACGGTCAAGTCAAATTAATGAAAGACCTACGTACCTCTGATTTTTGTAGAAGTTTTTTTTGACACCCTTCCCCTGTACATCACGGGGTCTAGGGGAGTAACGCGTGAAATCACAAGGTCTGTCATTGAATCGAGTAGCATGGTTTTGATTCCCCGCTTGAACATGACAAGGAGTAGGGTCGCCTGTCCAACCCCTTGGGTTTTCTCCGGGTCCCCCACTGCTAAATACCCCTACGCGTAAGCGATTTATTGAACCGAAATGACCTAGTTGATGCCTCTCTACCTCTACCTCCCTCTCCTATACCCCACATTGAAAATCAGAACTCTATAAGTAGGTACCATGGAAAAACCTTCTAAAGAAATTAGTTGTTGGGTTGACCGCCTTATTGGCGTATTTTGATAGGACTATAAAGATTTCTGTCCAAATGGCAAACATAGATACAATTACGGTTGGCATATTCGAGCAAATGCAGCGATGATTGAACAGTATTTCAATTGATTTTCAATTTAATCTATTCTTCCCCTTACATTTGTATCGTTTCCATAAAAGTCCAACAGTGTACCGAATGTATTTTAATTATATTTTGTGGACAAACGTGGAATCTTCCAACTCGATCGTTGGATTCATTTTATTGTTCGAAAGTCAAAAAATATTTCAAAGACATTTTCAAGTTGGAAACAAAAAGACGCCTCAATTATTACACAATTTTGTCAACCTCAACTTTGTCTTAGTTCAGTTATGTGATTTTAAGGTTAAAGGTCTTGCCCATAAAACCTTGTGGGGATATGAACCAAATGCATACGGTTGTCCACCGTCACCGACTGACAGATCTCTAACCGTTATTCTGATGTTACTACTGTCACTCATAATGGCTTGCAAAAAAAGCTAATCTGACATTACGTAATAGGCAGCTGTGTAATCGTTTAGACACCTTGTCAGCATGGTCAGGCACTCGACTGATATTTGTCCAGCTCAAAGCCTTAACCGACGGGTACTGAATTAGATTCATCAGTACGGGCCAAAGGGCGACCAAGCTAGGTCAGGGCTCTCTAAACACAAGCTAACTTTACGGAGTCATTTAACTTAAGGTGTTGGCTTGTACTTTATATGTTTGGAGGAATAATAAAAGTATTATATGGTGTTAGATCAGTGTTGTCATAAAGAACCAATAGTGTAACATATAGCCCAGACACATTATTAACAAACCAAAATCTTGCCAGTTGGTATCTTTACATCGATTTAAACAGATTATATTCAATCTAATGAATGTTAAATCTCATATTAATTCTAGAGCCCACACCTCTATTCTTTCATTATTGTCTACTTTGATATGTATTTCCGATCACTGTCTGTTTGGGGTTATTAATATTCACATCATGATCAGGTTTTCTAATAGTGGCATTTAATATACCGACCACCAAATGGACTAGTCAAAGTGGATATCGATTTTAATCCTATTTTATAGATGCTTGCAATCAGAAATTTCACATTTTACACCTAAATGAGTGTTCAATCCCTGCATTGGCCGAGAAAGTTCATCCAGATTTTCCGCCGTGGTTTCCCCTTGTCAGTGATGCAGAACGGAGGGCCTGACAAGGACAGCTGTCTAGTCGTTCGGATGGGACGAAAAACCGAGGTCCCGTGTACATATTGGCGTGCACGTAAAAGATCCCTTGGTAGTTTGAATTCGATATACGAGTAGGTCGTAGCGCCGCTGCCCGGGCAAAATGTCCCTCATAGCACACTGTATGGCGTATGCCCGTCTTCATTAGCCCAGTTCAGGTGCAGAACAGTAGGACGTTAAACCCCATTTCATTTCATTTCATTTTACACCTAAATGAATATACAATAACAAAAGTGAGAAAAAAAATACTTTCCACAAATCGGACATTTAATAATGAAACCTTTTCCCACCAAATGTTATCCAGGAGTTCCTGACAGGCGACGCTAGACAGGAACTTTTTGTTTCCTGTGGCTGCTGTTAGACAAGATTTATCTTTCCATTTTGTCAGCTTTCGGATTAAAGATTCCCTACTGCGTCCCTCTCTATGCAAAGAATCAATCACTTTGATGGCCAAATTTGTAAATTCCCTGTAAACAATAAAATTTTAATCTTTTGAACAATATGTTCTTTTCATTTTATCAACAATTGTTTCATATTTCACCTTTTGATGTTTCTTTTTCAAATATCTAACAATATGATTTGATTTTAAATTTTTGATATTACATGGCAATGAATGGGAGCCTTTTAAATTTCCACTATTTCTAACAACAGGTGGGGTTTGAGAAAAATTAATCTGTCATTGATATTATTATAAGGTGGATTATAAAAGGGAAGAAAATTGTTTAAATACTCTGGGCATCGATGATACATTATTTTATGAAGATATGGAAGCATATTTAATAAATGTCGTTCCTTAACTTGTTTTTAAATGTGCTCTATATCTAAAATAAGTTTAAATGCTCGGTTTTGTTGTCATTAAGAGATATTATACCACAGTTATCACATATAGGTGAACAATAGTCCAGATATGGTTAAATGTACACTGTAAGAAATAAATCTGTAAAAAAAAAAACCAGAAAAACTCTGGCAGCAGATTTACCAGATTTTTTTCTGTAATTTTTATTCTGTTTGTTTTTTAACGGAAAATTTCTGTTAAGTCACAATAGCATGGTTCTGTAAAATTACAGGAAAAAAATCTGGTATATCTGCTGCCAGAAGATTTTCTGTTCTTTAACATAATTATTTCCGTTAAGTCACAATAGTACTTTCTGTAAAATTACAGGAAAACAATCTGGCAAATCTGCTGCCAGAGGATTTTCTGTTCTTTGGTTAAATATAATTAAAATCATCTGTAAAAAATAATTTATTTTCTGTAAATGTCATTTTGCAGTCATGAATTTACAAAAAACATTAAAAATGAACAGAAATTCAGAGCAAGAAATTGTACATGGCTTCAAATTTTGTGATTTCTGAAGGCTGATATACAAAATAACGATCGGAATTTACATGGAAGGAATTCTTTCAGTTTATACTTAACTGGGACATTTTTGATAAATTTTAACTGGGCTAATGAAGACGGGCATACGCCATACAGTGTGCTATGAGGGAACTTTTGCCGGGCAGCGGCACAATGGTCCAATATTATATCAAAATGCAACTGCCAATGGATCTTTTACGTGCACGCAATGTATACAGGGGGCCTCGGTTTTTATCGTACAATTCGAGCGGCTAGACAGCTGTCCTTGTCAGGGCATCCATCCTGCACCACTGATAAGTGAAAACCACGTCGGAAAATCCCCATGAACTTCCTTGGCCAATGCAGGGATCGAGCCGCGACCTCCAGACTAGCGAGCCATTATCTTACCCACCTAGCAGTGGATGATAAAACCCATCTCTCTCTCTCTCTCTCTCTCTCTCCACATATCGTGATGCTCTAGTTTATAAATGTGATAACAATGAGCAAAGGATATATAGAATACTTACTGTCCATTCTGTCGTAACTTTTCTGAAAGTTCGTTGTCTTTTTTTTTCCGATTTACCATTTTGTAAATAGGTTTTGCAAATATTGCAGAGGCTATTGGTTCCTGGATGATAATTTTAAAATGACAACAACAATAAAATTACAGATATTGAAATGGCTTCAGAGACGGGTGTGAATAGTGTCGTTCATTAAGTGCGTTATTTATCTCCAAACCAATTATCGCCTGACATTCAGATTCTCAAGAGCTAAAACAAAGGGGGTGTGGGTTCGTTTAACGCATGCGCTTTAGATCATATGGTCTATCAATGAGTCAAGTGACATATAGCTTCTATTCCCCGTATGTACGTGACAAGGAGTTGGGTTCGCCTGTCCAAACTTGCGGGTTTACTCCGCCAAAGTCCAACCGCTTAGCCGCCGCCCCCCCCCCACCCCACTGCTTAAGAAAGATCTTCCGAGCACGAGAGATTTATGATCTAAAATGTGGCACATAGTAGAGTGGGTATGCGCTTTCTAAATTTGTAGTCAAATTACTACAAACACTACAGCACATAATTACTGTTTTCTTGCAAAGGATCAAATGCTATTCAATTTATATCTAACACATCGAAACCGAAACATTATGAAGGTGTTGAAGACTACATCACACACAACGATAAAACAAAAGCAGTCGATCCATTTTAACAAGAATATTTGCTGACTATCAACTTAAAAAGGGGGACACGGTGGCTCTATCAGTAACCTTGAGGTCTAGTGTTCGATATCGGTGATGGCCAAGAAAGTTCATCAGGATTTTCCGACGTGGTTTCCCCATTGTCAATGGTGTAGGATGGAGCGCCTGACAAGGAACAACGTACATTTGTTCGGATAGGACGAACAAAGCGGCTTCCCGTGTAGACATTGGCTTGCACGTACAAGAACCCTTGACAGTTAGAATTAGGAATAAGAGTAAGTCGCAGTGCATCTATCCGGGTAAAATTGTCCTCATAGCACACTGTACGGACGTTAAACCCTATTTTATTTCATACATTGCATACATACGTCTAACTGTGTCCACAATAGTTTTGCAATTTCGTGATCATGCACCAACAAGCAATACACAAATAGATGTTCTATTCCTACAGTATCACCTGCAAAACAAAGCAAGTATTTTATGGAATACTTTGATGTCCACACTGCATAGTTTATTATAGAATTTCACTGACGACTATAGCTAATTCTAACATGCTAAAGGATGCATTATGTAAGTAGATTTAGACAAAAAGCTGGCCGTTCGTGCTATTACAAGCATATAATTAAAAATGAATATAATGAAACTTTGAGTGGAATTACTTTATTCTGAGCGAAGATATGAGTGGTTTTGTCAAGTACCATTTCCATGATAATAATCTTCCTATATTCGTGGTGCTTAACGTCCGCTCCAACTTAGCGACCATTTCCAAGTAGAGTAATATGGTTTGTCAGTCCTTTTATTGACTGGCGGCCATATTAACGTAAATCGATTGTATTATGTGCATGACTTAATTCATTTAATATCTCGGTCATCTGATGGTCTAGAGAGTTGATAATAGGCTTGTCTTGTGAATGAATCTCTAAATAATAATTAATATAACATTTGAAGACAGACAAGGGTCCTGCAATAGACAGATTTAGAACTTGAATAATGCATCTATAAATGTGTCATTAGATACGATCTAATTGCAAACATTTAAATTAGCATTATCGCAATGGCTAAACCTTGAATGAATTTTTTATACGCCCACATCTAATATATCAGCTATATATTAACATTGGTTTATGTAACCGCAATAACTTTGAATAGCTTTGGAGTATCGTGATCACAAGCTATGATAATGAGACCTCAGCAATTACACTTAACCATACTATCGTTTCTGTGGATTTGCTGACGGAAACTTATTGCATTGAATATTTGTGTAATCTTTACATATTTCAGCGTGTTTCTATATTTGCATAAATATAGTTTTCTCCAGGGGGCTAACAAGATTGTCCATCAAAGTTGAAGCTGTTGTAAAAAGTAATTATTGAAAAGAAATAGGGTTCTTCCTTTGAATCTGAAAGACATCCAATACAAAGTTTAGAAAAGTCGGAACATACTGAAACGTCTATGGTGCAAAAAGGGTTTCGGAATAGAAGGGAATAGTATCCTTACACAAAGTCGGTGATAATAAATAGGATAACCGATCGGTCGCAAATAGGGTGACGACGATATAAGTAGTATAATTGCCTATACAGTAGAATCTGCATTAAGCAGCCACCCAAGGGAATTTTCACAACTGACCGCTTAACGGGAGTGGCCTCTTAATAAAATCTCATTGCTTTTTGTGCTGACATAAATATTAAATTAAATATTACGCTTGGAAGCGGTAAATTTGGCCGTCGCTGAATCTTGCGCCGAACGAAAATTCTTTACTCAAATCTCGGACATAACTTAACGGGAGTGGCCTTTTAATAAAATCTTGGTGCTTTTTGTGCTGACATAAATTAAATATTACGCTTGAATGCATTGGAAGCGGTAAATTTGACCGTCGCTGAATCTTGCGCCGAACGAAAATTCTTTACTCAAATCTCGGACATAACTTCTGTAAACTTGTCATTTTGTACCAACCTTCGATACTACTGTCTACCATTGTGATGCATTCCATAATATTTATCCATTTTTGTGAAGAAAATCGATGAATTCATTTTATTTTATCAAAAAAGCACATGGACAAAAAAAACATCGCTAATTTCATGACCTATTTACAGGGGGTGTAACTCTGTATGTAATATTATAGGAGGCGCTAAGAGAGATACTAAATGATCGTGACAAAACTCGGTACTTTTATTTTATTCAATCAGTATCAAATAATGTGTCGTTACGCGTGAAAACAATGATCAGGTTAGTCGTTTAATAAAACAAAAGATTAATTAACAGATAATCCCGGGTTGATTGTTATTTTTACATTTCTTTTTACCTGATCAGTGGGGGGTCCAGTTAATTAACTACTACTCACGGGATTAGCGGGGGTGTTACAAAGAACGACAAGATGATATCATTCAACAATGGCCGTTGAATGGGCTATGTTTTGTTGAATTTATTAGTAAAATAGTGACCGCTGGCCGCGTTAGAGGAGTGACCGTTGAATAAAGAGATGAAACAACAGAATTTCTACGGGGGGAATTTATCGTGACCGCTTACAAGGAGATGTCGCTGAATAGGAGTGGCTGCTCATACAGATTCTACTGTACAGGTACTTAGCCCTTGATGATCTCGTGACACCGTGACATCATAACATTACAGCAGACAAATCAAATATTGAAACGTGTATGTCCTTACCCTCTTTCAATGGTATCTTGATTCCTTGAAAAATCTCTGATTTCAATAAACTCAATATCTAAAAATATGTATAACAATTCAATTCTAAATCATAAAATCCTAATACATTCGGCTCCAAGCGACAACATCGCTTCTAATGGTTCATCTAATGGGGAACATGGGCGCCATAAATCAAATATAATACCTGTAGATTCCAAGTTTAATGCATATGCAGGCTTGTATGTTAAAATTCTCTATGAAAGCCCGTTTATACTGTGGTAAAACTTCCATGTCAGAAAACCGTAAAACTAAAGGATCAATCAAAAATGTCCAGTTTTTTACGAGGTCCTCCCAAATGGCAGTCTCCGTTCAAATAGTGTAGTGGTTGATGTATAGGGTCCTTCTTGAGCTACTTGGTCTTCCGCTAACTGGATACGCGATAGTTCGATAATTTCGATTTGTAGGTAGGCCCTATCTTAAAAGCTGATCATATTTTTACCTTTATGTATTAGCTACAGTTGTTATTACTATTTACACGGGCCTACGAGCTTCATGTACAAACGGACAAACCAAAATTAATAAAGATGGCCAATAGAAAAAATCATCTTTGAGCTATATATTGTTACATTTCTAATCGTAGAATTGTGCACCGACGATAAAAAGTCTAAATGATCAAATATGTTTTTATCTTGGAGCTTGGAGGTGTGTAACAGGCTTAGGCTATGATACATGATGAAAAAATATAGTTACATCTTCATTACTGTTGTATAAATCTCTTATGTCTGAGGCAGTCATAAACTTCTTTCTAATCAAACCAGTTTCTATAAATAAACTGACAAACTCATGTCGTCTCTCTTTTACTGTTTTTATCACGATCCAACTTACATGACGTTTCTGAAAACATTAACATATCACAAATAAGCAGGGAGAATATATGGGGGGCGGTGAGGGGGGGGGGGCTATAGCGTGAAACAGAAGCCTCTTGTAGTCAAATTGTGTATACTTTCTTGTCTTTATATAGTTTACCATTGATTAAATACTTTCAGTTAGTTTCAGTTTTAAAGAGTGTTTTTTGTTATAAGCACCTACCCACTACGTAGTGTGACACTTTTAGCTATGGGGTAGACGAAAAGCTTACTTAGGCATTATTGTAAGATTTAAGAATGTATCAGCAGCCGCGCAAACACCTGATTAATTAAATAAAACATATATTGGTACCTCTAATTTATCTTTATTCTGTTGTAACACACATCTTGCTAAATCTATGTCATTATTTGAAATGGCCTGGTCCATTTGTTTCATAGGATCTGAAGAAGAAATATCAAATCAGCAGATTTAAAGTCATGAGTTATACTGCCTGCAAACCGGCATAAACAAGAATATGTTTCTGTAAAGTCTTCGTCAAGTCCGCCAGGTGGGACTGGTCTGGCTACAAATTGTGTAACATATATAAATCTGTTATATATTATGCTGTTTTAGTTTGACGGACAGTGGTCAGAATATGCCACCCTTTTCATTGTTGCTGCAAGGGCCCCAGTAGCCTTTTCATCCATGGGCCTATATAAGCTTAATCCGGCACTCATAATACCCTTGTTATTTCATTTCATAGTCAGAAATATTTAAATAAAGATGCTTTAAACAGTTACCAAACCGCATTAATACCTTTTCCGAAGTTTGATCCGAAGCTAGCACTACTGCTATATAATTCTTCGAATTCCTCACTGGTTCTATATCTGTCACGTCCCATGCTGTAACTTTAATATATACAACTATATCTTTTATCCATACTATATAAATCATGAAAATGTGCCCAGCTTAATTTCTCGTGATCTACGCTTTGCCACTACCCGGGCAATATCCCATCCCAAAATTTGTCCCACACCCTTAACTTGTCTTCTAAAATAATTCTGGTCGAAATTAAATATTCATTAAACTACTAAACAGCCAAAAAAAACGTCAGTACGATTTCAAAATCAGAGAAGCACTTTAATCAAATCATTCTAGAAAACGACTTACTAAATGGATCAAAGCAATTTTTTGTGAACAGTATGTTGACACATTCGTGATTAATTCATGACAATTCCAAGACATTACGAGAAAGTTTAGAGTCTGTATAAAGTCTGTACACAGTCTATACATCAGTAGCTAATGTCAATAACAGCAGCGCAGCGTCTGTACATGAAGTGGACCAGACGATTGATGAACGCCACACTCTCAGAAAAGCCTGGCGCAATCCATCGGCTGTATTTGGTCTCGGTACGATGTTATTAAGTCTCTTCTGAATTTCATCCCAAAAATGTTCAATTTGGTTTAAGTCCGGACTAAGGCCTGGCCAGTGCAATACGTTGACGCCGTTCTGCTGTAGGAAGTCCCGAGTAACTCTGGCGGTGTGGGGACGGGCGTTGTCATGCTGGAAAGCGTTGTTTCGATGACGTGAGAAATATGGTTTGACGTGGGGTCTGAGAACTTGATCGATGTAGTGCCTTGCTGTGATGCCGCCCCTCTCTCTGGACCAAGATTGTGGAACACCACAGGACCCACACTCTGATTCAGGTCGATTCCAACCAAAGCCATTATGCTTGGACCTCCCCACGAGTCTAGTTCCATGACACATTGGTCAGAATAACGCTGACCACGTCGACGCCATATCCTGGTCCTGTCATCTGCAGTTGATACGAAATACGGACCCTCATCTGTGAACAGAACAGTTCTCCATTGCATGTGTCGCTGGTTCTGGTGTTGTTGGGCAAACTGAAGACGTTCATGTCGATGGCGAGGGGTGAGGATCGGTCCATCGTAAGGTCTACGGCAATGAATGTTGTCCCCGTGACACGTCGGCGCACTGTATCGGTACTGATGGGTCTTCCGTGTGTTCCCACTGTCTGATGTGCTGTCTCAGATGCCTGTGTGAAGGGATTCTGTCTGCAAGTGCTGTCGCACAACATGGCGGTCTTGTCGCCTTGTGGTAACCCGTGGTCTACCGGTTCGGGGGCGATCATCCGTGGTGTTTGGGGCCTGAAAGCGTTGATGAAGCCTGTAGATGGTCCGCATATTGACCTGGAATTGATTGGCAACGGCTTGGACAGTGTGGCCAGCGTCGAGTATTCCAAGCGCTTAGTTCCTCTCAGCTATCGTGAGGCGTGGCATGCTGCTGACGTTGTAGTGTGAATGATTCAACCAGGTATGGGGGTGCATGTTATAGTGCTGGCCCTGTGAACTTTACGTGCAGCATGAGTTAGATGAAAATCATGGAGAGCATATTACCATCTCAGAAGTCAGGTTGCGTTTTTGCGAACAATTCCTGGGTTCAATTCTGTGTTTGGGAAGGAGCCTTATTGCTCAGGTAAAGTTGGAGATGTGGTCACAAATATACAATACAAACATTTGGCAAGTTTTATGCAATGCGTCTATTCAGGGTAACATGCCGACCTGACGTTTATTTTGCTGCTTAGTATATAAATAGTGTCTTGGATGAGGAATTATATGTGCGTATTCTTTCGGAACCTAATACCATTGTTTTTGAAAATTAATATTCTTAAGCATGGTGCTGTCCAACTATACGCCATTGAGTACACGGGGCCTTGGTTTGTCGTGCCATCTGAACGACTAGAAGTGGTCTTTGCGAGGCGCCCCTTGCTGCCCCACTGACAAGGGGAAACCACACTGGAAAATCCTGGAAAATTTTCTCGACTAAGACCGAGATCGAACACCTCATCTCCTGAGTAGTAAGCCAGCGTCGTTAGCATATTGCTGTCCAGCTATTTATTACTGATATTATTATATGAGGGGCTTATATAGACGGGTGGACTAAAATACAAAAGTCAGTCGGACTTTCGAAAAGCCCCGCCAAACATTTTGGTTAGATTTTCGAAAAAGAAAACTTTTGCAAGTATGGTTCTTTACTTTACTTAAGTTTCAGCCATGTAACCATTGACCATATAGTAATTCCCATTTTTTAGAGGGGTGGACTAAGATACAAAGGTCAATCGGACTTTGGAAAAGCCCCGGCCAACATTTTGGTTAGATTTTCGAAAAAAACAATATTGCAAGTATGGTTCTCTTTTCCTCAGTTAAGTTTTAGCCACGTAAGCGTTGACCATATAGTAATTCCCATTATTAGGTGCCCGCATTCTGAACTTCACACACACAATCACAGGATGTGAGCCTATGTCGTAAATACTATCAAAACCAGTACTTACCTCCGCATATTGGGCTGGACTACAGGATCATAGGCATTGTTCTGCAAAGAAATAGAAATGTTTTGCCAAGGAAAGATAAGCTTGGGGAAAAGATGAGGTACATGGTATTAGGAACATGGTACATCATATTAGGTACATGGTACCTTGTATTAGGTACATCATATGAGGTATATCATATTACGTATATCATATTAGGTACATGGTACTTCATATTACGTATATCATATTAGATAAATCATATTAGCTATATCATATTAGGTACATGGTGCATAGTAGCTATATCATATTAGATATATCATATTTGGTATATCATATTAGGTACATGGTACATATTAGGTATATCATATTAGGTATATCATATTAGATATATCATATTAGATATATGATACCCCTATTACGTATATCATATTAGATAAATCGTATTAGCTATGTCATATTAGGTACATGGCACATATTTGGTACCTCAACCAGTCCATAGAAGAATGTGCGGAGGATGTTTTCAGCAATTGTAACATTTTGATGTTGCGTAATAGTTTATAAAAATTTGTGATAATCTAAAAGAAATATTTTAACAGATTTATAGCCAGGTCTCTTTATAATGTAACCAGACCTATATAATAAACAGATTTATAGTCAGCAGATCTGTTTATAATGCAAATAAGTTATAAACAAACTTAGTGTTACAAATACCTTTGTTGGTAGTGGCGGCGTTGTAGGACATGCACCAGGCATTACTCTCTTGTAGCATTCACTGATCATACTTGGTAGTGTTTTCATTCTAATTGGTAGTGGCATCGAACTAGACATTGATCTCTCATCTCCATCACTTGTAATACCATGTGCACGGGACATTGATCTCTCATTCCCATTGTCATCACTGCTCACACCATGGTCTCGGGACATCGGTTTCTCATTCTCACACTCGTCACTGTTTATATCATGTGCTCGGGACATCATTTTCTCATTCCCATTGTCATCACTGCTCACACCATGGTCTCGGGACATCGGTTTCTCATTCTCACACTCGTCACTGTTTATATCATGTGCTCGGGACATCATTTTCTCATTCTCATTGTCATCACTGTTTATAAACATTCTATGTTTCTTGAACACCGTCATCTATAATTTAAAATCCAAATCAAAGTTGGGTGTGGTCAACTCCCTAATATGCCCCATGCAACCGCAAAATCAAAAGTGCTAGCTTTCGAATCACTTTTAAACAATCTTGATGAGCAAGTTTTAAAAGTTTCAGTATGAAATAATCTGTATCACGTTCACATGCATTACTGGTGGAAACGTAAACATGAAGTTGAAGAACCTCGGGAGCTAGACACTGTTCCTTAACAGGCCCTCCGCCCTGGTTATGTCTATTTGTTTACATCTCAGTGACCTAGATGAATATTGAGCTGACCTTAACAAAGATATTTAACCTCTCTACCCTGCCCCACTGACAAGAGGAAACTACTCTGAGAGATTCCCAGGTACTTTTACTTTATCGCCCAACATTGGGAGCCCCAATGACTGAGCCAGCGCCGTGACATTCAGTTGGAAATGAAATGAAATGGGGTTTAACGCCCTACGGTTCTGCTCCTATACTGGTTTAATGAAGACGGGCCATACAATGTGCTATGAGGGAAATTTTGCCCGGGCAGCGGTATTATCGCCTACTCTTATATCGAATTCCAACAGCCAGGGGATCTTTTACGTGCATTCCAATATATACACGAGACCTCGTTTTTTTTGTCTCATCCGAAGGACTAGACAGCTGTCCTTGTCAGGCCATCCGTCCTGCATCACTGACAAGGGGCAACCACGCAATGTATTGATATGTGTTAGTTTTGTTTTTTAGGTTTGTCTTGTCGGTTTGTTTTGTTTTGCGTGTAGTGCCTCCCCCCCCCCCCTGCGGTAACCAATAGTTATATTATACCTCCAAATCTTCACCACTTCTTCTTCTTTGGATTTTAACGTCCGCTCCCGTCGCGGGTGATTCGTCATCGCTGTCATCATCGATCTCACTCTGTAGGAAAGTATTTTACACAGTTTTACACAAAGTTGAAGTTAAGAATAAAATAAAGGTGAGTTCAATCTAATTAAATTACAGATCTATATTTCGTTTCGTTTTTTATACTTTATAAGGATGACATCGATGCGATTTAATGAGCCAAAAATATTAATTTTTTCCTCTGACAAATTAAATTCTAACACATTTTTTTATGTATTAGAAAAATAAATAAAGACGTATAACGTGTTTGTAGGTAAAAATTATTCCGTATTTAGTGTAAATGGGTATTAAAATGAGTAAACGGCAGCATTCTGCCCGATTCAGTAACGTCTTATGTAAACCAATGATTGATGCCGCGTGATGTGACGTCACGTGCTGAAGGCAGTCATCTTTTACAGAGATATATGAAGACTTTCGTAATCCTCTTTGAAACAGTAATTGTATTCCATAGAATTGTAATTGTTCAATTACAAAATGCCATTTAAACAATTTAACAGCAAAGTCACCCGTGCTAGCTGTCAAATAAATGTTAGATAATCCTGCTGAACAGGTTTTAAACACTTTTAAGTTCTTAAAAATTCCATTGTGAAATTTGTCCTGGAAACAGATTAATTGTTATATGTACCTCTGCAGATGTATCTTCATTTAATGATTTTACCAGTTCATCTACGTCCCCCTTGGTTTTTGTCCATCCGCCATCACTGTCCGTGTCATCATCCGTCTCACTCTATAGTAAAATACGATTACACAGTTTTATTTAACAAGGAAATGAAATTAAGAATACCAGCGGCTGCCAGGCAGGATACGCCCACATTTTCGAGAGATGAATAGGGAACAAGCTAAAAAGAAAGTGATTTTTCCTACAATTAAGGGCCATAATTCAGGAAATTACAATTCGATATGCGCAAATATCAAAAGGAACCGAGATCTTTGTGTTATAAACTTACATTTCAAGTTTCAACAAAATCGGATAAAAATTGTGACCTCTATAGGGTCCACAACCTAGATCTACCATATTTTTACGCTATTTGAGAACAAGCAGCGGCCGTTTTGTCTGTCAATGTTGGGCTGATTTACACGAAATTCGAACTCAGCCACCCTTAGGGTGTAACGGTGATATAATAATACGGTTTTTTAAATCGGATAAAAATTATGACCTCAATAGGGCCCACAAGCTAAAAACGCGATTTTTCGTACAATCAGGGGCCATAACTCAAAACTTTTCAGTCCGATATGCGCGAATATCGAAAGGAACCGAGATCTTTGGGTTATAAACTTTCATTTCAAGTTTCAACAAAATCGGATAAAAATTGTGACTATAGGGTCCGCAACCTTGATATACCATATTTTTACGCTATTTGAGAACGAACAGCGGCCATTTTGTCTGTCAATTTTGGGCCGATTTTCACGAAATTCGAACTCAGCCGTCCTTATGGTGTAACGATGATATAATAATACGTTTTTTTTTTAAATCGGATAAAAATTATGACCTCTATAGGGTCCACAGGCTAAAAACGCGATTTTTCGTACAATCAGGGGCCATAATTCAGGAAGTTACTGTCCGATATGCGCGAATATCGAAAGGAACAGAGATCTTTGGGTTATAAACTTACATGTCAAGTTTCAACAAAATCGGATAAAAATTGTGACCTCTGTAGGGTCCACAACCTTGATATACCATGTTTTTTATGATATTTGAGAACGAACAGCGGCCATTTTGTCTGTCAATTCTGGGCCGATTTTCACGAAATTCGAACTCAGCCGTCCTTAGGGTGTAATGGTGATATAATAATACGTTTTTTTAAATCGGATAAAAATTATGACCTCTATAGGGTCCACAAGCTAAAAACGTGATTTTTCGTACAATCAGGTGCCATAATTCAGGAAGTTACAGTTCGATATGCGCGAATATCGAAAGGAACCGAGATCTTTGGGTTATAAAATTAAATTTCAAGTTTCAACAATATCGGATAAAAATTGTGACCTCTATAGGGTCCACAACTTTGATATACCATATTTTTACGCTATTTGAGAACGAAGGGCGGCCATTTTGTCTATCAATTTTGGGCCGATTTTCACGAAATTCGACCTCAGCCGTCCTTAGGGTGTAACGGTGATATAATAATACTTTTTTTTTAATCGGAAAAAAATTATGACCTCTATAGGGTCCACAAGCTAAAAACGTGATTTTTCGTACAATCAGGGGTCATAATTCAGGAAGTTACGGTCCGATATGCGCGAATATCGAAAGGAACCGAGATCTGTGGATTATCAACTTACATTTCAAGTTTCAACAAAATCGGATAAAAATTGTGACCTCTATAGTGTCCACAAGCTAAAAACGTGATTTTTCGTACAAACAGGGACCATAATCCATGAAGTTTCGATCCGATACATGCCAATATCGAAAGGAACCGAGATCTTTAGGAGATAAACCAAATATTTCAAGTTTCGTCAAAATCGGATAAGAATTGTGACCTGTAGAGTGTCCACAAACAAATTGTGGACGGACGTCCGGGCGGACAGGGGCGACGACAATATACGTCCACATGAAAATGTGGGCGTATAAAAATACATATTGGTTTGGCCTGCTCGATAATACGCCAAGCAAAAGCAAAGTCGCACGTGATAGCTCTCAAATCAATGTCCAATAATGACACTGACGAAGTTTTAAAAACTATTTTGCCAAGCAAGTTCATCGAAAATCCCCGGAGTCGTTCCTCCTCGTCGGTAGTGAAGGACTTGCAGGACTGAGTGCCTGGCAAGAGACGGCGTGTAGTCCTTCGGATTGGATGAAAACTCGAGGTTCCGTGTACACATTGGCGTGTACGCAAATGACCCCTTGTCAGATGCAATTCGATAGTAAGAGTAGGCCGTAACGCCGCATAAAACATTGAGTGGCGTATATCGTCTTCTTAAGCACAGTCGGAGTCTCATATCATTTATTCTTATAAAAACCTTTTTAAAAATCCCACAAAGTCCTGTACCACGTTCATAGACTCCTTCTGATTTACGATAATGTTCCTTTGTCGTTGGTTTAGTTTTCTGTGGGGACGGGGAGTGGGGGTATTGACGAAAAATGCAACAAAAACAGTTAATCCTACCCTAGTTGTTTCGCCTTCACAACAATTATTGACCGTGATTTACGACTGAAAGGTTCGGACTGTGGATCGGGTTCATTTTTATTTCACAGAAGAGCCCGGGGTGACCTCGACATCCAATCGGTAAGTTGGTGGGTTACCTATCTTGATAAACACCACCCAAGCGGGTTAGACGAAGAAGTCCAAAATCAGTTGAAAAGTCTACAGTTTCTTTTTGAAGGCGTTCTCATCTAACTTCTCGGAGGTCGATGAACTCTATTTGAAACGACCTGAATAACGAACACTTAGTGAGGTATCCCTGCATCACCGTGCCCCCTGGGTCATGAGAAGACGAACCTTGTCTATATTCAACAAAACGCGATCTTTCGTTGCCGGTGTACGGAAGACCGTGGAATGCTGGATATCGATCGAGTTCGTCTTCATTTGACCAGTCGAGATAGAAATGAAATGAAATAAAATGAAATGAAATGGGGTTTAACGTCCTACTGTTCTGCTCCTAAACTGGGCAAACGAAGACGGGCATACGCCACACAGTATGCTATGAGAGAAATTATGCCCGGGCAGCGGCGCTACGGCCTACTCTTATATCGAATTCCAACTGCCAAGGGATCTTTTACGTGCACGCCAATGTGTACACGGGACATCGGTTTTTCTTCCCATCCGAACGACTAGACAGCTGTCCTTGTCAGGCCCTCCGTCATGCATCACTGACAAGGGGAAACCACGGCGGAAAATCTGGATGAACTTTCTCGGCCAATGCACCGACCTCCAGGCTAGCGAGCCAGCGTCTTACCCACTTAGCCATCGTGATCCCCGCAGTCGAGATAGAATAGTTATTTAATTTCAGATTCAACATCACATGCGATATAGACTGATATATTAGCTGTTGTCGGTAGCCATAATGTGGCAAAGCTAGTTTCATTTTGTTAGTATTGCTTTATTAAAAGCCTGTAGGCACCTAAATAGGCCACTGTATTTATATATAGTGAGAGACTGGATATTTGATGACTGTATGAATAGTATGTTGACAGACTCTGAGTTTTATAATAATGTTGCTATCTGTTATATATTATGTTTAATTTTATAATTTAATAGAAACCCATGTCTTGTTATTTAGCATACTATTAAAGAGTTTATATGTTAAGAAATGGACGTTACACTCCAGAAACGACTAAACGGCGGGAATGAAATCTCGGGATCTATGCCATCCTGTCAAGGCGGCTAGGCGAACGTGTTATCCCGCACTGGTAGCCTGGGGCATTTGTTCCCACTGGGATATATGCCTCCACGGTCGAAGCGAAGCTTTAGTTAATACTCCTATATTTAGTTCTTGAGAAATCAATGAGCGTACAGCTTTTACATCCATGCTTGCATCTAATGAACATACACAGCCTTTACCCTCTTGCAGTTAATGAACAGTATAGCTTTTAGCTGATAAACAGAACCGACTCACAAAGCATTTTCAGACTTAAGTTAAGAATTTACTCAAAATTGTTAGCTTTATTTTAACTACATTATAGCCCTTTATAAAACTTGCGTTGTTTTAATGTATCAAATACATCAATAAGAAACTATGTGCAAAGTTTTGTTTTTCTGAATCAAAGATATTTCTCATAAACGGTGGTTGAAAGTTGAGTAAATTCATAACTTGAATCTGAGAATCCTTTGTGAACTCCGGGTCTGATCACAGAACGGCTTGAACTGGGACATTTCGCCTTCGCCTCTTTATAAGGGGATCACGGTGGCTAAGTGGGTAAGGCGCTGGCTCGCTAGCCTGGAGGTCGGGTGTTCGATCCCTGCATTGGCCGAGAAAGTTCATCCAGATTTTCCGGCGTGGTTTCCCCTGGTCAGTGATGCAGGACGGATGGCCTGACAAGGACAGCTGTCTAGTCATTCGGATGAGACGAAAAAACGAGGTCCCGTGTACACATTGGCGTGCACGTAAAAGATCCCTTGACAGTTGGAATTCGATGTAAGAGTAGGCCGTAGTGCAGTTGTCCGGGCAAAATTTCCCTCATAGCACACTGCTTGGCGTATACCCGTCTTCATTAGCCCAGTTCGGAGCAAAACAGTAGGACGTTAAACCCCATTTCATTTCATTTCATTTCATTTTCAATGCCTCTTTATAAATGGTATAAAAGAGTTTTCCCAGTCCATCAAAACTTACCCGTATATATGTTTTAATGCATAATAAAACTTGACAGAGAGTCGCGGAACACTGCACCACAACAACTTATTAGCTAGTCCGCCCTCTACTCTGAAGCGGATCTACTTTAAACGGCTTGCAGTCGGCCGATAGATCATATGTGACAGAGAAATTACCGGGGTGTGGGTCCTGAGCAACAATTGCAGCAGAATTCCCTATACTACCAAAGCACTACACCATTTCGTGGCCAAAATAGAAAAAGATTGTCACAATTGTTACACCAATACAATAACAACCGCCCTTGAAAACAGTGATTAATGTAGCATGGCGAAGATATATTTCAACGTCACTGGGTGTCATATTTAGACTTCAGGGATAAAAATCATAATTACCCTCATTGTACTGTTTTGTCGGCTCGCAGACAGTCCTTTCCCTGGCAGTACCGCTGAGCAATTACCCACAGCAAAGTCAAAAACAGTCAAACCGGACACATCAGTTCAGCTTAATGGACTTCCCACGCATAAAATCAAAGAAGGTGTTCATTTAATTATGGAAGCCTATTGCGGTTATTTTATATTCTCGGGAAGTCAAGACTCGAGAACACTAGTCCACAATATCCGTTTGAAACATAAACAAATATGATGTGCTTCATTCCAAGCAAAAATGACACGTCAGTATCTCTATTTTCTCCCATCGGTCATTCATTTCCGATGGAGTATGTGACGTCGAACTTGTTCATGAATTTGGAACCAATATTATTAGGTCGAGGTCATAATATTGTTACAGATGTCACCAGAGGCAAACCCGGATGTTAAGTCCCAAGGACCGAACGAACGGATAAATGGGGCAGGATCCACAGCTTTAAATATGGCGTTATCTATTAGAAAATGTTTTATGCTTTGGTTTGTAATTTTGTCAGAGAGAGAGAGAGAGAAATGGGGTTTAACGTCCACTCGACACAAACTAAGTCATTTCGGGACTAACATACGGTTTAATTATATTTCAATAATTCGCTTGCGCATAGGGATCTTTAACAGTGGGGGGAAACCGGAGGACCCGGAGAAAACCCACGATGTTGGACAGGCGACCCTACTCCTTGTCACGTACAACCGGTTATTCGAAACCACGCCAGTCGACTCAATGACAGACTTTATGATACAGCGCGCGCACGCTAACCATTCAGCCATCCACCCCCCCCCCCCCCCCGTAATTTTGTCAGCATATTTTATAATAAATATGGTGGTGTAGATATTGGTAAGCACACTCATCAGCAGTGAATATTCGCTAGGCCGCTACAATCACTGACAAGGATGACATCGATGCGACTTAGGCATTTTTAACCTTTATTTTTTTCTATAAAAGTACAGAAGAAAACTTTAACGGTACTTTCTTTAGGCATTTTTAACCTTTATTTTTTTCTCTATTAACAATACTACGGTTTTAACTTCATACATCTGTTGACTAACATATGGTTCAATTTTATTTCAATAATTCACTTGTGCGTAGGGGTCTTGCGCAGGGGGGGGGGGGGGACACAGGAGGACCCAGAGAAAACCCACACGGTTGGATAGACGACCCTACTCCTTGTCACGTACAACCGGGAATTCGAATCTCGATTAACTTTCCCGGCCAACACGTTACCTCCAGTGTTAACGAGCCAACTATTATTCACTGGGACACCCAACACCCGAGATATTATCATTGAGAAACTTATTAGGGGTGTTAGCACAATCAAAAATGAAATGGAATGGGGTCTAATGTCCTACTGTTCTGTTCCGACTGGGATAATGACGACGGGCATCATACGCCCGGACAGCGACACTACGGCCTACTCTTATATCGAATTCAAACTGCCAAGGGATCTTTTACGCCGATGTGTTCACGAGACCTCGGTTTATCATCCCATCCAAACGACAAAGCAGATGTCCTTATTGTCTCGCGTCCGTCCTCCACAACTGAAAAGGTGGAAACCCCACCGGAAAACCCGATAAACTTTCTCGGCCAACACCTGGATCGAACCCACGACCTACAGGATAGCGAGCCAGCGTTTTACTCACTTAACCACCGCGGCTCCCGTAAGCACAATCAAATGCTACTTGATACGTGATTTTACAACAGTACAATTGAACTCGGATAAGAGTGTCGATATGTTTTTCACTAGATCTTGTTCCTAATGTTAAATTATACTAACAAATTATAAGCACAAAAGAAATGAGGTGGGTAGGTTTAACGTCCTGTTCTGCTCCGACTGATAATCACAAAAGAAAGGTGTAAGAAAACAATCCATGGTTCAATGGTTCGTCCTTGAAAAGATAACAAAAAAGACTAAATACCCACGCTACACGTGTTAAATGTGAACAAAGTCAAAGTGACAAAAATCGTTTCTATGGAAGCGTATCAGTGCCAAGTTATAAAAAGAAATTATATTATTATCTCCTACGTAATATCATGTATGTAGGACTTTAAAAAAACCAATATCTTTATTCAGTAAATATCCGAATCTGGATTGGGAAATATGTTATGCATATGTTGTGTAACCCAGGTCTCTGATTTAAATACACATACATACATACATACATACATACATACATACCTTTTCATCATTCATCAAAGTAGTGCAGTTTTGCGGTTGTGTTACTAATTTTGGATACACATACATAATTACATTACTTACATAAATATAGAACATGTAGGATACACAAAATGGATGATATAGGAGCCATTTTTTAATAAATATTTGAATAGGTATAAATTATTGAAAACTGAACTTTTACAGGCAGTTAATATATATAAGCGGTGGAAAGGCACGAGGCCCCTGCTAATACGGGAATATCGACGTCGGAACGCGAGGCGACATGGATGGTGGTGATGGATTGAACGGAGAGGGCTTTTCGATCAGTATCACAACCTATTCAGAGAGCTAGAGAGGCAGTCGCGAGGAGACTTTGCGGCGTATATGCAGAGCTCTTGAAGCGTGTGACACCCCGCATTACCAAGAGTCCAAAGAGCCGCCGTCCACTTGAACCGGGATTAAACTGGCTATTACCATCTGATTCCTGGATATAGGGAATAGTTACAAGTCACTTGAGTTTTCATTCCGTGTGGCATCAAATACCATTTACATGTTTATACCCGAGGTGTATCGTGCTATAGAAGAAATATATTAAGCATTCCTGAGACTACCGACATATGGATCGAGGTAGCAGGTAAATTTTCCACTAAAGGAGCCACTGACGGCTGTGGGGTCTTCAACAGTTTAAGCTTTTGTTCTAATCTAATTAGTCTGGGTGCCTATTGTCCAGAATCCAAGCTTACATTCCAGGGTGTTCTCTTCTGTGGGCTTGAAGGTATATTGATCCCTATTCTTGCATATACTCGCGATCGGCATCTTCTACTTATATGTGCTCCTCTGGCTATTCCCTTTTGGGGAGTAGTCGACTTACTCTTTGAGTCCTCCTTCATTAAACGTTATGAATATATTCAGTTTCTTTGGTCGATATACCGGAGGCAAAACATTAATACGCCATACGGACTTGCGTTCCACGTTCGTCAGGTGTAGGCTAACTATCACGTGCTAACCACGTGTATAACAAAATAATGCGGTTTGTACTTCTGGTGCACGAAATTGGTTAATTTTAAGTCACACATAGTATGCTCCACAAGCAGGCACTGAGCATTTACGTCAGACTTGCGTTTTCCATGGACTTACGAAGAACTTTTTACCGCGGTTTGAATACAAGTCAGACGTTCACCCTGTAGCCTACTGTGTCCGTAGGCAGGCCCGTAGCTAGCCCAAAATTTTTTTTTTTTGGGGGGGGGGGGGGGGCAAAGGCTTCTGGGGGCGCCGATGGGGCTTCTGGGGGCGCCGATGACCTTCACTTAACGGTACACGGCGAACGGTATCATGGACACGCCTCCCTCGAGAGCGCCCCCCCCCCCCCCCAGAAAATTTTGGAAAATAGGGTTTGCACCTGACAATGACGAAAAATTTCAATTTTGAGGTTGTATTTGCGATATTGGCGTATTATGATATTTTGATATAAACATTATAAAAATTTGAAGGAAGCAATACGACTTTAACCTACCTATAATAATTGGGTTAGAGTGCGACTTGTTTGGATTTTGAAGATTTTTTTGGCGCCAAATTCATTCGTAAGCGCCTAATCAATCTCACTCGGCATTATGGGAGCCCCGCCAATTATATTATGGACGCCCATTATAGACGCCCAATTGACCCCCCCCCCCCCCGCTAGCTACGGGCCTGCCGTAGGCTACTATTTTCATGAAAACTTTCCCCGGGTGTCTTGCTGTGTCCGTAGGCTACTATTTGCACGAAAAACTTTCCCCCGGTTTCTTGCTGTCGGTTCAAAAACACGAACGGCGGGTTGTGGACTAGACTTATCCTTTCTATCGTCAAACAAATGAAATGAAATGGAGTTTAACGTCCTACTGTTCTGCTCCTATACTGGGCCATACAGTGTGCTATGAGGGAAATTTTGCCGGGAAGCGGCGCTACAGCCTACTCTTATATCGAATTCGAACTGCCAAGGGATATTTTACGTGCATGCCACGCCAATGTGTACACGGGACCTCGGTTTTGCGTCCCATCCGAACGACTAGACAGCTGTCCCTGTCAGGCCCCCCCATCCTGCGTCACTGACAAGGGGGAAACCACGCCGGAAATCTGAATTAACTTTCTCGGCCAATGCAGGGATCGAACACCCGACCTCCAGGCTAGCGAGCCAGCGTCTTACCCACTTAGCCACGTGATCCCCCTATCGTCAAACATCCGCGTTACCTAAATAAGTAAGATCCACTCAGGGGCTAAGCGAGAGGGGCGCAATAGCGAGGTGATGAGTTTTTGCGCTCCTCGCAAATGGCAAAAATTCACGCGGTTTCAATGCGGTTTTTCAGATTACAATCATGATCATAATGCTTAACCAGTGTCAGACATAGGCCTATACCGTGGGGCAGATGCTACAAATCGACTCTAGCATTGTTTTTTTTTGGGTTTTTTTTTTTTGGTTTTTTTTTTTAGGGACCCGGACGGGATCTTATTCCTCATCCACATCTCTCGGCTAGTTCGCGGAAATACGGGAAATGTTCATTAATATCTTTTCGAATCCATGTGCTGAACGGGTGGCTGGCATATGCGTTTTATCTTTCAACGGAGGATCTAAGTTGGGAGTAGGCCCCTATCTTGGTAGTGTTTGTGTGTGTGGGGGGGGGGGGGGCTGGATGGCCGAATGGTGCTGTATCATACGGTCTGTCATGAGTCAACTGGCGGGGTTTCGATTCCCCGGTTGTACGGGTTTTCTCCGGGTCCTCCGGTTTCCTCCTACTGCTAAAGACCCTTCGCGCAAGAGAATGATTGAAATAAAATTGAACCATGTGTTAGTCCGAAATGACATAGTTTGTGTCGAGTGGACGTTAAACCCCATTTCTCTCTCTCTCTCTCTCTCTTGGTAGTGTACTCTGCCTTTTCATTGAGAGGAAGCGCAGGCGTGAACCATGACTACAGTCTTAATTCGTTTCGTTTTAGTAGAAGAATGTTGATTCAATTTTACGCTACCAACCGGAAGTTTTGATTAGAAACGAGCCACAACACGAATTTTGAACTGTGATGCGAACAGAATGCAGAACATCTAAATGTTTGTTGGTTGCTTCCATCTTTACAATAACTTGGTTAATAATAATAATTAATATTGTCAGATTATATCTGAAAAAAATCAGTCTTCAAAGCTTACTGCTGTTCACTCAACATGCTTCAAATGTCTAACATACACCTCAAAATTTGTTAGACAATTTTGAATTTACCGTAGGCCAAGTTAAATAAAGCCCTGTCACACACAACGCCAACGGCTATAATTACACAGCTTTTCAATGATATGTATTTGTTTTGTTTTGTTATCAAATTTCCTAAATCTCATTACCAAATTTGTGCCAAAAAACTTAAATTGAAACTAGAGTTAATTAATGGTAGGGTGACCCATGTACTCACAGAAATACAGTCCACCACTGATAGTTCGAGACTACACTGAAGCGTGCACATTCGCCGTGCCGAGACCAACTTTCTGACAGTATGATACTATAAATAGCCATGGCACGTGCAATTCTCTACAAATCTATCAACTATTAGTATTACAGCCGTAAAAAATTTATTGTTGACGATTTTGAATAGCAGTAAAATTAAGCTTCTTGGTTATTACAGCAGATTTAGAAATTACGTTCGTTTCATTTTTTAAATCGCTTTATCATTAACTGTACCGTTAAGAGCGGCATCTTTTGGTTTAGTACAAATAATATCTCTGAATCACTCGGGTTAGACAGGAACATGATACTAGCAGTAGTTTCATTTTACTTTTACAAGCTTCTTTAAACGATTGTTGAGCTACTTAACGTGCTTATTTCTAAATTCAATTTCTTGTTCTAGCTTTCTGTTATATTTCGTAAAAAAAGTAGTCTTGATTATCCCGACCTGTCAATCAGATGTAGAATGGTCGATAGACTGGTTAAGCGAGACTAATTTCAAAACAAGCGCACGTAACCTATCTTTTACTCAAAAGTGTCTGGATGTTATGGACGACTCTTGGAACCAGTTTTCAGTCTATTTTTTATACATGATTAATGGTCATAGCTTATTAAGTACAACATGATCGTTTATTTAGTGACTATAATTGTGTGAAACTGATTTGAGGCTTGGCATATATATAAATATTGTGGCGTAATTGTCGAGATATATGGAGATATTTATTTACGGTGGGTCACCCTATTAATGGGTACAATTATGAGTATGAAAAGTTGCAACAATTTACAAAGTGCCAACTATCTAGCATGCTGTGATCCAAAAAAAATCTTGATTTGAAATTAAATGGACATTATTTAAGACAATGATTAACTATTTTTAAAACAACGACATGTCAAACTACTGATTTTTTCCATCTTCCCCCAATCCCAGTAGTGGATGGTTTTTTTCCTAAGGATTTCCTTTCATTACAAAAAAGTAATAAACTCCCTTAATTGCAGCTAATCAGTCACCTTTGTCTATTAAGTAGCAGGCCTTTGATGTGTGATACTGAAGATTATGTTTCTGTCCTGGAAATCTGGAATATTTAGGCATAGGCCTGCTCGATTTGATGGTCACTTGACTTTATATTAAATGTGGGGGGTTGGATGGCTGAGTGGTTAGCGCATGCGCGTATATCATTAGCTGGCTTGGTTTCATCGATTCCCCGGTTGTACGTGATGAGGAGTAAGGTTCAGCTGTCCAACCTCGTGGGTCCTCTGGTTTCCTCCCACTGCTAAAGACCCCTGCCGTAAGTGAATTATTGAAATGAAATTGAACCATTTTGTTAGTCCCAAAATGACCTAGTTTGTGTTGAGTGGATGTTAAACCCCATTTCTCTCTCTCTTTACATTAAATGTTCTGTATTTACATTCAGTTTGTTTTATTTATGAATTTTCAGATTGATAAGATGGCATGAGTAATACGTAATGTCATATAAAATGTAAATAATCAAGATGTAGGAAAGAGAAACTGAGATAATAATTGAGTGACGTTGATAATAAAACATGATACAGCTAGCTGATATAACAGGTAATAAAACAAGATACAGCTAGCTGATATAACAGGTAATAAAACATGATACAGCTAGCTGATATAACAGGTAATAAAACATGATACAGCTAGCTGATATAACAGGTAATAAAACATGATACAGCTAGTTGATATAACAGGTAATAAAACATGATACAGCTAGCTGATATAACAGGTAATAAAAGAAACTATCAAAATTGAGGTTTGGCTGTTCTAAAAAAATAATTCAACTAGTAGGGTGGCAGAAAATATTGATATTGCTGATAATCGATACAGATTTATAATATCGATAATCATACAATTATAGGTAGTCACTTGTGAGAAGACATCCATAAAAGATAATCTTTATCACAGTATTCTTTGCGACGTGTGCTTGGGTCTAGGTTGGTAACTGTAGTCAAAAACAAAGAATCATTCAACACACGTTTTGTTTTTCATGCTAGACGCCAGTGCCACAAAGTAAAGATGCTAGCAATAAGAACTGAGAGCAAATATTGAAATTATGCAAAACACAGATCCTATTTCATTTCCTTTTTATAGTTCAAAATTTTGTTTTACTTGTCTTTACTACACTAGGATCGGGAAGAATTGTTATCATTGACGTGTTCTGTTACGGCGAGTTCTTGGCCTTTTGATGCACAGAACTGTGGGTAAACCACTAGATACGTCAAAGCTGATTGATTAATCATGCCTGACTTCATAGGGTCAAAAGTCGCTCGTTTGACCCCTGACGTGAACTCCCATTATAACTTGTCAGATCTTCCTGTAGTGTATGCCATTGAAAGTATAAAATACGAAACAAAATATAGATCTGTATTTTAAGCAGATTGAATTAATGAAGTAGTTCCCTGGGATATTAATAAAATGTTTATTAGATTTCATGTGTCGCGCATGGTATTGGAAGAGAAATTTTCCAGCCCGGATTCCTATTGTCAGTGGTGCATGCCAGAGGGCACGTAAAAGAAAGAGCCCTTGACAGTTGCTATCTCAGAAAAATTTATCTCATCATAATACACTGCTTGGGATATGCCCATGTGCAGTAAACTATAATGTTTTTTTAAACCTCCATTTCATTCATTCATATTATAAAAGAAAATCATTATCAAAGCTGACATGTCATGAGCAAGCTGGGGTTTAATGTCCACCCGACACAAACAAGGTCATTTCGGGAATAACATATGGTTTTATTGTACACATTGGCAGAAATGACATTTGACACCTTATTAAAGTAATGATGCATCATTTCTCATGGCCTAATCTATACTAATAAGTAGAATGATTATTTAACATTTAATTAGGAAAAATCGGATTTAAAACATTAAATTTTCATGGACAACAAAATGGCAATGAGATTATTACATTGAGAACAACATAGATGGATGAATTTTCAATTCCACAAATCTTTGTAAATGCTGGACAGAATTGAACGAATTTGGACCCTGATATTTGAGATTCATCTTTCTCTAGTTTCAAGTTGTTGTTTTATTGTTTAGATATTCACATACCTGAAGGTGAGAAAGATGAAAATGAGATATATCCTAAACACAGCACACCCATCAAGGTAAGAACAATGATTGTTTTATACAAATGATGCGTAATGGTTTCTATAGCAATATTAAGGATGTACAGATTGTAGTTAAAGGAGCATTATGGGAGATTAGATAAAGAGTTGACAGTTCGTGCTATGAAAGTTAAAAGATAGAATATGCTGAAAATTTCAGTCAAATTTCTCCACTCTAAACCAAGATATTAGCTTTTGAATTTTAGTCTTGATCATTATTACTAAAGTTGGTACAATAAAAAAACAAAGTCTCGATTATCCATTTTTACGTTTTAATCATCCTTAACAAAATGTATTCCAATCTGCTAAATATTGCAGGCTAGCGATGGCATTGAGAGTTGATTATGGTCCTGATAAGCTAATTAATGTCTAATTAATAATTTAGATAACATTTCAGGCCTAAAGAAAAACCTGCAATAGGAAGATTTAGCTCTTGCATAATGTATGTTTAAGATGGTTTCTATAATAAAGTTAGGGATGTACCGTTTATTATTTCAGAGTGATACGCGACAGAAACCAAGTGAAAAGAACAAGAGAACTGATATCCGGAAACAGTTGTATGATAAAACACACACTGGAGTTGTCTCCCCTCATTCAAAGTCAAAGCATTCTCCAACGTCGAGTCCTAAACATAATACTAGTCATAACTCGGTATGTAAACTAGAAATATATCAAAGTTTTGAGTCACACTTTGTCATTTATTGATGCAGTTACTGCCATCTTCATTAGCCCAGGAGCCACGGTGGCTAAGTGGGTAAGACGCTGGTCTGCTAGAATGGAGGTCGCATGTTTGATCCCTGCATTGGCTGAGAAAGTTCGTCGGGATTTTCCGAGGTAGTTTCTCCTTGTCAGTGGTCGAAAAACCATGTTCCCAAGTATACATTGGCGTGCACATAAAAGATCCCTTGGCAGCTGAAATTTGATATAAGAGTAGGCCATAGTGCCGCTTCCCAGGCAAAATGTTGCTCATAGCACACCGTATGGTGTATGCCTGTCTTCATTAGCCCAGTCGGAGCAGAACAGTGGGATGTTAAACCTTATTTCATTTCATTTCAGGGGTGTGGGATGGCCGAATGGTTAGCACATGCACGCTGTATCATACGGCCTGTCATTGAGTCAACTGGCGGGGTTTCGATTCCCCGGTGGTACGTGACAAGGAGTAGGGTCGCCTGTCCAACCTCGTGGGTATTCTCCTGGTCCTCCCGTTTCCTCCCACTGCTAAATACCCCTACGCACAAGCAAATTATTGAAATAAAATTGAACCATGTGTTACTCCCAAAATGACCTAGTTTGTGTCGAGTGGGTGTTAAACCTCTCTCTCTCTCTCATTTCACTTCATAAGCCCAGTTGGTGCAGAACAGTGGGACATTAAACCCCTTTTCATTTTATAAATTTACTGTACCTGTCATTGAACAACTAGTAAAAAAATCTACAGGTCAGAGTTTCTGATTGTATTTTTAAAACTTGCTGGGATTGGTAGTCTAGTCCTAAGGAGGCGATCTGCCAAAATTCAAACTTGTCTAATCTCCATCAATAATTATTGCCTCAGAAATTGGAAAGGAACCCTTCAAAATTGCTTCTGGTGGAATAACACTTATTTATATATTTTTTTTATAGACACAAAGAACAAATTCTCTAGAATTATCAACAATACAAAACCAACGTCATGAAATACAGATGCTGGTGGCAGAGTTACGGGAACGGGATAAAGAACTTAACGAGATGGTGACAGCTCATCAAAAACAACTGTTGTCATGGGAACAAGACAGACAAAGGTTGCTAATGTTAGAACAAAAATGTCGTCATTATAAAGGTAAGCGCTGGAGACAATTCTAACTGTAAATATGGCTATTTCTTCATTATTGTATCTATCGATTTAGCTATGTATCATTTTAGTGTTTATATTTGGACTGTAAAACAAGGAATTTGCTTGATAAAGACAAGAGTTTTCTTGCCGAAATGTCGCATAGTAACATACCCAGTAATTGTGTATCCTTTAAATTTTACCTTGTGTTTAATACCTGTTAAAGATGGAATTAATTTCTTGATCAGCTAGGAAGCCACTGTGGCTCAGTGGGTAGGGTATTGGCTCGCTAACCTGGAGATCCCATGTTCAATTCCTGCATTGGCCGAGAAAGTTTATCAGGATTTTCCGGCATGGTTCCCCCTTGTAGTGGTATTGTCCTTTTGGATCGAATAACTGAGTTCAAGTGTACAACACATTTGTGTGCCCGTGACAGTTGAGATAAGAGTGGGCCATAGTGTCGCTGTCTGAACAAAATTTCCCTCATAGCACACTGAATGGCGTATGCCCGTCTTCATTAGGCCACCTAAAAAAAAATAGTTTGTGATCGTCCTTTTTTTTAAAAAAATGTGGGAGGGAGGGAGTTTTTTTTTTTTAATGAATATACAGAATTAGCAATATACTTCAGGAATATTAACCTTTTATTTCATGTCAAAACACAACTCATCTGCATGATCGTCATTTGAATTGTTCAGATTAATTATTTAAACATTTTGCATAACGACTTACGATCACTAATATTAATAATCGGTTGATTTAGTTATTCATGCCCCCCATAAATTTAATTCAGAATCGGCGAGACGTATTCCCATCTTAACATATAGTTCCAGTTTGTATATGTTGTATTCAAAATATTGTATTTGGTGCTGTACGCGTGCAAACAAAAATGTCAGCCATTGTTGCCGTTAACAGGTCGTAATTTGTTTATGTCATTCAGTCCTACGCATTTGAAGAGTATTGGAACATGTGCCAATAATTATATCCGCTTCATTAACTCTTGCGATTAGCAATTTCGTAGCCTGGCTACATTTTGGAACTTTTACCATTGGTTTTAAACATCGTAAGAAGGTAAATTTTGAAAATAAAAAATAAAAAAAAATTCTGGTCAGGTAGAATTTTCTGGGCGGGCGGGGATGATCACCAACTAATTTTTTTTATGTTGCCTTAGCCCGGTAGGACATTTCATTTCCGTTAATGATCTACCATTGGCATTAGGATTATCTCCCTTATTGCCTGTCACTGCAAGCATTGACTTGATTTGATATATATGTACTTTTGTTATTTACTACTTGCAATGTCTGTGTATCAAAGTTTGTCTTGTACGGAGGGGTTGTCTAATGGGTTTGTTTGTGTGTCGTGTAGTCCTCCTGCTCTTACCGTAATGCTACTTTCAAATTATTACAATATTTCAGGTGAGTTGATGAATCGTACGAAACAGTTGGAAAGAGCAACCACACGATTAGAAGGACTAGAAGGCCAGTGTACCTCACAGTTAGAGAGTAATAAAGAAAAGATAACTCTGTTATGTGAGGAAAAGAAATTAAAAAATAATCTAGTTTTAAGTTTGGAGGTACATCAAAAAATTTTAATTTAACTTTATAAAATGTATCAACCGCTGCGTACCTTGTGCAGGTAAAATTCAATAATGTGGTTATCGGAGGTTAACATTACGTCAATATCAACCCTTAATGACTTCACATAAGCTTAAAACATCTCTAGTTGCCTGGAGGTGTGAAGTTCAGATACAGTGGTGTAAAAATAGGTATCTTGACAAGCAATGGATTTGAGTTTTAGTTTGGATATCCTCCTGTTAACATATAACACAGTGGAATCAAAGTGAACAATATTTTTTTTATTTAGATTTTGATACGCTGACATTGAAATATGTTCAAATATTGCTGTCCCCCATTGCTGTTTATCCATTTATTACTTTACACTTTACACAGAGTTGGTGGCCTTGATAACTTCTGTAATTTTGTGAATTCTCTTACCACAAAAGTTACTACCCATCAAAATGTTCACAAATTCGGTTAATTGCTTTTGTAGGTATTGTTCCTGACAACAAAATAGAATCTTGTGAAAGGTGTAGCAACACAAGTTATTATCTGCTTGATGTTTATTATAAATTGTGCACATAAGTAAATTTCTCCCCAATATAAACAGTTTCTGTTACTCACTTTTAGAGTTATGGCCCCTTGTTTACTTTCTTAATTCCCGTGAATGTTCAAGAAAAAAGGAAATTAAGGATGGGGCCAAAAATTGTCCATAGCAATATCTTGATTCCGTTACTAATGTTTCTGAGAGCAACCGTGACTCGGTGAATAACTTATAAACATGGTGCTCAAGGGTCTCCACTATAAAAACATAGCTTGTACACCCTCCCGCCATTTTTCTCTCTCTAGATGGTTAAAGTGAAGTGTTAATGTTTTATTTCAGGATAGAAATAGAAGTTTAAACGATTCGTTAAAAGATGTATCGTGTACAGTAGGTCAGATGGCAGCACGAGAACAAGAACTAGTCACATTACTTAAACTCAAAGTAGGTGTCTAAACTAGAATAGAGGAGGTGGGACACTCAGCTAGAAGAGAGTTTAAAGTAGCTAAGTCTCTAACTCAATATCATCCAAAATCTTCAACATTGAAAACACGATTTATTTGTCAAATTAAATCAACATTGATGTTGTGATCTTACCGGAACAAAATGGGCATTTGATATCCAATATGTAAGACAAAATAAACATTTTACCATTGGTACACGAATCGTGTGCCATAATGCGCTTCAGCCCCAGTTGTAACAAGAGACTCGAGGGACGAGGCTAGACACATTGCACCAAATCAAACGGCGTATGTAGACTGTAATAACCAGACGCTAGAAATTTGCACTCGATTGAGACTGCTGGCTTATTTCGCCGAACATAACTAATTGAATGTAAATCGATTTATATACATTCATATTACAGTATTATATGCGTTGCGAGCCACATTTTACAATTTCTAGGTCCCAAATGTTGTAATGAGGCAAATGGAACAGCAAAGATATACAGACGACAAAATGTCGCTCTGTGTTTATTTTTTTGAAGAGTATATTTTAAATGTTATCATTATATTTGTAGGGGCGCGAGTTGATAGATCTTGGAGAATTAAATAAAGAGTTGTCTTCCCGCTATCAGCAACTAGAGGCTCATAACTCAGATTGTCTTAAACGTGAACGTGATGCCTTCCACCAATCAAAATACTGGCAGGAAAAATACAACCAATCATTACAAGATATAGAGAAGTTAACAGGTATACAACATCATGGTAAATTCATTGATTTAGATATTGGCAAATATCTGAATAATTTTGGGTGTAAGACGCTGGCTCGCTAGCCTGGAGGTTCGATCACTGCATTGGCCGAGAAAGTTCATCAGGATTTTTCCGGCATGGTTTATCCATGTCAGTGATGCAGGGCCTGACAAGGACAGCTGTCTAGTCGTTAGGATGGGACAAAAAACCAAGGTCCTGGGTTCGATCTAGGTATTGGCTCCATTTTGTTACAGGGCAAGTCGTGATTTATATGGGTGTGTGTTTTGTTGATTTATAGGTGTGTTTTGTTGATTTATAGGTGTGTTTTGTTGTATTTATATGGGTGTGTGTTTTGTTGTATTTATATGGGTGGGTGTTTTGTTGTATTTATATGGGTGTGTGGTATTTTTGTATTTATATGGGTGTTTGTTGTATTTATATGGTTGTGTGTTTTGTTGTATTTATATGGTTGTGTGTTGTTGATTTATATGGGTGTGTGTTGTATTTATATGGGTGTGTTTTGTTTGATTTAAGTTGATGTTCAAGAAAGAGATGATGTTTTAACTCAACAGATAGCACAAATAAGCGAGGCTCAACACCATATGATAGCTTTACAAGAAGCCCTCATAGTTAGCAGTAAGTTATTTCATATTTCTGTATTATTTCAATTCAAGGAGGAATGGACTGATTTTTATGTGCCCACCTTTTAATAGTAAGTCTGATAGAACTGCAAAGACAAATAGAATCAAAAAATGTATTCAAATCCGCTAAATATTGCAGGCTTGGGATGAAAACGAGAGTTGCTTATTGTCTGAATAAGTTAATTAATGTCTAGTTAATAATTTAGATAACATTTCAGGCCTAAAGAAAGACCTACAATAGGCAGATTTAGCTCTTGCATAATCTTTAAATGACCAGATTGTCACTGTAAATGTCCAGTTGAGTTTTATTGTATATTATCATCAAGCTATCCTTCTGTTATAATGTCTATCTTCATCAAACTTGTTTATTTTTTTACAGATGACCGCGAGAAATGTAAAGATGAACTTTTGACCTCATTAAAAACAAAACAAGAGAGATCCATGTCAGAATTACGCAGTGTTCGAGAGGTAGATTTATTATTGTTTATTTATTTTTCCACCTGTGTTAATTACGCAGTGTATGAGAGGTAGATTTATTATTGTGAATTAGTACACCTTATTCTCAGTTTATACATTTTGTTTGCTCCTGAAAGAATTTAAACCTTTCTGTTTAAAGATACATTATGGAAGATTCGATAACGAGTTGGCAGTTCTCACTATAATAGTTAAAAACTAGATAATGTAAAGGGGATATGCAGGAAATTTCAGTCAAATTGATCCACTCTTAAGTCGAGAAAATATTTTTTAAAAAAAAACCCTTTAGACTTGATTATCATTGATACCGCTATCTCGAAAAATAATTATAACAAAGTTTCGTTTTTCCATTTTTGCATTTAATCCTCAACAGACATTGAACAGCAGATCAGATTCAAATCCAGAGAAAATCGGACACATAAGATGGCATTGAGAGTTAATTATGATCTTTGCATGTTAAAAATTGTCTAATTGATAGTTTATATAACATTTCAGGCCTAAAGAAAGACCTACAATAGGCAGATTTAACTCTTGCATAATGTATGTTTAAGCAGCAATGAACCTAAACAAGCCAGGATACTTTGTTGTCATTAATAAGACGCTAATAATTGGGAGCCACGGTGGGTAAGACGCTGGGTCGCTAGCCGGGAGGTCGCGTGTTCGATCCCTGCATTGGCATGGTTTCCCCTTGTCAGTGGCACAGGCAGAAGGGCGGCACAAGGACATTTGTCTAGTTATTCAGATGGTGCAAAAAACGAGATCCCGTGTACACATTGGAGTGCACGTAAAAGAACCCTTGGCAGTTGGAATTCGATATATATAAGAGTAGGCCCTCATAGCACTCTATATGGCATATGCACGTCTTCATTAACCCAGTCAGAGCAGAACAGTAGGACGTTAAAGGCTCAATACCACTCTTGTTGTAACTGAATAATATGTCCCAATCTTTATTCTGGTCAACAAATTGTACTATTTTACAATATTCCAATTAATTGATGATTCAAATTTCATCTTAACACACCTTATTTAAAAATTTTGAAAAATTCAACATAATTGTTTGAAACGTCTAACGTAAACCTTTTCAAATGAAACTTCGATTTAAAAATATTTTCGAACCCTCTGGACAAGTAAAATAGGATGTAATGGATAATTTACACAACAGGTAGGACACTTAAACATCTAGTACTTAGATAGAGATATTATTTATTTTCTGGAGCTTTCAAGCCAGCAAGAGTGTTATTGCCCCTTTAAACCTCATTTCATTTTAGACACTAATCATACTACTTGTTGAAGATGCTGATTAATTTGTAGCAATCAATCATAGCACAGCGGTTAAATGCAGCTAAAGTCTTCTATACTGGGCTAACGAAGATGGACATACACCATGCTGTGTGCTATAAGGGTCATTTTTGCTCAGACATCAACACTATTCTTATTTCAAGTTGCAACTGTCAATGCGACCTCTGTTTTACGGTTCCATCCAACCAACTAGATCCTGTCCTTGCCAGGTCCTCCTTCCTGCACCACTGACAAGAGAAAGTCAGACTGGAATATCCCATGGAACTTGTTCAACCCTGATCCTAGACAAGCACTTGGATTGAACCTTAGACTTCCTGTATCATAAGGTCTGTCATTGAGTCAACTGGCGTGGTTTCGATTCACCTGTTGTACGTGACAAGGAGTAGGGTCGCCTGTCCAACCTCGCGTGTTTTGTCTGGATCCTCTGGTTTCCTCTCACGGGTAAAGACCCATACACGCATGTGAATTATTTAAATAAAATTGAACCATGTGTTAGTCTCGAAATGACCTAGTTTGTGTCGAGTGGACGTTGAAATCCATTTCTCTCTCTCTCTCTCCTGGTTAGTGAGACAGCACCTTACTCACTGAGCCACTGCGTCTTCCCATAGTGCCCTCCATACTTGTTTATATGGTTTGAGAACTGACGATGCTTACATTAACTTGTTCATTTATGTTTTCAATTTGTAGTTATTTGAACGACAACAGAGAGAGTTAACACTGTTACAACTAAACCACAATTTTTCAGCAGTTGAACAACCCAGTATGTTGGATATCAGGTAAAATTATTCATTGGCTTGTTATCAGTTTTATAATGGCTTGTACCCAACACAGATCCTATTTCGTTTCGTTTTTTATAGTTCAAAATTTCGTTTTACTTGTCTTTACTACAATAGGATCTGGGAGATTTGTTATATAACCCGCGTTCTGGATGATGCATGGGATTAGCCAATGAAACTGTCTGTTACGGCAAAGTTTTGGCGTGAAGTGCACAGAACTGTGGGTAACCCACTAGAAACATCAATGCTGATTGTTTAATCAAATGTCTGACATCATTCAAAGGGTCAAAAGCCGCTCATATGACCTCTGATGCGACCTTCCAGTATAACCGGTCAGATCTTCATGTAGTAGTGGCCATCGAAAGTTTTTAAAAAAAGCGAAACGATATATATATAGATCTGTATTTTTATCAGATTGGGCTTGTACCGATAAGATACTGTAATTATTATTACTTTGCTGTTTAAGACATATCAAGATGGCAGTGAGAAATAACCAATGTAATCTTAAAATAGATATAACTCCAAACGTTATATAAATTATTAATTGGACATTTAATAACTTGCCAAGAGCGCAGTCATCTCTTGATGTCATCGGATGCTCAAGATTTTTTAACAGATTTGTACACAATTGGTAGTTAATGATTTAATTAGAAAATGTATAATTGAGACTTTGTTTACTATCGTAACAGTAGCAATGACAATCAAGACTCTGCTTTTCTCCAAACAGCCCTAACTTGGCTCAGAATGAAGTAATTTAACTAAAATTTTCAACATATTCCCTTTTCATTATCTATTCTATATTTTAACTATTATAGTGAGAACTGTCAGCTCTTCATCTAAATCATCTAAATCTTACATAATTCATCTTTAAGTTAGAATTGTTCGATTAGAATATATTTTTGACGAGAATGTTTTATAATAAAATCTACTGGATGTTGAACTCTATATTTAATCATTTTGATTACAACATGTTGGGGCTTTAGGCTACTTTATAAAAATACTCTCTTGTACATATTTCAGCCTGGATGATCTAAACGTGCCAGTGAATGATCTTCAGGCTACTTTATATTCAATTCGTTGTTTTACATATTTTAGTCTGGATGATCTAAACCAATCTGATTAAAATACAGATCTGTATTTCGTTTCGTTTTTTAAACTTTCGATGGCCTACACTACATGAAGATCTGACTGGTTGTAGTGGAAGGTTGCAGCACTGGTAATACAAGTGTCTTTTGACCCTATGCCGTCAGATATTGGATTAACAAATCAGTATTGATATTTCTAGTGGGTTACCCACAGTTCAGTGCACCTCACGCTAAAAACTCACCGTAACAGACCGTTTCATTGGCTGATCCCTCACATCATCCAGAATGTGGGTTATATAACAACTCCTCCAGATCGTAGTGTTATGAAGACAAGTAAAACGAAATTTTTAACTATAAAAAACGAAACGAAATGGAATCTGTGTTTTAATCAGATTGGATCTAAACAAGCTATTGTTGGATCTTTAGGCTACTTTTTACTCGATTTGTTGTTTTGCGTATTTCAGCGTCGATGATCCAAACATACCAGTGTCTGACCAATCAGTGTCAAATGTCTTAACCTCATCGCAACATGAAACTCAGTTCATCAAAATATCATTTGAGGATAGATTGTCACGATTTTTAGACATGGATCGTCACAGTCCTCCCACTAAGGGAAATAACTGTGAAGAAAAGGATCTAGAAGAGGTCAATCTCGATGAGTCTATTGAAATTTATCAGGAAGCTGTTAACAAGAGGGTTAGTATTTATTTATAACAGCTGGAAGTAGGGCTGGATGATATTTATAACATCTAGTAGTATGGCTGGACGATATTTATAACAGCTGGAAGTATGGCTGGATGATATTTATAACAGCTGGAAGTAGGGCTGAACGATATTTATAACCGCTTGAAGTAGGGCTGGACGATATTTAAAACAGCTGGATGATATTTATAACAGCTTGAAGTAGAGCTGGATGATATTTATAACAGCTTGAAGTAGAGCTGGACGATATTTATAACAGCTTGAAGTAGAGCTGGACGATATTTATAACAGCTGGAAGTAGGGCTGGACGATATTTATAACAGCTGGAAGTAGGGCTGGACGATATATTTATAACAGCTGGAAGTAGGGCTGGACGATATATTTATAACAGCTGGAAGTATGGCTGGACGATATTTATAATAGCTGGAAGTAGGGCTGGACAATAACAGCTGAAAATATGGCTGGACGATAATTATAACAGCTGAAAGTATGGCTGGACGATATTTATGACAGCTAGAATAAGGGTTTGACGATATAATAGCTGGCAGTAGGGCTGGATGATATATTTGAAAGTTTGATTATTGCGACAAAGAATGAAAATCCACTATATATTACATTTATTGCATTATTAGCAAGTTCCAAGCAAGGATACGCAAATGGGGTAGTAAATTCCTCAAATGTGTCTGGTATAAATTGTGGTTAAGAATAACGTGTGCGTTAACTTGCTAATAATTTGAATAGTAATGTCAGGTTGCATTATACAAAATACAATAATCTTTCAGGCTATATTGTAGTATTTATTGTAGTATTTTTAATGGTTAATGATAAATAATTGTTATCAATGAAGTAGTTTTGGGGTTTTTTTTTACTTTGCTAGAAGATTAACCAGTTGCAGATAACATTTGGTTATTGACCTTACTGTACTAGAGGGTTAATGTTATAATTTACCCTACTATACTAGAGGGTTAATGTTATTATTTACCATACTGTACTAGAGGGTTAATGTTATAATTTACCCTACTATACTAGAGGGTTAATGTTATTATTTACCCTACTGTACTAGAGGATTAGTGTTATTATTTACCCTACTGTACTAGAGGGTTAATGTTATTATTTACCCTACTATACTAGAGGGTTAATGTAGTTGTTTATATTTCAGATTGATTCTTCACCTGGTAGTAAATTACAGAGACTTTTAACAGAATCAAAGAATATGATAGAAAGTTTAGAACGATCAACTCAACCTGTCGGAACACACTCACCTACTTTACATACAAGGGTAAATTATTATTATACACAAGATTTATTTCAAATTTTGTAAAAATTTCCCAAATTTATACCGATTTGATGATATGAGTTATTTCCTTGATTTCTGTTTACTACAGAAAGACATTTTGTGGCAGATTCAGATGAAACATGCTGACGTTTGTTTGATCCTTAACATATACAGAAATGAAATGAAATAGGGTTTAACGTCCTACTGTTCTGCTCCTAAACTGGGCTGGGGGGGTGGATGGCTGAATGGTTAGCGTGCACGCGCTGTATCATAAAGTCTGTCATTGAGTCGACTGGCGTGGTTTCGAATCCCCGGTTGTACGTGACAAGGAGTAGGGTCGCCTGTCCAACCTCGTGGGTTTTCTCTTGGTCCTCCGGTTTCCTCCCACTGCTAAAGACCCCTACGCGCAAGCGAATTATTGAAATAAAATTGAACCATATGTTAGTCCCGAAATGACCTAGTTTGTGTCGAGTGGACGTTAAACCCCATTTCTCTCTCTCTCTCTCTCTCTCTCTCTAACTAAACTGGGCTAATGAAGACGGGCATACACCATACAGTGTGCTATGAGGGAAATTTTGCCCGGGCAGCGGCGCTACGGCCTACTCTTATATCGAATTCCAACTGCCAAGGGATCTTTTACGTGCACGCCAATGTGTACACGGGACCTCGTTTTTTTTTTGTCCCATCTGAACGACTAGACAGCTTTAGTTGTCAGGCCCTTGGCAGTTTGGAATCTATATAAGAGTAGGCCATAGTGCAGCTGCCTGAGCAAAATTTTGCTCAGTACAGTAGGAGGTTAAACCCCATTACATTTCATTTGATCGGACTAGTTGACACAAGGTATTGTTACATGTATTAAAATGTCTAGTCTTTAGATTTAATATACCAGGCTTCAAAGACACATTCAGGCTTCACCCCCAAATAAGGCAAATTCAATGTTTATTTTGTTACATAGGAGGAAATTGTTACTACGTCATTGAATATTATCTGTAGGTTATTACAGGTACATTATCGTAACCAATCACTGACTAGTATTTCTTTGTTATTACAGGGACACTATCGTAACCAATCAAATAATAGTAATGAAATTACAGAAAGTATGCATGATTTACAAGTCAACGAAAAAACACCAGATAAAGATCAAAATCATCCACAGCATAAATCAACTTAATTATTTGTTTCGTAATCAGCTGTCTTATTTCTGTTCATTTATTTTTAATGGATGAGATGATCGTCAAAATAAAATGTGATATTTATTTTATTTATGTTACTCAGCATGAAATTATAATATTTACTTCCTTAGTTTTCTTTATTTCTGGAGGGTTGGATGGCCGAATGGGTAGCGTGTGCGCGCCGAGTCAACTGGCGAGGTTTCAATTCCCCCTCGTTGGTTTTCTCCAGTTATTGAAATAACATTAAACCATAATGTTAGTCCCGAAATGACCTGGTTTGTGTCTAGTGAACTTTAAACCCCATCTCTCTCTCTCTCTCTCTCTTTCCTTCAAAACAAAAAGAAAAGGAAAATTATTGAGTCTGTTCATAGAAGCAATATCTTCAACGTGATACTGTATTGCATTAACTTACCTTGAACAAACTCAATTGATTATAACATGTCAGATTATACAGCATATTTTATTTTCATGATATACAGGTACAGGTACAATACAATATACAGGTACAATACAATATACAGGTACAATACAATATACAGGTACAATACAATATATAGGTACATGTACAATATACAGGTACAGTACAATATATAGGTACAGGTACAATATACAGGTACCGTACAATGCTGATTTCATTATGTTCAGATTACTGTCCTTGTCTGAATTATTTATTATATTAACATATTTTAATATGAATTGTCATAATAAATTTGTTACATTATTTCTTAAATTATTGAATTTTATAAAAACTGTCAAAAGTTCAGGTGTGTTTTTTAGTAAATGTTACCTTCTTGTGGGATCAATTTTACTAATTTTACTGCCCATTTTTACGTTAAATTATCCAATACAAAAAATATTCAAATCCAGTAAAGATTACAGGCTAAGATGGCATCAATAGTTGATTATGTTCTTGTCATGTTAATAAATGTCTAATTAATAGCTTATATAACATGTGGGTCTAAAACACCTTCAATGGGCATATTTAGCTCTTGCATGTTAAATTTCATTTGTGTTGTGTCTATTCTAATACCAATCGGATGCTTTAATGTAGGCAACTAGAAATATTGTGCAGCGGACCCCATGAATGTTACATTCCACCCTGCCTTGAGGTCAAGGGTTCCCCATCTAGGGTAAGTCTATTCTACTATAGAGGTTATATAGTTCTCTGAATGGTGTTCTGTTCAGTGTATGGAGCTCAGGACTAGAAATCTAGATCTGAATTATTTAGGTGCCAGTTCAATGATGTAAAAGTTATCCAATATAGTCTTAGTTCTTGGCCTACCCTGCTGAGCATATTCTAAGAAATCTGTACAACCGTGATCCGTCCCTGATGGAAACCACGGTGATATAAATGCCCGTGATCAGTCAAGTAAACATGTAGCTGATCCAGAGGGCGAGGGTCAGCCCTTAAAAGAACTCCACTAACCACAAGTCAGTAGACATTGTTGGACATTGGTAGAAAGTCTGTCATGTAGATTTACAAACACCATAACTTTGCTACCTGGAAGACACATAAGAATTGGGGGGATCACGTGGGTAAGACGCTGGCTCGCTAGCCTGGAGGTCGGGTGTTCGATCCCTGCATTGGCCGAGAAAGTTCATCCAGATTTTCCGGCGTGGTTTCCCCCTTGTCAGTGATGCAGGACGCAGGGCCTGACAAGGACAGCTGTCTAGTCGTTTGGTTAGGACGAAAAACCGAGGTCCCGTGTACATATTGGCGTGCACGTAAAAGATCCCTTGGCAGTTGGAATTCGATATAAGAGTAGGCCGTAGCGCCGCTGCCCGGACAAAATTTCCCTCATAGCACACTTGTGTGGCGTATGCCCGTCTTCATTAGCCCAGTTTAGGAGCAGAACAGTAGGACGTTAAACCCCATTTCATTTCATAAGAATTGGATTCTCCCACTAGGGACTGGACTAGACAGTGCTGGGCGTTGGTAGGGAAAAAGAGCGAGAAATGGGGTTTAACGTCCGCTAAGTCATTTCGGGACAGCCGGACTAACATATGAGTCCTCCGGTTTCCTCCTACTGATAAAGATCCCTACGCGCAAGTGAATTATTGAAATAATAATGAACCGTGTGTTAGTCCCGTAGTGTCGAGTGGACGTTAACCCCCATTTCTCTCTCTCTCTCTCTCTCTCTCTCTCTCTTAACAGAGTCTCAGAAACAAACGTGTAGGTATGAAATATAAGCCCCAAAATACAGAAGAATGGTGTATTTACCTCGTCAACGTCCAAATCGCTTATCCGGATACGTAACCCTTTTAAGGGCTCGATTCAATTTTTTTCGTTGGGAGCTGACAATTTATTGCCGTTCCTTTAAAGATCTATACAGTGCATGACCCACGTGCCGTACTTGATAACGAAAGGTAAATTTCATCAACACGTTATTTTTATAAAATAAAAGTCCTTAGTAGTTTTAATCTCCAAATTATAGTCGAGATTGGCCCTTTAAATAAGACTCCAGACGTAGGCCGGTCACCTGGAATATGAAAATGTAATTATCATTTTTAATAAAGTTGTTCGCATCCCTCTGCTTGACATGTCATTATATAAACATAAATTGTGTCTATTTCATGTTTCGATGGATTTTAATCAGCCGTTTAGATACTGCTTTAGCAATTTTTATACATACAACTGAATGTCAATTAGATAAACTTTTATGAGATATATTAAATATAATATCGTTTATTATATAAAAACATGAACAGTATATTTGTAGTTATAAAGCTTCAAAGACCTAAAATACAATTATTGAGTTCGCTCCGCTTTGAACTTGGCTGTTTTTCATTTCTTACATCTCTTTGTTGGAAATATTGTGTGTACATATGAAAATGCAACAAATAATGTAACACACTCTTTTAATGCAACGAATGTCATTTCTAGTCGACTTTGCTTTGTGTTTTTTTTTCTCTACATAATCGCTTGAAAGTGTCACCAAATATGCTATCCTCGATACGCTGAACCACACCCCACCCTTTTGAAAAATCATGTATCCCCCCTTGTGGACAGGCCCGTAACCAGGGTTGGAGTGGGGAGGGTGGGAGAGGGGCGTCAGTCACAAACAAGGTAGGCCGCCACCCGATTAGATTTTATTACCGCACGATACAAATATTATCACCACTAGAAGCAACAAATTCCAGAACAAGCCAGAACTCATACCAAAATGGCCGCTTTATACTAACCCGAACCCTAACCCTAACCCTTTTAAGAGAAGTCAAAGCTAAATTAGACCCAAGTTCAGTCTTTTAAAAAGGGTTAGGGTTCGGGTTAGTTATCCTCAAAATTCTCATTTATATAAAGCGGCCATTTTGGACTCCGGAAGCACCCGAACCTCGATAAACTACTAGAAGGTTTTATTTGTACCGTGCGGTAAGGACGGCCAGCCCTCGATAAACTACTAGAAGGTATTATTACTCAACAAATACCTTCTCGAAGTATGTAATAAAATCTAATCGGGTGAGGCCGCGGGCTTTTCCCTTATATCATAATAATAATAATCGTTTTCTGTAGCGCTGATCATTCAAGGTTGTAAACTCTTGGTCGTTGCTTCAAGAACATGCATCCTTTACGGCGCGAAAATTTCTTCCACTTTGTTTGGAGGGGGGATAAGTTTGGATCTGTCGAGTTTTTGTCTTCATTTTGTGTCGCAATGAGGCTGTGTATTGTTTTCCAACATAAAAAATATATGATTTTCAAATATTTCTCGAATCTAGACCTAGGCACGCGTCCCCGGTCAGCTTAAAAGGATGAAGAAATAATATGCCCGAACTAATTCCATCGCGGTTATCGAAGCCGGGTGCCTGTGATCGCCGTAGGCGCGAAACAAGGCATCCAGGCTATGAGGAATTAGACGTTTACGGACGCATGTTCCTGTCATTCGGGTCCGTTAGTGCAGCAACAAGAAACTATTCCAAAATATGGCATTATTTTTGTGGTTTTGGAGCCGAAATAACACTATGATGTACCCGTCTGAATTCCAGATTTTGGGGGAGAGGTAACAGAAATGAAATGGCCGATAAAATTCCCAATTTGATTCCTCGGGGCCGCTGCCGGTAATGTCGGTCGACAGAAGTCGCAAAGCGCGCCGCCGGCTTATATCTTGGGGGTGCTAATTCAGTCCATGAATACAACGACCTTAAAGTGCTCAAACTTAATTATATCGTTTTTCAAAATAAATTCAACCCAATGCCCATCTAAACTCAATTCGTTGCACTCACAGAAATTTACACCCCGAAAACGGATAAAGCTAAACTAAAAAAGTTTTAAAAAATTTATGTCATTTTTACATTGTCTCTCTCTTCTTACTTTTTTTATTTTTGGGAACTGTTTTTTTAGGAACTTCTTTTTTATTATAAATTGAATTTTTAGGAACTTCTTTTTATTATAAATTGTATTTTACTTTGTTATTGTTAAGCGCATCTGAACACTTTGGTGAAAGATGCGCTATATAAATGTATTAAATAATAATAATAATAATGAGGCGCTGTTTATTAGACTGATTTTAACATTTTTTTTACCCATTAGTCAATTTAAAGGTATCAATTCCCGAAAAAATAATTAAATGAATAGCCCGAAAATAGTCACACAATGCAGAATGGCTTCAGGCCAAGAAGTCATGGGATTTCGGGCCCTTTATTTTGTTGACTAGCAGGCAAAAGGATTTTATCCCCAATAATACTATATTTATTCATTTTTGTCACATTAGACGTCTACCCGGAGAAACTCGACATATCGTCAATGGAATTAGAAAGACGGTGTTAACCAATATGGCGTCAATGGCTTCACTAAAATGACGCCATGCCGCCCCCACGTCATTACAGCTTCTTGGTATGTTCCGAACTAGGCGTTGGCAGAACCAGGGCGATACTCCGTAAATACACAAACCAGCTCCTTTCCTAAACACAAGCCCGTGTCGCTTATTGTGTAACAAAAAAAACTTAAAGAATGTATGACTCGATTCTTTTCAACCTCCTGATAGTCGAAATGAAATGGGTTTTAACGTCCTACTGTTCTGCTCTGAACTGGGCTATTGAAGACGGCCATACGCCATACAGTGTGCTATGAGGAAAATTTTGCCCGGACAGCGTCACTACGACCTACTCTTGTATCGAATTCAAACTGTCAAGGGATCTTTTACCTGCACGCCAATGTGTACACGGGACCTCGGTTTTTCGTCCCATCCGAACGACTAGACAGCTGTCCTTGTCAGGCCCTCCGATCTGCATCACTGATAAGGGGGCACTTCGCCGGAAAATCTGGATGAACTTTCTTGGCCAATGCAGGGGTCATACACTCGACCTCCAGGCTAGCGAGCCAGCGTCTTACCCACTTAGCCACCGTGACCCCCACCCCCATTATAGTCAAAAGAGGTCACATAATATTAATATAATATGAGTGTAAATATATATATATAGAATGACTTGCATTTAATTTTCAGAATTATTATTGTATTTTCTAATCAAATATGTTCGGTGAAATATACGTGAAGAGTCCAAATTGAAAGGCAGTCGTTTATGCCTGCTTAGTCCATTCTAAACGTTTTTTATTATTATTTTGTCGTTTGTAAATTGGATATGTTTTCTTTATTCATTACAAATGTCGTCTGAAACCATGGAGTACACGACTCGTGTATTGATTTTATAATGTTCGTTATGTCTTCAATATTGGATATTATGATCCCATATTTCCACGGCAGAACAATAACAACAATATTATTAAAATGTACCAAT